AAATTTAAAGATTAATAATATATAAAATATTTTTAATAAATAAAATTTTCTTTAATAATATAAAATATATTCTTTTTTTTCTTAAATATTAAAGTAGGTTTATAAGTTTTTTTTTTTTATTAACAGGTAGTTACCATAGTTTAGCGGTAAAGCGTGTAATTATAGTAATTACTTAAGTTACCGTTGGGAAAAGATTAGTTTGTTTTCTTTAGAAAGCTATAGCTAATACTATATTAATTTATAGTTATTAAGGGCCTTAGGGGATATTTTAAAACTTAATAATTTAGGTTTTATTATATTATTTAAACTTTAGGGAGCAGGGTTGTTTATTAATTTATTAGTGTAATGCTTTAACTATAAGCTATTTTAAGAGTAAATTACATATTTCGCTATATATTTATCTTATTTATTCTTTTAATAGCTATATAGTTTTAAAGCAGTTATTGGTACTTATGTATTTTTATTTTTTATAAATTAAATTATAAAGTTTATTTAATTTATATTATATATATATATATATTATATAATTTTAAAGTAATTATTAATATTTATATATTTTATTTTTTTATAAATTAAATTATAAGGTTTATTTAAAATAAGTAATATATATATATATATTACCCCAAACTTCTTTTAAGCTGGAATAAGCCCTATAGCTACTTGTAAACTTAGAGTGTTTATAGGGGTAAATAAGCCTTAATAAGCCCTATAGCTACTTTTTAAGTTATAGTATTTATAGGGGCAAATAAGCCCTAATAAGCCTTATAGCTACTTTTTAAGTTTTAGTATTTATAGGGGCAAATAAGCCCTAATAAGCCCTATAGCTACTTTTAAAGTTAAAGTATTTATAAGGATATATAAGTTTTAATAAATCTATTTAAATAAATCTATTTATTATTTATGGAAATTTTTAAATATATATAAAAATGTAATATTCATATTTAAAAAAAATCTAATATTAGTATATAATTTTATTAAAAAGTATTTTAAGTTTTCATTTAAGGTAAAACTTAATTAAAGTTAAATATTTATTTTTTTAAAGAGTAAACATATTTTAAAAGTTTTTTATATATAAAGATTAAAACATAAGCTTTTAAAAAATATTTTATTTATATTTATAGCTTTATAAACCATTAAAATATTAAAGGTTATATTTAGGTGGTTACGCTAAGGGTAGGGGGAAGGGGGGGGTATAGGGTACATATATTATATATAATATATATACATTATATATACTTATAAGGAAGCTAAATTACATATATTTCGTAATTCCATAGTATATATAATATAGTTATATATAGCGTTAATAAAATTTGTAATAATTGCCCATGATAATTGTAATAATGCTTATTAATTTATTAATATATAAATATAATGTAAATTCCTTGCTTGTAATTATATGCTATATCATGTATTAATAGCTAGGGGTTCGAATCACCCTTGAAATAGATTTTATTTTGTTTTTAACTCTTTTTATTCTTTTAATTCTTTTTATTCTTTTAATTCTTTTAATTCTTTTAATTCTTTTAATTCTTTTAATTCTTTTAATTTATTTAATTCTTTTAATTCTTTTAATTCTTTTAATTCTTTTAATTCTTTTAATTCTTTTAATTCTTTTAATTCTTTTAATTCTTTTAATTCTTTTAATTCTTTTAATTCTTTTAATTCTTTTAATTCTTTTAATTCTTTTAATTCTTTTAATTCTTTTAATTCTTTTAATTCTTTTAATTCTTTTAATTCTTTTAATTCTTTTAATTCTTTTAATTCTTTTAATTCTTTTAATTCTTTTAATTCTTTTAATTCTTTTAATTCTTTTAATTCTTTTAATTCTTTTAATTCTTTTAATTCTTTTAATTCTTTTAATTCTTTTTAATTTAATTAATTTAATTTTTTAGTTTTTTAGTTAAACTCAATTTAGTTTGTAGTTTTTTAGTTTTAGTTAATAGGCTTGACTAAAAACTAAAAACTACATTGAGTTTTTAAAAAAGTACTAACTCAAAACTAAAACTAAAAACTACATTTAGTTTAACTAAAACTCAAAACTAATTTTACAACCCTGCACGTAGTACTAAATTCCCAAATCAAGAAGATTCAGTCGATCACCTCAAGTTGACATACAGATAGGGGCACAGCTTCTTCATTTGAAAAGAAGTCCCCTTTCTGCCTCGGAAATTCAAAAGGTTTTGATATATAAAACTCAACACATAGCATAACTTTCATGGTGCCTTTTTCTTTTGTAAAGAACCAAGAAAGACTGCCTCAGAATTTCATTGAACCTTGGCGGCAGTCCCAGCGGGACTCGGAGACCGCGCACCGGATGGATGCTTCTATTTTCGTATCACAGAGATAGCAATATTGAGTCAGCATGTTTCGACGGAATTGTAGTTTTCTCTGTAACTCATTTTTGTGATTGGCCCCACGAGTCTGCTCCCGGTCCATCGTATACCGAGGCCGCACAAAAGAATTGTTAATTAATGCGCCACGGCGTAACTGGGATTCACACGGAATCCTGGCCATTTGAGATCGGTACTAGCTTGTGCGAAAATATCTAGCAGGGCACGAGGTGCTGTGTGGTATGAGGAATTCGGACATCTTCCAGATGCCGAGGCCTGAAGGGACATATGATAAAGTTTTCCCCCTCCATGCGTGTTCCCTGGGATATCCACCGGTGGTCTACGAATCAATGCACCTTGCTGGGTCCAGTTCACGCATTTAGGGGGCTGAAAAGACACGACGATGCTTCAATTGGTCGAATTGAGACCCTGGCCTGACTGCGCCGCAGCACACTTTCCGTGCTAGTGGAAGCCGCCGAGCATTCCCCCTCCACATGCCGGAACAATCAGCATACATTTATTTGCGCGGTCCTCAACAACTGCTGTGCAGTGCTCGAGTCGAGGGTGCTCAGAGGAGATGGATCAAATTTGTCACGAACTACGCTACGATCACTGAAGCCACTGCATACCATGGCTAACTTTTTCTTGTAAGTCAATCCAGTGTGAGCAATGTGCGTACATCTGGTTGATATTCAATAACCAAAATCAGGGTCGGGGGAACTGGACATGTTGGAGGTGCTATATTGGATTTGCTTTGTACCGAGCACCCGCTGTCGACATTCGAAGTTCTCGTTCGCAGCGAGGATAAAGCGAAGCGATTAAGGGCCAAGTATCCGCGCGTGCAGACTGTTATCGGTGACCTCAAAGATTACGACTCGCTCAAGGCGGGAGCCGAAAAGGCAGATATCGTAATCAACGCCGCGCCGGACATTACTCATGACAAAGGCATCGACGCGATCCTGAGGGGGTTGAAGAGCGGCTCTCGAAATCGCAAAGGATATTACATCCACACCTCTGGAGCTTCATGTATCTACGAGGATCCAGAACCTGGGAGAGAACCTCGCGTGTGGGACGATATTGCGGACATTGACGAGTTGCTCGCGTTGAGCCCTAACAAGACTCACGTTGTCACTGACAATGCAGTGCGAGCCGCAAGCTCCAAGGTGAACGTGGCCATTATCTCTCCACCAGGTGGTACGTATGGTGTACTTCGATGAAGGCTGTAATACTTCCAGTCCGTGAAACTGTCTGCTAACTCACTTTGTCAGTTGCGGGGGTGAGCCCTTCAATCGAGCACCCCTTCCCTCTGGCGACTGCTGTTTACATTTTCACGACTCGGGCCTTCAACTCAGGATTCGAGGTTAACCACGGCATTAACCGCATGTCAGAGGTTGACGTACTCGACCTGGCCCGCACTTATCTCATACTTGTGAACAATGCCGTGGAGGCCCTCGAACGCGGTTCTGATGTCCCTTCCGAGCCAGCCGGCTTCCCACTTTGGGGGAAACAGGCTTATTACTGGGCTGTCGGCCAGATCATCCCGTTTCACGACCGCATGGCTGAGCTTGTTCCGTCGCTACACAAGTTAGGTGTCATAGACGGCAAGGAAATCAAGACAATGAGCCAGCTCGACCTGGTGCGGACCATCGTTTCGGGGGGAGAGGAGTATGATCCAGATGCTCCATTGCCGCCTGCTGACTCGTGGATGCTCCATCTTGGTGTTGGGTTGAGCTCTCACAGTAAGCAGCTTCCGGATACGATTTTAACCCTCTTGAAAAAAAAATCCTATCTCTAGCCTGTGCCTCAAAGGTATTGTCAGGCTGTAGGCTTTTGAAACAAGACCTGGCCTTAATGTGGCCTCCTGGCATCCAAATGACACCTTTTCTTCAGTGCTTCGATAGCTGACTCCTTTTGATGCAGTGTGCGTAAGGGCAAGCCGGATGGAGAGGCTTGGCTGGAAACCGGAAAGACAGTGCGGAGAGAAGGAGTGGGAGGCTATTTTCAGTGGTTATTTAAGTCTTCAAAAAGAGCAAGAGGCTTCGAGCTAGAAAGACCGGACATAGAGGGCTTATGAAGATGCGTCCTGAGAGATCAGTGTGGGTCCCGAAAGAGAACGCTAATAGACGTAAGCAATCAAAAAGTCCTGCCGGTAAGCGTAGAAATGTTACATTTGTAAGTTTGAAACAAAATAAAAAGGAGCGTCGTACGAAATTTTGTTCTCGGTGTGAAATAGTAGCGAATTCCACCTACCAGCCTTCACAGATACGTCAATTATAAATCGAGCCGTAAACGAAATCCATTTTAAGAATACCGCATTGTATGAGTGACAGATAAATCGACGGCTTGTAACAAATGCAGGCTCATGTAAAGAGTTCACTAGCATTTGAATGTTTAAGACACAACATCGGCTGCAACGTTGAACCTCACCATACAGGAGCAGGTGCATGGCACAAGATAATTCCCACAGGCTTAATCGGCTCATAAACGCAAGGCAACATGTGAAAAGGTTGTATGCCATAATTTTCCACAACATTCAAACAAGTAGGTGAGTGGCTCATTTTCTAGTGCATTGAGCACAGCCATGTTGTCCAGTCGGCGTCTTGCAGGTGAATCGGGTCTTGTCCCGAGTGGGGACCGGAAGTACTCCCGAGACCGACCCTGCACCCTTGCCCGGATGTAGCCATGCCGGCCGGTACTCTGTAAGGTTTATAGGACTCGTCCGTAATCATTGTGAAAGAGGATTTAAAAAAGTTATAGGTGCGAGCGTATAGCATAAGCAAGTGCCATCTTCAAGCGGGGCTACATTTGCTGTTGTTGCCCAGCACAAACTCTGCCAGGAAGAAGTTCAACAGATTCAATACTGACCATGTTCGAAAATGTGCCCCCAGGTCCACCGGACCCTGTATTCACCTTGAAGAAGCTAGCCGACGGTGACTTGTCACCGAACAAGGTCGACCTCGGTGTTGGGGTATACCGGAACGAGCAAGGTGGTTACCATGAACTCGAGGCCGTTAAACGGGTAAGCTTATTTCGAGCGCCGTATCGTGCCGTCCCCTGCGCATACAGTAACTGACTTTTCGTGTTCAATTCACCAGGCCAAGAAGATCCTGGACGAGAGAAATCCAGGTCATGACGTGCGTTTAACTTCTGTTTGTCAAGCAGCTTCCAGGTAGCTGTGAGTTGACTAGAGAGGATGATTAGTACGAAAGCACTATTGGGAACGCAAACTTCTTGAAACATTCTGCCGAGCTGATATTCGGTACATCTAATCCATTGATTAAGGACGGAAAGGTAATAATTAACCAAACACCCCAGGCGACGGCAGTGGACGAGAACGAGGCTGTCGCTAACAAACACTGCTCAGGTTGCGACTGTGCAGACAATATCGGGTACTGGGGCCAACCACCTGGCCGCATTGTTTCTCCACCGGACTCCCGAATTTGCAGACAGGACCGTCTACATCGGCACCCCAGCATGGGGCAACTACGAGTCAATCTTCAAACTTGTCGGGGCTCGGGTGGCCAAGTACAAGTACTATGACGCCAAGGACGGCATCAATTTCGCGGGGATGCTCGAGGCCGTCAAGACGGCGCCCGCGAGGAGCATATTCATCCTGCAGAGCTGCTGCCACAACCCGACTGGCGCCGACCTGACAAAGTCGCAATGGGATCAGCTAGCCGAGTCTTTCAGCAAGCACGAGGTGCTCCCCTTCTTCGACATTGCGTACCAGGGCCTCGGCGAGGGCATCGAAGATGACGTTTATGGAATCCGGCGATTTGTGGCGTTGGGCCTCGAGGTAATGGTGGCACAGTCGTTCGCCAAGAACTTTGGCCTGTACGGTGAGCGCTGCGGCGCGCTGCATGTTGTCGGGAAGACCAGGGACTCCACGGACAATGTTCGTGACCAGTTGCGCTCGCTTATCCGGGCTGAGTTCTCCTCTTCCCCTGCTTATGGCTCGCGACTGGTGACTATAGCGTTGGAGAACGGGGAGCTGGCTAAAACATGGTGGGTCGACCTGGTTTACCAGTCGACTTTCAGTGCTTTATATGTGCTAATGATGATTGCCTTTGCTAGGCGAGACGAGTTGGATTCCATGAGAGAGAGGCTGCTTTCCCTTAGGCGAGCTCTTTATAATGCGGTGGTCAACGATTATCAAGTGAGTTCAGCATCTTTTCGCGAGGAATGCGAAGCCGGTATGCTGATAGTGTTTAGGTTCCGGGCGATTGGACAGTCATCACGTCAACACGCGGCCTCTTCTGGTAAGCATCTCGATGATTTCCCTGGAATACGGCCGACTGATTTTGTACAAGCTTCCTACCGCTGAATCAACAACAATGTGTGGCACTGAGAGAAGAACACCACGTGCATTTGCCCGAGACGGGCCGGATCAACGTTGCGGGGTTGAACAGAAAGAACATTGACTATGTCGCCAAGGCAATAAGCAATGTGCTGAAATCGGGGAAGAATTCGTTATAGCACGAGGACTTGTTATCAGTCTCAATCAAAAGCTCAAGCTGTACTCATGGGGTCTAGGCGCCAATCCTGAGGCATATGCTGGTAGAACTGTGGAAAGCTCCCACAAGGGAATGATGGACTTGCTTGGGGGTTCTACTACAATTGGCTATTGCCATGTCTCATTCTTGACAGTTACATAGTGAGAAAACCTGATTCTGACATAATTAGATTTAAACTCTAAAGTTATATGATTGCCGAGTTGAATCAATTCCACCTGTGACATCCCAGGCTAATGTGTGACTATTTAAACCTTAGCCGGTGGCAGTCTCTCGACGCTTATGCTGTCCATTTCTTTTCTCCAATCACAATTCCAGTGTCTCCCGTATTGTCTGCTCCAACCCTTTGAACCCAGTCTGACGCCACATATTCGCCAGCAAGTCTACGCCGAGGCTGGTGTCTCATTCGGGTCGGAATTAGGCAATTTTGCATCTGGAAGCAGCTTCTGTATGATTTGAACCACCCTGTGCCAAATGAATGGCTCATCACAGGTAAAGGTTTTGTCACTGGACACAGTATTGTCGATGTGACCGGCAATGTGGATTCGAGCGTTGTCGACGACGTCGACCATGTAGACTCGCATGAAACTTCAGTGTTATCAACCGCCGTGAAAACATTGAGAACTCGGGCGCGGATGCAAGAGTCTGTGGCCGTGAGGGAAGAAACATAAGCGACGGGATAAGAGGAGTATTCCCGTCCAGCAGACCAAGTACTTGGGTCCTACCAAGGCCCACGGAACCCATTGCTTTCCCAAAGCTCAATCCAGGATTGACAACGTTGATAGCGAATGAGAGTTTTTTTCTCCTTGACGAAGTCCCACTCAGCAAGTCCGGCGAGTGGAGCAGCGTTGCGACAGCCTGGCCCTTCTCGGCGGATCGGACGGTCCCGCGAACATGAAAGCCTGCCTTCAGGGCTTCAAGGACAACGTGGACGGCGATCATGCCAAACACACCAGTGACAAGGATGTGTGAGCCTCAACGAAAGGCAAGGTCCTGTATGGAACGTATTCAGCCACAGCGAAGAATGTGTATCAGTTAATTCACGGTTGCAGCTTCGAACAGGCAGGGTCATGCTGTAGAATGGATCAAAGTGAACTTCCCAACCTCATAATCATTCTACCGTCAGCCGCGAGCACAACCCGGAGAAAATACCCTCATTTGCCGCAGGTGACCCTACTTGTCAGAATCCTGGTTTCACAAAGTCGGATGTTGATATGTTCTGAGGCAGAGGATTCGTCAACGGGATTGAATCTGTGGTTTTGCGAAGTAGATGATGTCCGAATATTGACGGGCTTAGAACAGCCATGCATGTGGATAATGCAGTGGCACATCTGTGTAATGCTCGAGAATGTTTTCTGCACATTTCAGTGAGCAGAAAATTCAGGCGCGCCTTGAAGTAAGCTGACTTCGGGTATATCTGTCAAGGTAGATAGAGTGAGGATGTGTCCGGCGACTTTTGACCGCTCAGGCATTGGTGCGATGATTCTCTGACTCAAACCCTGACACTGAGATTTGTCACCTTCACCGTAGGAGCCTCCATATTCGACTGAGGCGACTCGAAAGATAAGTCCACGGGATTACTGAGGCCTACTGTACCTCTTGAGTAGGAATCCTGAGACTCGCACACAAAGACACGAAAGCGTATGCGAAGGTTTCACAACTCTCATTCCTTCACTCCACGTTTCCTTTATCAGTGTTTTGAGACCCAAGTACACGTGTTGACTCACTTTCGGGATCTGCGTAAAGACCGGCTGGGGATATTTTGAGTCTTAGGGTCCAAGGCTCATTGATCATGAATCTCACTGCGCACATCCAGATGCCCAGCACAAAAGAATTGTCCGGATTCATTGCACGAGGATTGCCAGTCGTGCCCCTTAAGCTAGGCAAATGATGTGTTCTCTGTTCCACTCAAGAGAAAAACAGTCTCAAGTCTCGTGCTGAAACCCGCCAGGTACCTCAAAATTAGTCTCCAGATATCGCTTCTGCCGGCGGTGACTGCTGCCTACCTGTCTCTATACACGTTGAGAAAAGTAGCAAGGAAAGGCTACTGCCTTTCAGAAATGCACATTAATTTCGAACTCTTGGCGGAGTTTTGTCAGAATCTGTTGGACTTCATCCATCTGCTTCTGCTGATGCTGCATTGTCAAGGCGCGGATGAGGGCAGCCTCGCTCACTGAGCCCTGATTGAGCATCTGCAAACTTTCTGATTCGTCACTACGGGATCCCAACATCTCAAGACCACAGATGGTCTCCTGTATATTGGTGAGGTAGTGGGCGCTAGCTTGTAACAGAAGCTGCAGTTGGAAGCATGGCTGCGGTGCAAAGACTACGCCGGCAATGGAAAAACGAAAGACAGAGGTGATATGAGTGCGCGGTCGAAATGGTGAGCCGTATTGTTGATGCCCTGTCTCTCCGGCCAAGGTCGTTGCGACGTTGCTGTTGCATATACCTGTAGACAGTCGCGAACAAGTTGCGGTGCATCTCCAATAATCGCATAGAGAATGCCAACGAAGTCAGCACTGCCGCTGTGTCGGGAACAAAGGTGGATGTTGCAATATCATTCATGTCTTCTCCATTCTTTGACTGCACATTGTCTCCACTGAAACGGGCGCGCGGTGGTTGCTGGCGACATTGCGGTCCTGGTATGTCCATGCCCTGAAACTGGGCTAACGGACGCCTATTTCCTTGTGGCAACTTGAAGTTGGCGAGCTCTAGGAAGATTTTGGAACTCTCAATGACATCAGCAGCTGACTGTTCGAGTCTTTCCCATCTGAAATTATCTTCAAGGTTGATGGCACGGGCGAGACGCAAGTGAAAGTCAGAGAAATGCTGCCTGCACCCGGAAGTCCGATTTTCTGTGGTCGACTGAAACAATCCTGCAAAATATTCAAATGTACCAATGGTGGATCGCTCGACTTGTTGTTGCGACTGGGAGCTGCCAGATCGCGTGGGTTCCCGCTCCAGCTGCGTTCTACTGACTGGAGTCAAAAGGGTCGTAGGTTGCCATTCGCTCTTATTTGTATAGTTCTGTGACTGGTAGTGATGGTCTGTATCTGGAGCCCCGCTGGGAAGCGTAATACTTATTTGCTCCGACTGCTGGAATGAACCGATCATGGTGCCATCTTCTAGGAACCCTGGGCCAGACAAGTTGAGACTAGGGGCTGTGTTATTTGTCCTCAATAAAGCCCAGCTTCAGAGAACCCCTCGCTCTGCTATCCGAGTATACCCTCTTTCCAAGAGCCCTGGGCAACCTCGATTTCGTCGAGTGGTTGTGCTGCAGCACTGTTGCTTTGCAAATAGTAAGCTCATCGTAGCCTATTCAGGCCTCATATGATCTCAGGTATCGGAGACCGTGAACACAACCAGAGGTTCTCACAGGCAGGAAGACATTGGGTGGTATGGCAGTTGTATACTGCTGTGCATAACACACAATTCGGTACAAACATGCATTTTCTCTGTCATCTCGTGGCATCCCGCTGCCGTCATGTGATTTGTTGATAACAAATCCATATTCTCATACACTCTGCGCCTTGGCTTAAAGACGACCAGGTCAGCTTGTGGATCCCTCTCCTCTTGCCTTTGGCTCATTCTCCACCCGAGGAAAACAGATGGTACTCTTTCTAATTGGGGTATTACAGTATGCCTTCTCAATCGGGCCTCCATTCAGGACAGCCAGGCGGAGAGCCCTTTAGCCAAGAAATAGGAAGTTGGAATATTCGGAGAAGGACGTACTGCTAGTCTACGGAGGGGCACCCAGGTAGACCTCCCATCTGCACCGATATGGGCCCAGTGGTTGCGAATGGGCGTAGGTAGAGGACGAGTTGGGCCTGGGCCAAAAGCTGTCCAAAGACCGGCACCGAGCTAGGTATTCGGAAGCCTCTCGGATATGCATGTCTAGTCAGTGAACAATTCTGGTCAGGTAATAAGTATGCACCTCTTCCAAAGCAGTTGCAACCCTGGTCTTGGAACCAAGCCCAGCAAGAGCTGAGCGAGATCGCACCTTGCACTTGGCTCCATGCCAGCTTTTCCCAGGCACTAGCAGCGGCTGCAGATAGGCGCATGAGGCGACCGGGACAGGCCCCGATGGCCATCGGCAGAGCCGACACGCGTCCATCTTCGCGGTATCGCATCCATGGGCGCCATTTCTTTATGCAACTAGGCAGTCTTGCCCGATCCGGCGCACGTGATGAGATCCGAGACGCAGCAAAGCCGACAGTTGTCCGGATGGCTGCATGGATCCCTATGTACTGTCCGTGTTCGGCCCAGGTGGCTGATGTGTTGGTGTCAGGTGGATGGATCTACTTCTTCACGCTTGTGGTGGCGGTGACAGGTTTGACGAGTCGCGGTCTCGGCCAAGGAATCCTAAAGCTCCTACTTGGCAAGGAGGGCGTGAGGGGAGTGACCAAGGGAGGCTGAACAAGGACCAGCCCGGGCAGGCAAGGGCCTACTTGGTACCTACTACTGTACCTGTAGGTCATCCACCCGCTGTGGGCGGGGATGTCATTGTCGACATGACACTGAAAATCTGGGGAAATGCGGGGGAGGCAAGCGGCTGATAACAGGGCCCAGAGATACGGTGGATAGGGGCTCCTACCAAAAATACCGCCTATCTACGGACGTGACACAGCCTGCCGGTGGCCTCCACAGATAACACCCGCCCAAGGGCCCAGCCTCTCTGTACCTAGAACTGATGCGGATACCTCGGTCGACATCACTGGCAATGCCACGTCCAGCATGCTGATTCTGAAGCCACGTTCATCTTGCGCAATCCAAGAAACTCACGCCTCCCCGGCCCTCGATTTGTTGTTGTGTATGCTGCTGTTGTTATGGAGACATCCACCGCCAAAAGAACGGCAAAAAGATCATCCAACGCGCAAGTCCCTCCTTCTCCACCCGCTCCTTGCCACTCAAGACAGGCCTCTCATCTAACGTGACAGCCACATGATACAGATGCTCTCGTTGCCGCAAGCAGAAGATCAAGTGCTCGGGGCTGCAGCCCTGTGAGGGCTGTAGGAAACGCAAGGTTCCTTGCAATTTCGACGACAACGAGACAAAGGTTGTCGTGTCTAGAGCGTACATGCGCCCCCCTTCCAGAATGCCAGCCTCTTGCGACCTTGGGCGTGCTGAGAGAGGTCTTCCAGATATCTCCTGGACCTACAACGGAGAAGTGGTCGATTAGAGCACAACCACCCACCGTCACCGCCCCCAGCCGAGGGATGTCTGCCCCCCGGACCGTCCGCATGTCCCGCTGCCGAGGGCAGCGTGTCAGCCCTGTCTGTCTCAGGCCACGGCGATGATGGAGCGTTTGAAGATGGTTTGTCAACCCCAGACACATTGAACGATGTTCTTGGTCCAAAGGCTGACGTGTTTCATCGGCGGCCATGCAGGCAATTCACAGAGCAACCTAGACGATGTCGCACGTGGTGCCTTATCCGAGGATCAGGGACTGAACCAGACGGGCATCACGAACCCACTGGCTGCTTCACCGTCAACGTTCATGTCCACATCAGACGGAAGAACCTGTTTGTTTCTGCTCTACTTGTGCTGTGTCCCTTTTCTGTCACGCTGACTGACATTGCTGCAATAGTTTACCTCGGCACGACATCAAACTGGTCCTTCACTGGCAAGCTCCTGCAGATGGCCTACGAGTATTTGCATCAAGCTCCCCTGCCACCAAGCATGGTGCTTTTCGACGGCAGCGCCTACGACCTGGGGTGGAATAGTAGGGAGGGCCTCTTTGGCTCCAGCTCAGGATCGGATTCGAGCAAGGACAACCCGCCGCTGGCCTTGCCGAGCCTCGATTACTCTGAATATCTCATCAACGCGGTCAAATTCCACTGTGGTCAAATATTTCACCTGTTCGACGATAACGACTTCCACCAGCGTCTTCAGCAATTCTATGCCGAACACGACCGCAATGTCGCCCGCGAAAAGGCAGGATTGTGGTATATACATTTCCTCCTCATCCTGGCCTTCGGGAAGATATTCGTCATGAAAAAGCCCGTTGGGAAACGCCCATGCGGGGCAGAGTTTTTCCTCAAAGCCATGCAGATCCTCCCGCCCGCACATATCCTCTGCCACGATCCGGTCGTCGCAACCGAGATGCTGTGTTGCATAGCACTTTATCTTCAGTCTGTTGACCACCGTAATGCCGCACATTTATTTGTAAGTCCTTGCCCATGCCCCCTCCCTCTGGTCGCTGCAAAGCTGACAGGTACATCAGATCGGCCAAGCTATGCGTACTGCTCTCGCTTACGGCATGCACACAGATATGCCGGTGGTCCACCTCGGAGAGCCCCATGTACAAAGGTGTCGGAAAATTTGGTGGACGGTGTACATATTGGATCGGCAAATGACAAGCTTGATGGGACTGCCCCAGTCCATCCAAGACGGCGACGTCCACTGCCGGCTACCAGTATATCAAGGCTCGCCCCAACGAACAGCCTCTCTCGACCTTCACATCAAGCTGGCCCGCTTGATTGCCGAGGTCAACAACAGTAAGGCCCCCCATTCCACAGCACAGCTCGGCTTGGTCGTCTTGCTCTGGTGCCTTGACCTGAATGACGGACTGACGTGACTACTTCATTCCAGCTGTTTACGGCGTGAATGGCAGGCCCAACAAGAATTTTCTAATCAGCACCAAGGCGGCTTTGGAAAACATAGCAGTCCTAGCTAGCGAGCTTACACAGGCTCTCCCGTTGAGGCTGGACCAGTCTGGCGATGGAGTGTCGAGGATGTCGGCCTCGCTTCATCTTCTCTACCATCAGGTATGAAACATCCTCGACCTTGCCCCCGCCCAAATCAGCACGGCGTAACTGACCGGCGTATCTGCATCTACACAGTGTATCGTGCTGGCAACACGGCCCCTGGTCTTCTGCTGCCTGAAAATAAGGCTTGAGTCGCCGGAGGGCTCGAAGCCCTCCAGACCAGATCGGTTCGGCACCGTGCTTCAAGTGTGTATGGAGGCTGCTCAGCAAATAATTATAATTCTCGAGAGCCTGCATGCCCAGGGCCTCCTCGGTAAGCATGGGCTCACGTTGACCTACCAAGCTGTCACCAAGGCCAAGTACTCACGCGACTCACAGAAACATTTCTTTCGCTGGACCTCGACCCTCTCTACGTATCGTCTACAGTTCTCCTTGTCGGAGCAGCTGTTGACAAGAGTCTCCTGGTAGACCGTGATCGTTGGGTACGGAGGTGCCTCGCATTGCTCGAAGACAACGAATCAAGCGGGAACCTGATCGCCAGCTGGCGAAAGTCAGAGATCCAACGGCTAGACGAGATGCTGGTTGCGATCTCAGATGAAACCAGGATCAAGCCGCCATCATCAGTTGGTTCTGCTCCCGCCGAAAACCTCGGAGGCCCCTCGTTTCAGGGCAACGTCTTCCATCCAGAGGCGGTCAATCATCCTCTCAGCAACCCAAGCTTTCTGCACATGCCGCAACCGGGTCCCTTCGACGTGCCCAGTACCACCATCGGAGGCGGTGATGACCTGTGGGCGGAGCACATACTAGCAATTGCTAGTTCTATCCAGGATGAGGATGCTGAATGGATAGATCGTGCCATAGTGGACAATAGTATATGGTAGGAACTAGACATTGACGCCATATGCTACCCAGGAACAAGCTATGCTGCCTATAATAGGGCATCTACAGGTGTGCGAAAGTGAGAACCATGCGATCACAGCTTGCTCTCCCGTCCTGCCCTCTTGATGTCCTTAAACTCGGTTGTCGTGCCAACCCTCCAGCTCACAGCGCTGCCCCAGTCTCCTCCCTTGGGCGTCTCCTTCCACCGCCACCGTGCGTTGTTCTGGCCGTTCGGCGACGCCAGCAACTCGGTGATCCACTTACCGACGATGGGGAACATCTTGAAGCCGTGGCCCGAGTCGCCCGAGAGCAGGACGACGGAGCTCGACGAGCCGGGGACGTAGTCGACGATAAAGTCCGAGTCGGCGGTGTCGGCGAACCAGCACAGCGACTTCTGGACGAAAGGCCGGTCCGCGAGCGCGGGCAGGGTCTGGCGCAGCAGCTCGCGCAGCTTGGCCTCGTCCTCGGCGGGCAGGAAGCCGGTGCTGGCGTCGCGCTGGGCGGGGGGCAGCGAGACCCCCGTGGCGCGGTCGGTGTTGACGATGCCCGCGCCCATGGGGCACAGCTTGAGCAGGTTCGTGGCCGGGTCCGGCTCGAAGAAGAAGCCCAGGTCGCGCGCGTAGACGACGGGGATCCCGCGCAGGGCCGCGCTCTCCTCGGGCGTCAGCTGGATGTGCGCGACCGCCCACGACTTGGCGTGCACGAAGCCGCCCGCGCCCGAGACGAGCCGGGACGCCACGGCCCCCGCGGCCACGATGACCAGCGCGGCGGCGTGGAACCGCCCGTCCCTCGTCCGCACGCCCGTGGCCCGCCCGCCCTCGTACACGATCTCCTCGACGGCGCCGGTGGTGCGCCCCAGCACGAAACGCACGCCCCGCTTCTGCGTGGCCCGGTGCACCGCCCTCAGGGCGTCCGCCGAGTGCGTGTACCCGTCGTACCGGTTCAGGTAGCCCTTCCACCCGGGGAGCGAGCCCTCGAGCTGCCAGGTCGAGTCCTGGATGTCCCTCCGCGAGTCGAGCGGCACGACGAACCGGGAAACCTCCGGGTGCCTCTCCGCGGCGCCTCGGAAGCGGTTCAGCGTGTCGACCGCCTTCTGCTCCGCCTTTCCCGAGGCGCAGTGCAGAAATCCCACCCTGTGGAAGTACGGCGCGAAGAGTGGTTTCTTCCAGGCCTCTGCAGCTTCCTAGGTGGCGATACATGTTTAGCACGAAGAAGTCAGGAATATTTCCACGGGGGCTTGGGTTGTGTTTTGCTTTTGGAGGAGAAGGAGAAAGCAAGTTACTCACTATGGTCAGATCGGTGTACCACGGGTCCTCATATTCAACACGCATGATCTTGTTGAGATCGTTGGCGGCCGAATATCTTGACGGTACCTCGTCATCCTGCTCAAGGACCGTGATATTTGAGTAGCCATCTTGCGAAAGATGGAGAGCTGTTGACAGGCCAAAAGCCCCCGCACCGACGATGATGATTTGGTCCTGCTTCGAAACACCCATGTTCAGGTATTTGTTGCCGTATGTGGTCTTGGTGTAGTTATATGAAGGCAATTCTACAGACACTCAAAGAAAGAAAACACTTTGTCTACTAGCACTCTGTGTGCCGTGCAAGAGACGGTGGAACAATGTATAAGTGAAGTCAAGATCTGAGGCTTGGTGAAGCACACTATGTAATATTACAGTGCCACGACAGAGTGAAGTCGTGCCGATTCGTTGAAGATAACAGCTTCATCCTCGTCATCCGTGACCATCGTCAACACATGATCGCGGGCCGCTCTGCCGTGGCCGGAGACCGGTGGAACCCGCTGCCCCCCCATCCCCCACCCCCGCGGTCGGATGCGTTAACAACCTAGACTGATAACCGCCTCGGGATGGCTTCCGAGATGCGATAAAGCGGGTGGGCGTTATCGGCCCGCGAATACCCACGAGCGAGGAAATGCCCACATCGACTCTAATACGGAGTCAGCCGTGATAGACTGCGGAAGCAACTGGACATGTGATGCTTTCCTCCGACTGTAAGCAGTGCTGGCTATGGACAGTCTTCTTCGTCCCGGTCCTCTGCGGCAAGCACGAAGAAGCCGCAGCTGCATGTGTGAGGCTTGTCTTTCACCAGCAGCATGGACCAACATCCAAAGGACGGTCACACGGGAGGCCATGGCGAAATCTGCTTCCGTCGTCACCTAGTGGCGGACACAACAGCGGCGGTAACATCAGCAGCTATCATAGCCCCAATCATCACAGCTACAGACAGGTCAGCCGATGTGGAATCTGCATGCAATACAAACTCGTAGACTGACACTTCCGATAGGTCTGTGGTTGAGAGCGTATCAACATCAAGTCCGCTGCTGAGGACTCTGGCCAAGAACCTTCTCTGTCCGTTCACGCACCCGCGGCGCTTCTTCGCGACCAAGCCCGTGTTTGTGGTGTGGACTCTGTACGCAGCCACGTATCTCACGGCCAACGTGACAGAGACGGTGTCTGACAAGTACTTCGCCATCGAGAAGGCCCTGACTGGCACCATCGTCTCCACGGCCGTCTTCATAGTCAACACGCCCCTCGGCGTCTGGAAGGACGTCCGCTTCTCCCAGCTCTTCAGCGCGCCCCAGGAGCCGGAGCCAAAGACGGCCAGGATCTCGCGCGCCGCAGCGTCGGCGCAGACAGGGGCCGGGAGCCCCAAGACCATCTCTCCCCAGGCAGCCGCGCCCAGGAAGATGCCCACCTCCGCGACGGCGGCCTTCCTCATGCGCGACATCATCACCGTCTTCGGCTCCTTCGCCCTCGCGCCCCAGGTGTCGGCCATCATCCCGGACTCGCTCGCCCGCACCGCGCAGGCCAAGGCGTCGGCCTCCCAGCTGCTCGTCCCCGCGCTGACGCAGGTCGTGGCCACGCCCGTGCACCTCCTCGCGCTCGACATCTACGGCCGGCCGGGGCGCTTCGGGTTCGTCAGCCGGGCCGGCAAGGCGCGCGAGAAGCTTGCCTCGACCACGGTCATGCGTGCGTTCCGGCTCGTCCCGGCGTTCGGGTTTGGGGTCATCTTTAATAACCACGTGCGCTCCTCTCTTAGGGCTGGTGGTGCTGGAGAGGGGATGGGACGTTGAAGGGCAGGCTTAGTTGAGTGATGCCTGGCTTATCCAGGAGATTCAGGGGTGACGGGTAGTGACTAGGAATGAGTCTGCTACAGAGCCATGACATGTCTTTTCTTGATGGCATTGGGCTGATTTCGGCCTGTGGTCGCCAATTGCATGACAGCCTTTCAATGTATTCACGAGGCGAATGTGGAGGGTAGACGGGTTGCAATTAAGGAGTTATGTGCATTGGCATAACTTGGGTACAGCAGCAATTATAGATGTTAGATGATCCAAGAATGCTACGGCACTGATAAACCATAACAGTACGACTTAAGATTGGTTCAGTCTCTCATCATCTTGAATGCGCTATCGGCCTCTATGGCTAGGCCATATTTTCATGCGCTCTTTCTTCTACCGGTGCAACACAAATCCTCCAAAAGTTGGTAATTGCATGCTTACGATATGCTGCACACAAGGGTACGATGACACTATCTCTAAACTCGTTACATGGATAGACCAGTACAGTGTACGATGAATATAGGAGCCATATTAGTGCGTCTGGGTCGGCACGCTCTCCGTGTTTGCAACTCCCTCCGGGTTGGTCTCCATGGCGCCGGTCTCTGGCGGACGGTCCCACTGGGTCTCCATGCTCGCGCCGCCAAGTTCGCGCAAGTTCCTTGGATACCTGACCGCATGGTTGGCTCTCACCGGCTGGAAAGCTCTGCACTGAGGTGTATAAATGGCGTGGAAGACTCCGTTCCTGTTTCGCAGGCAGCTAATGAATCCCACGACAGCAAATTCCACATTGGCCGCTGCACATTAACAGTACTTGAGAAGTGTACGATTACCATTAATTGATGCCCACTGAGCTGGTGCTGCTCGGCCTAAAGGGATAATTCACTTTGTCGTTCTTCATCGTGGGCTCTCACATAATCACCTTGCATAGATCGGGTGCGCGCGTTGCAATTATGGGATGATTTAACACGACAAAATCATACATCAATTCGTGCGTATGCCTACTCATTACTGGGGTACTTGAATCCAGTCTGCGGGAAGAATTCCTCCTTGATCAGGCGCGGGCTGGTGAAGCGCAACAAAGAATTCGAGCTGCCAGCCTTGTCGTTTGTCCCACTCGCCCTGCTGCCACCGAAAGACTGCTGGCCGATGAGAGCCGCAGTGGTCTTGCAGTCTGCGAGGTGTGTCTTGTTAGCATCTTTGGCTGACATCTTTTTAAGAGAAAAGGCCACTTTGGTGAATCACTTGACTTACTCAGATACAGGTTGCCGGCCGAGTACCTCAGGGTGTCCTCCGCCTCCCTCAGGGCACCGCGGTCGTTGGCGAACACAGCACCGGTCAGCGCGAAGCCGCCGCCGCTCTTGTCGACCTGCTCCAGGATGGAGCTCCACTTGTCGTCGGGGTAGACGTGGATGGCCAGCACGGGGCCGAAGATCTCCTCGTCGAACAGCCGGTGCGTCGGCGAGTCCGCGAGGTAGATGGTGGGCTCGACGTAGTAGCCCACCGAGTCGTCGTACTTGCCGCCGGCCAGGAGCTTCAGCGAGGGGTCCTTGTTGCTGGCGTCGATGACGGACTTGATCTTGTCGAAGGACCGGCGGTGGATGACGGGGCCCATGAAGGCGGACAGGTCCTTGTCGGGGCTGCCGATGGTGATTTCCTTGACCTTGGCCTGGATGCCGTCGAGGAACTCCTTGGACCGTGACTGAGGGAGGTAGAGACGGGACGTGGCTGAGCACTTCTGGCCCTGGTATTCGAAGGAGCCGCGGATGGTGTGGTAGACGGCGCTGGAGATGTCGGCTGACGGGTGGATAAGGGTGAAGTTCTTGCCGCTCGTCTCACCGACAACCCGGGGGAAGTCCCGGTACTGCCTCTTGCCGATACCCTCGCCGATCTTGGCGTAGATGGAGCGGAAGACATCAGAGGAGCCGACAAAGTTCAGGCCGGAGAACTCCCGGTGAGAAAGCACGGTGGATGTTATTTCCTCAGCATCACCAGGGACGAACTGGATCACATCTGGGGGCAAGCCGGCCTCCAGGAGGATCTTGTAGACAATGGTGCTGGCGTAGATGTTGGACGCTGAGGGCTTCCAGAGCACAACGTTGCCCATCAACGCGGGCCCGGAGACCAAGTTGCCACCAATAGCGGTGAAGTTGAAAGGCGAGATGGCATAGACGAAACCCTCCAGTGGTCGGTAGTCCAGCCGAGTCCACATGCCCGGGGTTCCACGATCGTGCTGTCTCTCAAGCAACTCAGCAGCATAGTTGCAGTTGAGTCGGAAGAAGTCGGCCAGCTCGGCAGCGGCATCGACCTCTCCCTGCCAGATGTTCTTGCCCTGGCCGAGCATGGTGGCCGCAATGAGCTCATACCGGTACTTGGTAGAGACGAGCTCAGCGGCCCTGAGGAAGATGGCGGCCCGGTCGACAAATGGCGTCTGCTCCCATGACTTCTTGGCCTTCAGCGCCGACTCAATGGCGTTGGAGACCTGCTGTTTGGTTGCCAGGGGAAAGCTGGTAAATGTGGTGGCATGCTCGCTGGGGAGCGGCTGGCTCTCTGATGCAGACTCTGCCTGGACTTTGCCATTGATGAAGATCTCGCTTTTCAGCGGGATCTGAGACCTGAGCCTGGCCACCGTCTCCTCGAGCTGCTTGCGCTCAGGAGAACCTTTCCTGTACTCGGGCTATGCAACTGTGTCAGAGAGCATTCAAAGTGTTTTTCCTCTTCAAGGTGGATGAAGACCTACGTTTGGCTCGTTCCGCGCATCCGGCAGCCTGAATGGCACGGTTGTCTTCCCTCGGCTTGCAGCTACGCCCCGGAGGACGTTGCGCGCTGGAAGTCTTGCCAGCCGGCTTGGTGCTGCTAATCTGTTCATCTTCCACTTCTATGTGTGCCGAAAGTGAGACCGGGTAGTCAGTGGTGCTACTCCTCCGCCCAACCAGGTGGCTATGGAAGCGGCGTTAATGTAGAAGTGTGACTGATGTATTAGGAGACGGCCCTCAGACCGAGCTACGTCCGCCGGAGGTTTGCTTTAACTCTAGTTTTACGTCACATCCCGCAGTCGGAGACGAGCCGGCAGATTATATCAGTCTGCTATCTCGAAAATGGTAGTCTTGTGTGGTGGTACTAAATCAGTAAAACGGAGTGGCGGTTCCCCGGCGATAGACCCGAGCCGTGAGCTGTTCTGTTTAGATGAATGGATTATGCAGCTATCAGGTCGCCTCCATCGGCTGACCCACCCGCGTGTCATACATGTCGGAGAGGGTTCCGGTCATGCATATTGACACGCATTAGCGTTAGGCACTGGGACGGCCCATCCGATGATGCATAGTGCGCTGTTTCCAGCCAGAATCGAGATACTCGGTTTTGCCGAGGAGATATCGGGGTTCTGGAGCACGATGTCGGTAGATGATGGCAGTACCACGGGTGGTAATTAATATTCTGAGTAGCGAACACCGATGAGCAAGTAGTCAAAATGACTGCGATGTGTCCAGGTGGATATAGTATTATTGGGCGCCATGCAGTTGTCTAGTCTTCCGTAGAAACCAGCCGAGCCTATCTGTCGTGTGAGCCCATCATCGAGGGAGGAAGCAGCAAATAACCGCGCCATGGTCGCAAGTGTCCCCCCGGGAGGCGTTTGGTGCCCCGCCGTCACCTTTTTCAACCCAGACACAGACGAGCTAGATCTGGAAGCACAGTCCAAATACTATTCATATCTCTCCAAGACGGGACTGGCTGGTCTGGTCATCCTCGGCACAAATGCGGAAGCCTTTTTGTTGACGCGCGAGGAGCGCAAGACACTCATCGCCGCCGCCCGCAAGGCGATTGGCCCTGAGTTCCCCATTATGGCGGGCGTCGGGGCACACGCGACCAAGCAGGTGGTCGAGCACATCGACGATGCCGCACAGGCTGGCGCCAACTGCGTCCTGGTGCTGCCGCCCGCCTATTTTGGCAAGGCCACAACGCCAGTTGTCATCGAGAAATTCTACGCCGACATATCCAAACGCAGCAAGCTACCTATTATCATTTACAACTTCCCCGGGGTCTGCAACGGTGTCGACCTCTCGTCAGACATCATCACCAGGCTTGCCCAGAAGCACGACAACATCGTCGGGGTCAAGCTTACCTGCGGATCCGTGGCCAAGATCACGCGCCTCGCGGCTTCTCTGCCCAATTTCGCGACTTTTGGTGGCCAGTCCGACTTCCTCATCGGCGGGCTCAGCTCCGGCTCAGTCGGCTGCATCGCGGCGTTTGCAAACGTCTTCCCCAAAACAATCGTCAGGATATTCGAACTCTACCGCCAAGGGAAGTACGACGAGGCGTTGAGGATCCACCAGAAGGCCGCGCTGGCGGAGCAGCAGATCAAGGACGGCATTGGCGCGACAAAGTACGCGGCTGCCATCCGCAGTGCGACTTACGCCGGAATCAAGGACGCGGAGAGGAGATTACAGCCAAGGACGCCGTATACCCCAGTAGCGGAGGCGACCAAGGCGGCGGTTCGAAAAGGGACCGAGGAGTGCGCGAGGATCGAAGAGAGCTTACCTCTCCGTGGATCTGGACGTTTTGGGAATACTTTTAGTCGACTGTAGGATAATGGCTCTCTATGTAGACAGCATGTGAACAGTCAATACTCTTAAAAACATGGACCATTCTTCAGCGAAATGCGATTGCCATTCGTCACTCGAGTCTTTGGGCCTGTTTCTTGAATTGTAGGATTTGTTACTGTCAAAGTCCTGGTGTATGTGCAGATCTAATGTCTCGTGTCGTTCACGTGAGGATCCTTCCCCATAAGTCGAGCAATTGTGACGGCTTCACGGAGACCCCGGCCAACGTGACCTCGAACCCCTGCTTCCTCGAGCACCATTAAACCCCCAATCGTGCAGCCCTCAGGGGAGGTACCTTGATCCCTGAGGATACTCGGGTGGATTCCGCTCTGCAAGAGGGTAGCGGTCCCAAGCATTGACTGCACGATAATGTCTGTAGCCTCTTTCCTCGGCACGCCCACAGCAACCGAAGAGTCTATCAATGCGTCGACAATCACGGCGAAGAATGCTGGCGTGGATCCGCCGACCGCGGTGAATGCATCCAGGAGTCGCGGGGGCAGGTGCACCGCCTTGCCTGTATGGTTGAATATTGAGTCCGTGATCTCAAGGTACTCAGGAGGCAGGCTCGGATCGGGCGTCTCCACTGCAGTTATGGACTGGCCTACAGTAGCCGCGATGTTGGGCAATGCGCGCACGACATGGGCCCTCGATTCCCCGGCGGTGGCACCATCAGGGAGTGCAGCCTCGAGCTCCTGTCTGGTCCAGCCTGCAACGATGCTTATGAACAGCTTTCCTTTGAGAGAGATGCTCTCAAGCCCGGACTGTGTCAACAGCTGGCGGACGTCTGCAGGGTCTGCTCCCACCAAAACCACGTCAGAGTCCTTGACTGCGTTCGCATTGTCATTCCGCGAGATTCTCAGACGGCCCTCGGGAACCCCGGTGAACTTTTCACGCAGTCGCTTCTCAGACTGCTCACTCCGGACACAGGCAATGAACCGGTTGATCTTGAGTGAATCTCCCTCCTTCCCAGATGCCTCAATTAGGCTTGTCAGGATAGCTGTTCCCAGGTTCCCTATGCGCCACACACATTAGTAAAATTTCAGCCGTAGCATGTGTTGGGGAGGGGCCCAACATACCACAGCCCAGGATGCACAGAGACGACATCTTGGAGTCACGGGAGAGTAATAGCAGGCTTGGGTGACGTAAGTGAGGGAAATACGAAACCAGGAGGCGGAGGAGAGACAGGGGGGAGAATGATCACGGGTTGAGCATAGAATACGCTCTTGCACATCGTCGTATGCACCTTGACGTCTACGTTGCCGACTTTTGACCTTGCCGATGCATGAGTTAGACAACCCCGGCTCAGATGCATGCAAAGACCCCTATCTGCGCCGTGTTTCCACATCCGGTAATACTCTAAACTGCGGGTGTCTTATCTTGGCGGGAAAGCCGATCCTCGTGAGGCCCATCCGGTGCCGCATCGGAAGCCCACCCGATGCTGTTGACCCACACCCCGCTCACGGCACTCGACTTCCGGTGGGTCGGCTCCGATAAGAACATGGTCAAGTGATCAAGTGACACGCGGATGAGACGTCAGACAAGGCAAGCTCGGCTTGAAGCGGTCTTGGGTCGGTGGGTATTGCTTGTTCGTGGTGAAATCATTTGACGATGAATGCTATGGGAACTACCAGCCCAGTAAGAAGATCATGATCCAATCCTGAGTCTCCTCCACGCCTCAGACTTGAGTGCCGTGTACTCGTCAGTCGTCCGCATCACCGCGTCGCGGTTCTCGACGGCTCTCCGCAGCAGATATGCCACGCACTCGCCCATGCTGCCCCACGTAGAGCACTTGTAGACCTCGGGGCCGGAACTGGGCCCGGTCCTCTCGGCAAGCAGCGAGAAGCTCACCTCGTCCGACATCCCATGCAGCTGGCCGTATCCCACAGGCACGGTGGGGAGGCCCTGCCTCGTCCGCTCCTGGTGCAGCTTGTGGGCCCCGAGGACGCTCTCCCTGTTGTGGCTGGCCAGGAAGAGGTTCACCGAGGGGAACGGCTTGCCGCCCTCGGCTCCAAACTCGCCAATGTGCTGCTTGATGGCGCCGCTGGCGATGCCGTTGTACGCATCATCGGTGTCCTGCTTGCAGTCGTGGATCAAGGAACGGTCGTCTGAGAGGATATAAGCGCCGCGCACCAGCTTGAGGCCGAGCGTGAAGCCATCCCTGCCGGCGGCCTCGAGGTGGCTGGCGAGCACGTCCGGCGTGCGCTTCAGGTAGGCTTGGTAGGTGTTGTAGACGACGGCAGAACCATCACGGTTGAACTTGCGCATGGCGTCAAGTGTGGCCGCGGAGATGCCCTTCTGGAAATGCTGAGACTCGGCGTCGACGATGACTCTGATCGAACGTGCCTTGCTGTTGGAGCAGATTTCGTTCAGGGCATCGGTAAACTGTTGTGGTGCTGGCTGACCGGTGGCGAAGGCTTCAGTGACACTGGGGCCTGCTCCGCTCAATCTGAGGTGCAAAGTTAGCCAATTATTTCTGGTGGTATGAGATGTACAACAGACCATGTTGCGGAAATTTGTCTGGCACGGTCCAGAGATACAGAAAGGCCAATCCAACTTACTTGAGTGCAAGATAGTCCCCGTTCTCGATCAGCTTCATGGTCTCGAGTGTTCCATTCCGCCACTCGTCGATATGCTTGCAGAACACAGTGGATTGAGCCACACCCTTGGGTTCGGAAACACCTTGTATGCCTGACCGGTCAGATTTGTGGTCGAAGACTGTCTCGCGAGCATATGTGAGAATGACACCGCTGAACCCGAGATCCTTGAGACGGCGGACACATTGTCTTGTCTCCCATGGCGTCTCGCCCGCACAAAACTGGTTGTAGAATGTTCTCTTGAGTATTCCATGAATTAGGGGATTCTTGTCGACATTGAGGAGGTAGCCTTCCTGGCTGTGAGAGGAATGATAGTATCTTGAGGCAAGGTATGAGGAGTGCCTTCTTGGATGAGACCCCCGCTATGAACAAGGACCTCAGTAGGTTGCCATTGGGCAAGGCCGCCAGGGGCGGGCGACTAGAGGGCCGGCGGGGGAGCCGCGATTATATGAGAAGCAGATCGTAAAGATCCAAAGAAGCGGTTGACTTTTTTCATAGCAATGTCTAAGTCGATTTGGAGGCGAGTGATCGTCTTCTCAGCAGAGCAGGGGAATCTACAGCAGAGAAGATGTTACTCATGGTCGTCCAGCTGTCGAGGACAACACGGGGACGACAAACACAACTTAATAGCTCCTAGTTTGCGTTACGCTTTAGTTTCGGATGGGAGACGGTAGTAGCGATCCGCCTTGCACTTACACACCATTGGTCAATGATGCCGATATCGTCAAGCGCCCGGAGCCAGATGCGATGATAAACATCACCTGGACAACTTCCGGCAGCGCATCACATGCACAAGCCCGTTCACGGCCCTGGCCACGTCTATCTTGCATGATCGTAATGGCACCGCAGATACCAAGTCCAGTCCCAGACATGCACGTTGCACCTATCAGGTCGCCAAGTTTCCCCCTCGCCTCCTTCGCCCTATCACGGACGATACCGTCCGGTGGCGATAAGGCTGATTATATAAGTGGCCAACGGGAGGCCATCCGATCTCAGCCAAGATACAAGTAGCAGACCGCAGCCTGCGTTAAGGCGGCCCACCCCGGCCTACCCCAGGTTCCATTGGATTGGGTCTGGGGTGTACATAGATTAGGACGCGGGACGAGAACTGCGGCTTAGCCGATGCACAATGTCGGGCTCATTTCCGTCCCCCGGGTGGTTATAGATTGGCGGAGCCAGGTAGCATTCTAGATTCCACTATTTAATCCATTTTTGAGTTTTTTGTTACACAATCGATCTCGTGTCGTACCCGCAGTTTCCACCCTTTGATTCTCAAGTCCAATTCTCTGACCTCCATGGTCACGCGCAGGAATTAGCCGCCCTCGTTACACCGCCCTCCATGTCTGTCTCCAAGTACAGCTCAGACGTAGGTGTGGGGATGGATTCCGACAGGAAAAGCGAAGATAACGGCAAGAGCCTCGCATTGACCCAGACGCACGGGAGTGTGCACGTGGGCAATGTTGTCAACTCCGATCCGGACCAGCTCAAGCGACACCTGGGGAACCGACAGATTCAGTTGATTGCCATTGGTGGCTCCATCGGAACGGCAACCTTTGTCAGCATCTCGACCGGTCTCGCTGCCGGAGGCCCTGGCAGCCTCTTCCTCGCCTATACTTTCTATGCCTGTGTGATGGGTCTCGTAAACAACTGCATGGCTGAGATGGCCAGTTTCCAGCCAGTCACCGGAGCCTTCATCCGGATGGCCGGCAAGTGGGTTGACGAGTCCTTTGGGTTTCTGGCCGGCTGGAACTTCTACATCTACGAAGCCATTCTGATCCCTTTCGAACTCTCGGCCTTGACCTTGGTCCTGTCCTTCTGGCGTGATGACATACCGGTGGCTGCTGTGATTTCCGTCGGAATCGTGCTATATTTGTTAGTCTGCTCCACAAGCTGCGAGCCTCTGTGAGGGTTTTACTAATTAACCACGCACAGCTTGATAAATGTCTTCGCGGTTGAGTGGTATGGGGAGTGCGAATTCTGGCTGGCAACCGGCAAAATCTCCTTGCTTGCTATCCTCTTCTGCTTCACCTTTGTCACCATGGTCGGCGGCAATCCGAAGCACGATGCATATGGCTTCAGATACTGGCAAAACCCTGGCGCATTTGCCGAGCACATCACGACTGGTGACCTGGGCCGTTTTCAAGGCTTCTTGGGTTCCTTGTGGAGCGCCGTTTTCACAATTGTGGGACCCGAATATGTCGCCATGGTGGCTGGTGAAACCAAGCTGCCCCGACGACACCTCAAGGCCGCCTTCAAGACGGCGTATATCCGCTTCGGACTATTCTTCATTGGCAGTGCCTTGTGTGTGGGAATTGTGGTCGCGTACAACGACAAGACTCTGGTCTCCATTCTCTCCGGTGAAGGCTCAGGTACTGGAACTGCTGCCGCGTCGCCGTACGTTATCGCGATGAACAACCTTGGCATTGGCGTTCTGCCTCACATCACCAACGCGCTGCTGGTGACCAGCATTTTCTCGGCTGGAAACGCTTACACCTACTGCGGCGCCCGGAGTCTTTACGGGCTCGCCCTTGACGGACAAGCACCCAAGTTTCTCCGCAAGTGCACCAAGTCTGGTGCACCTGTCTACGCACTGGGCGTCACCATGATCTTCCCCTGCCTTGCATTCCTCAACCTGTCTAGCAGTACCTCCCAGGTGCTGAGCTGGTTCGTCAACCTCGTCACAGGCGCACAGGTCATCAACTACATCACAATCTGTACGACGTACCTGTTCTTCTACAGGGCCTGCCGCGTGCAAGGGCTCGATCGGTCACGTCTTCCCTACTATGGGAGATTCCAGCCTTACTGCGGATGGATTGGACTGGTCATCATGACTACCATTGTGTGCGTGTATGGCTACAGCGTGTTTCTCCCCGGCCGCTGGGACATCAAAAACTTCTTCACCTACTACTTGATGGTTCTCGTCGCACCTGCCCTCTACTTTGGGTGGAAGTTGACGCACCGCACCAAGATCATCAAGCCCGAAGAGGCAGATCTCGTCTGGGTTGCGCCAGCCATCGACGCGTATGAGGCCAGCTACGAGGAAGATGCTCCTGGCTTTTGGGTTGAGATTGCACAGATTTTCGGTTTCTACAAGAAGCCTAAGAACAAAGAGCAAGCCTAGATGAGTGGTTATTGAATAGTAGTGGAACCGGGCAGGAGATAAAATACAAAGTGTCCATAGTGTTCGTGATAGGTAGAATGCGTCAGGACTATCGGGTCGTAAATACATCAAATGTTGTCGTATCCATGCCTTTCGTAAACCACCACAGCTTAAAGTATCGATATCTCACCGTCTCATCGTCGAGAATATCTGGATCTTCGTTCGAGAAGCCGTACAAGTTGGACCAAGATCTCGGGACCGGGAAAATTGGCGTGCGACCGGCTCCTTACGAGGCCTCTGCACGTCATCTAACAGGGTAGGAACAAAGCTCCGCGGGTACATAGCTTCCTATGGGAATGTCAACAGTAGATCGAAGAGGACAATGGAATTGAACTAGCATGATTCTGTCAAAGGCGACGGATGTATTGCCTTGGGTGTTCGGAAGTGACGAGTTGGTTCTGTAGGCGAATTTTCGATAATGAATGCGAGCCCTTGACTCGGTCGCTTCTAAGCATTTTACGAGACTTTGCTGTGAAGGTTTATCAAGCACGGTGGTAATTCTATGAAAGGAAATTCGGGAGACTAAACATCCGCCCCGCTTTCAGGATGCTGTCAAAGTTCGGAACTCCCGTAGTGTAATTCAGGTCGGCTTCCTTCTTTAGGCCAAAGCCCCTCGATCACTCTGCCTGAGCCGTCGGGCAATTTGGAGCTGGACTTAGGACATTCCCTTCCAATCACGAGGTGGCTTGCCAGTCTTTCCTAGGGTGGTTTTAACAGGTCTAACAGTGGCGAAGAACTCCGGACAAGTCGAACCTGAGACGCGATGTACCTAAATCTCATTTTGGTTCCGTGCCTTCCCGATTATTTAGCTGGGTAGAAACAGGATCTAACTAAGTGCTAGTCTTGTACGACCTTGCACCCCTATAAATGGCGTTGTGTATCCTTCTACATTTGCTTTCTGCACGCCAGACCCTCTTCCCCTCCCATTGGCAACGCAGACCAGAACCTTATTGACGTACTTCGATTACTGTGCAGGTCTTGGTGTATGCAGTAAGCCGTCTTGCAGGTACCAAATGCGGTCACGTACGGCACCATGACGACAAAACAATGCTCACCGAGATTCTTTTCTTGAACAGGTGCAATGTGGGGGACAAGCAATTGTGCAACACAGTTAGCGGCTTGAGAAAGTTCACTCTCCCGGTCTTATCATGCTTGAAAAGCTAAGCATCGCACCAAATTAGTGAGGCCATGGAATGAGGCTTTTTCCTACGAACTTGTGGTGGTCTGGCTGAGCCTCGAACCAGGTCGCTCCGGGAGTTTTTCTCGCCCTCGTTGCGCCCCAAGACATCGGGCCGTTAACTTTGGTCATGAAAGTTTGGCAAGGCCACGACAAGCTTGTGATATCTGCCGGCTCTTGGTATGATCAGATCAGCGTATCACGGGGTGGGTGGCGTTCCTGGGCGAGGTGGATGAGGGTGCGGTCGAATGGAGCATGTTGGTTCCAAGGCCACTATCGCGAGGGACAAGTCGCCAAGGGGGCCTTGGCTCTTGGAACATAAATCCTTCGACTCGTGACGCTTGAACACGGTTCCCCCAACGAAGCCACTTTGGACTTGATGAAGCTTACAATAATGTGTCTCTGGCGACAAAGCTCTCCGGGGTGCGTTTGTCCTGAGAATTACGTCGGCGGCTTGAGAATTTCAAAATTTTGCGATGCTCTGCAGGCGAGAGTCTCGTGTAAACAAAGTTTCCCGGTCAACTTGGCGTTCCTGACGCAAACGCTCAATCTTAACAAGGGCAAGGTTCCCAGCCAGTTTGGCTATCTTAGTGATGGATGGTGTGCAGGAGCCAAGAGTATTATAGTACTCTTCCCCAGACTTTTGAAGGAGGCGACCGGAAGCTAAGGGGGGGAAATCGGACAGATCAACCCCCAGAGCTCTAGCTCCCCCGGATTCCAAACATCAGCCCTTGCGCCTAGAGTCGTGGCACCCCAGATGAGCCAACTTGTCGGACCACTCTCGTCGAATAGACTCTGCCTGGATCGTGGTGACTGGTCCCCCTGGCGCTTGGCTTGAGGGGTTGCACGCTCGGGGTGTAGAGCACCCAGATGGCGGAAGACACTCATGAATGACACAAAGATTTCCAAGCTGTCTGACCGCCTGGACAAGGTCGTTGGTGGATGCGTTCCAAAGTTGGGGGGCCGTATAATGATTAATATAAAGCTGGGTGATAATCCTGTTGCCGCCAGGCGTTGGGATCGCAAGCCTCCCACCTCACCCGGATCTTCTTCCCCTGCCTAGGTACCTCGTCTTACATTTGTCCCAGCAGACATGTCCACCCCCGAGACCAAGAATGATTCAGCCAGCGAGAAGCCTGACGTCGTCCATCAGGACGATGCCCTCTTCCGGACCGTCAGTGAAGCTGGGCCGGAAAAGCCGATCCCTCGGGTAGGCAAGGTCGACTATTCCGGAGCCTACGAGAAGACCGACCCGAAGGAGATCGCCTTGGTGAAGAAGCTGGACAAATGGATTATGCCCATGCTATGGTGTGAGTATTCTAACAGTCCAACCGCTTCAGCTGAACAAAGGACCGGGTTACTCATACTCGCTCAGCAATGTACTGGCTCAATTATCTTGACCGGAACGCCATCGCTCTGGCTCGCTTGAACGACCTCGAGGAAGACCTTAACCTTTCGAGTACCCGTAAGTCCTCGTATCATCACAGCCGTATTCCGAGTATAATCTGAACATCGCTTGCAGAATACCAGACTTGCGTAAGCATCCTGTTTGTGGGCTACATTTTGGGTCAGATCCCGTCCAACATGTTCATAAATCGAACCCGACCAAGTCGTTACATGGTGAGTCGGTACTCGTTGAGATTTGGGTCACAGTAGCTGACTGTCCTCTTGAATGAAGGGAATCATGATGATGTTGTGGGCAACCGTTAGCGCCCTCACTGCTCTTTCCAAGGATTTCGTCGGCCTTCTTCTCACCCGCTTCTTCCTGGGTGTCACCGAGGCTCCTTATTACCCAGGCGCAGTATATATCCTTTCCGTGTTCTACAACAGGAAAGAGATCGCCACCCGCATCGCGATTCTATACACAGGCAACGTCCTTGCGACAGCCTTCGCGGGCCTTATTGCCGCCGGTGTCTTTCATGGTATGGACAACGCCATGGGCCTCGCAGGCTGGCAGTGGCTGTTTATCCTGCAGGGAGCAGTAACTTTTGTCATGTTAGTTTACATCTTTCCTGAACCTCGAATCCATTCAAGGGTCCTTAAACTTGACTTACTAATATTACTCTGCAAACAGTGCTCTTGTCGGCTATTTCGTTCTGCCGGATTTCCCACTCACGACGAAGTGGCTGACCCCCGAGGAGCGTCAACTGGCTTATAACCGTATGGAACTGGACACGGTTCAGAACAAGGGCGAGACGGGTACTCTGGCTGGTCTCAAGCAGGCTGCTCGTGATCCTCTGGTTTGGGTGTTTGCAGCAATGGCGCATATGCATCTAGCGGCCAACGGATTCAAGAACTTCGTAAGTCACCTTCTTCCCGAACAAGGCCTGGTTCTGCTAACTAATCTCTTTTACACATAGTTCCCAACCGTCGTCGAGACCCTGGGCCTCGGCGAAACTGTTACTCTTGTTCTCACCTGCCCGCCTTACCTGATCGCCGGCGCGGTCACAGTCCTGCTCTCTTGGTCATCTGGCCGCTATAACGAGCGAACATGGCATATCACCGTTTCAAAGACTGTGGCAATCATTGGTTTTGTTGCCGCGGCTGCTACACTCAACATGGCAGGTCGTTATGTAGCCATGGTTATATTCACGATCGGAACCTATGGAGTCAACAGTCTCATCCTTGGCTGGTGCGGCAGTGTCTGTGGACGTAAGTGTCATTTGATCATACTTGAGTGCCCTTTCCTCCTCTCCTCTCTTAGTCGTCTTTTTTTGCTAGCACTGCAAAACACAGGCCTGTCGCGGAATGAGCATATGCTAACTTCCTTTGCAGAAACAAAAGAGAAGAAGAGCGCGTCCATCGCGATCGTCACGACAATCATGAATGCAAGCTTTATTTGGACTCCCTACCTGTGGCCTAAGAGCGACGAACCTCGGTATGCTATTGCGATGGGGGCTAGCGCAGGCTTCAGTTTGGCGACTTTCCTATTAGCTTGGTTGGCCAAATTCATGCTGGTGCGAAGGAACAATAAGCTTCGTCAGTCAAACAACGAGACAACCACCTTCTATGTGTACTGATGTACCGTTGGCAACGGGGGGGGGGGGCATTTTCAAAAGAACACACGGCTGCGATCACAACCTCAACAACCCGTTGCTCTTAGCCAAATAGATAGCAGCACCAAGGACAGATCAAAAGAGGTCTTTATGGTCAAGAGGGCCCAGAAAACTTTGGCTCGGCAGCTGTACAATAGGTTTAGTCTCATTTGGCAATAGGTGCTAGCAATCCGTACTTGATGGCCATGACAGGGTTCAAAGGCATTGAACCAAATATTCTTCATAATTTTGGCAGGTTTAATGGCAAAAATCCAAATGGGTAAGTGCTCGTTCCAATTCCTACTGCTCGTCCTACCTTGGATGTGGCTCAAGCAATGCCACCAGGCTACTAACTAGAAACCAGGGCTGTGTTTTCTCTTTATGGTGGCTGAGAATTAAATGGCCGGTTTCTTAGTTTTGAGTCACATGCTTAAATATTGTAGGTTGTCTCTGTTGAAAAGAGTTCCAAAGGTCGACGCTAGAGGATGCGATGGCCAGTCTCTGTTGCGTGACTATTTGCCCGGCTCTTAGTCGCCCACTAGCGGTGGTTCAGTCTGAGAGATTTCTAGACTATACAATTGAAAGATATTCACAGCTTCATATAAAATGCACCTTTTGAAGGAAACATGCCGATTCAGACACAACCATCTGTTCGTCACAATTCAAATCCAAACTCTTTCAACTTCAGCAGAAATCATCTTATTGCAACACGATATCACAACATTGCAACGATTCTTATTTCAAAAGACAACAAGAAATATCAGCAACATTTCCCATCCATAATGCAGTCCATCAGGGTCTTCCTGAGCCGTGTCTTCTTCGGCGAGACAGGCGCAGGCAAACCAGTGATGATGAACCGGCTCCAAGCTTCCATTCAACCTACCAAATCATCGGACACCTTCCACATCGATCCCAAATATAAGGACACTTGGTCGCGAGGACCAGATCTGCTCTGGTTGCATAACACCCAAGACAAGCAAAGGGAGATGTTGAAGGCCAAAATCGAGAGGAATTTCCCTGCTCCGGGAACATACACGTCATACATTGACCTTCCCGAGGGTCAAGTCCACTTTTCAAGGTACTTCCCCTAAGGGTGGTTCCTTCAGGTTCAGCGTTAGCGAAGCTCTGATCAGGCGGCAGAGAAACGCCTGTCATCTTGCTCGATGAAAATCACTCGGGCCCATGGCGTTGCTCAGTGGTTTCGAGTTGGTGCAATCACCGTAGAATGGGAATTACATCAGTTGGGTCCACTTGACGGTTGGAGGATGAATAGACTATCTAACCGAACTGCAAAGGCTGACGAAGTTGGGTTACGATTCGAATGACGTGGTGCGCTTAGTCCCCCCTCCCCCCCCCCCAAACTTCACGGTTGGGCGTAATATCATTTTACGGCCTTTGTTGTGGGGCGGCATTTGATCTAATCTACATAGGTAGGTAGACAAGCAGCCGTCGGATTCTGGGGCCGCAGTATACAACGGGTCAGTTTAGTCGGGCTCCTAAAGCCGGAATTGTCAAGTGCTTTAACAGAATTCGAAACAAGATTGAGACCTCGTTTCCGCCCCTTGCTCATATTCGGAAACAAATCAGATCAGTCGTTGATTTCCGGCGTGTTGTAAGGGGCGAGTCATTGGGCGATGAGAGCGTTTCAAATGCTGGCTTCGCTGCCGTGTGTGCAGCATCTCCGAGGGTTCAGGAGTCCACGACCTGTTCCGTTGCAGGTTCATGGTCGTGTGGGAGCGCCGCTCCCCTATCAAGGCGAAGGAGAGATAATATGACCCGTCGTTTTGCTGCGGCAGAGTCGACTACCCTTGGCCACCTGTACCGGCGTGTCGTCCATTCTGGAGCGACGCCATGCCCCACTGCAGTGGTGGCCCCTGTTCTTTCTGTTAGGTAGGCAGTGGGCAGTTCGTGCATGGCGTGGTAAGGTCGACGAAGCAGGGATGGCCGGATTACACAGCGAGAGTCATTGCACCTCCACTTGAAGACCGCGTGTCGAGAGGGAAGCTGGCCTGAACACATGTATGTATATTACCAAAAAGACATTTGGTTGTGATCTACCAGTCCGAGACCTGAGGAATTTCGGCAGATCGTTCTACCTCAAGTCGCAAGATCTGAGATTGATTCGAATTGCGACGGGAAATCCCCGGGATTGCGGGACGAGCGCGGGTTGCAAACCATGGAGTGCCTTGGCAAGCGAGGGCCATATTTTTTTCTTCTTGCAGATTGCACCGCCGTTTTCGCGGACATGGGCGCCTCTGGCGATCAAGCCCGTTTGGGGTGCCGAGAGAAGCGCGTCTGTGTGTGTGTACAGTGTATGTACAGCACACGCAGATGTGGTCCAGCAAGCGAACCAACATGGCAGCGTTCCAACGCCACGCCCCCGCCATGCTACGCCACGCCCGAGCTCGTGCCGTCCCGTGTGTTGGAGGCTGGGTACCGACGAGCTGTCAAAGTTGGCGCGGTAGCGCGGCTGAAGGGGTCTGGAGGCTGGCGGGCTGGAGGCTTCTCGGAAGCTTCCATCGGCAATGGGGTCGCCCCCTGAGGGATGGGCGGCCGGGATCGTCCAGATCGCCCAACGGTTGTGCCCTACACCGTCCACCGCACGGAACAGCCCGCGCTGGAGGGGTGCAGGAGCGGTTGATGGAAGCCATGGAAACCTTCTTTTGCTGGTTGCCCGGGTGCTCGGCGTTGGTGCCAACAGGAGATGGGCGCTGGGGAGGGACACGCGCGTGCCTCTCCGGCGGACCGGGATCTTTTGTTGGACGAGCAGCACGTCGTGCTTGGTACGCTAACAGTAGAACAGCAGGCCGGCCGTCCCGCAGTCAAGACCGGTCCCGGCAAGTCGGAAATCCTTGGGGCCATCGTGGGCATCCTGGCAACCGTCTGGCTGGCAGGTGGTGGTGCGCCGCGCTTGCAGGCCCAGTGCCGAAGCGAGGCGATGGATGGCGAGGGCTGCCCCTGAGACGGGGACGGTCCAAGAAAAACAGGCTCCATCTGCTGCCAGCGGATGCAACATCGGTGCCTTCTTGAGGCGTGAGATGGGGGGCTCAACGGGCGACAGTGGACCCCGGGCGACGACATGACACCAGCCCGTGGCCGCGGCATGAGGCGGATGCTTCCCGACAGCTCATGCTGGGCGGACGTGACTGGTCCTGAACTCTGTCGGTGGGGTGTTGGCAATTACTCGCGGACGCCGTCCCCTTGATTTTCTGTCAGCGGGGCTGTGTCCGAAACCAGCAACGACCGCCCTCCGACCCCCGTTTTCTGGCTCGTTTACGGCGGCGATGGGGACGCTCTGCCCTGCCCGCGAAGTGAACAAATAAGAATCTGCCGCTCACCTTGCGCGACACGGCCAGCCAGGCCACACAGCACTGCCCTTCTGCATCCCCAGCCGGTCAAGTGATCAACGCCTCCCCAAGTCGACGTGAAACAGCCGAGACCGGTGTGCATCCAACGGTCCAACCTCCAACCGTCCAACGCTGCCGCCGCTGGAACTCAACTCCTCCGCCGTAGCTGCTCACCTCTCTGAAGCCTCCCGGCAGCAGCACACCGACCAGGCTCACTCGCCCACTAACTCGCTCACTCAGCGTCACCCCGAGACACTCACGCCACACTCTCCCACACACGCGCCCACACCGCTCCCGAGTGTTTGTTCCCGACGGGCAAGAAATGTCGACCTCATCGGAGCGAGAGCCTTTTGTGGAGGCCCGCTTCCTCGAGGACTTCGAGAAGGGCTCGGAACTGCTGGAGGCGCCTTTCAACCCGAACGTCATGAAGGCGGTCATCAACGCCTACCGCGAGCTCATTGACGACGCCGCCATACAAATACGCAGCAGCAGCAATCCGGGACTGCCCCTCGCGTTCCGGCTCTTCTTGGCCACACCCACCGACACGCTGCAAATCGCCCAGGACCAGGGGTGGTTGCATCCCGACAACCCCGTCCTCAACCTCGCCAGGGCCATCCGGACCCAGTGCAAAGGCGCCATCGAGCAGCCAGAGTTCACAGCCGACAAGGGGTGCGACGCCATGCTCATGTACCTGAACGGCCTGCGGGACCTCGACTACGTCCTCGCAACGCCGGGCATGCCCGAGGGCATCAAGGCAAACAGGCAGAAATTCCTCGACATCGACCTCAATGTGCTCGTCGTCGTCCACTTCGACTACCCCCAGGAGCTGATATCCTTCTATTTCCTCGGCCAGGGCCCTCTGTCCAAAGAAACCCTGGACAAGATGGTCGCCCTGACTGGCGCACCACCACCGTCGCAAGAGGTCTACACCGACATCGTCGGCGTGCTGCTGGACTCCTCGTACTATCTCACCGTCTGCATGGACTACCACACCGGCAGGATTGCCAAGATCGAGCTGCACCTGCTGTTCCCCGTCAAGCTGCCCCCGGATATGAACATCCCGACCGTCCCGGGGCGGCTGGAGAGCTTCTGGGATATCCCCAGCTATGAGTCCGAGGAGATGGATGTGCTGTCGTACTGCTTCGGCGACACGCATACCGGCGACATGTTGGCATTAAGAGGTTACTGCGGAGGCTTCAGAGAGTTGATGAGGTCGTGGGGTATCATCGGCGCGTGATTTGTTTGGCCGCAAATCAAAACGAAAACAAGATGCAGGAGCCGACAAGACAGAAAGGGGCCCGTGAGATGCCTCGGTCGCAACAGAGGAGCCATTGATATAGCATAGAAGCGATTGATACCCAAAGACCAGCGTGCCTTGGCACTTACTGTAATGAACAGTATAAGTCTTGTCAAAACTGTCCGGACGCCCTCATAACATCGGGCAACGATAATAAAAAACCGGTACGGTCTTTTTTGGGAAACGGGCAAACAGGCCCAAAGGGCATCTGATCTTGGGAAGGACGGTTGTACATCGGGAACTGGACATCTGGCGGGAGGCCTGCATCCCTAGATAGTAAACAGGGAAAGCTAGCCAGGGCATATTCATCTTGTGACTTGCTGATGACCTTGGTTCGGGACTCTCCATGTCGATGCTCTGAACAAGGAAAACATCCTGGCTCGAGCTCCTGTTAACAATACTGGCAAAGAGTGTCGAGGAAGGAGGAGCGCTGTGGGCAGAGAACATTGAAAGGATGTCGAAGACATGCGGTCGATGAGGTAATTATATCACTCTAGCCTAGGCCTCTAAGAACATTATAGTGGAATATTAAGTTCTCCAAAACCGACTAAACGAGCACCATCGCCGTTAGCCTCTTCCAAGGCAGGCTAAGTGAGGAACAGCTTACAAACCCCGGCCATGCGAACGATATCATTAACAGAATGCCTCGCTATAAGACTTCTTTATAATCACGCGCTTTTCCTCGCTACGTGGGGATTGGATCGGATGGTCGCCACAAGCTGCGTGAGAATTTAGTACATTAACCTGAGACCGAGACCGGGAACACAACGCGCCCTTCGGTGTTTGCAGGTCCAACTGAGGACGTACCCCTCTTTTGGGAGCTCATCACTTATACCAGTACCGCTACCGTGATATCAGCTCTGAGTAACCCATATCACCGAGTCTCAGTGTGAGAAATCAACCATTGTCATACTCCATTCATAGCTCATTCCTTATTTCCCAACAGCCAATATGCCGGTGCACAGCATTGCTGAATTCAAAATCGATGCTTGGGGTTTGTCGTTGCCTGCCACATTCTCCGACCACGAGACCCAGGCTAACATTTCTGCGCAGTGAGAGACTATGGGGTAAGATCCCTTTTAATGCTTGCTCGCATGGATATCCATGATCTAACCCAGATATTATGGCAGCCTGTGGCCAAGCATCAGCTCCAAGGTTGGACCTCTCTCAGATCGTCTTTGCGACTGATCTAATTCCAGCCCAGGATCGTATGCGACGGCTCTCTCCCTGAAAGATTTACAAGAGCTTCATCCAGCCAAGATTAGCCCGGTCGACCCGGAGCTGAAGCTCACGTATGGCCAAGTCAAGGGCAGTGTGGGCCTCCGCAAGCGGATCGCGAGCCTTCATTCCTCCAGCGATGTCAAACTGACAGAAGACAACGTCGTCATCACCCCGGGGTCAATAATGGCGAATTACCTCGTACTTGCCTCAATCTGTGGGCCCGGAGACCACATAATCTGCCAATTCCCTACTTACGGGCAGCTTTACCTCCTGCCAAAGCACCAGGGCGTCGATGTAGATCTCTGGACGATGAAGCCCGAAGGCGAATGGGCCCCAGATGTTGAAGAGCTTCGGAAGATGATCAAGCCGAATACCACTGCAATCATCATCAAGTCTGTAAAAGCGCTGACGGTGTGATTGGTGATGTCTCTATGCTAACATGTGAAAGCAACCCAAACAACCCAACTGGCTACACCTTGTCCAAGGATTTCTTGGAAAAGATTATCGACATCGCCCGAGACTCTAAAATCACCGTCTTCTCGGACGAAGTATTCAGCCCGCTCTTCCACTCGCCGACCGTCCCTCCCCCTCCAGCGGTTTCCCTCCCTTACGCCAATACTGTTTCCACGGGCTCCCTATCCAAGTCCTACGGCCTGCCCGGGATCAGAATCGGCTGGGCCGTCTCACAGGACCTGGACCTCATCCAGCGGATCGTCAACCTCCGGGACTACACCACACTTTCCGTGTCCCAGATCGACGACGGCATCGCACGCCACGCGCTGAGCCCGGAAATCCTCCCGCAGCTGATGTCCCGGAACCTGGCGAGCTGCGCGGAGAGCATCGCGAAGGTGGAGGAGTTTGTAGGCAAGCACCGGGACCGGTGCCGCTTTGTCAGGCCGCAGGGGGCAGGGACGGCGTGGGTGCAGATCGTGGACGCGGGCGACGGCCGGGCTGTGGACGACGTCCAGCTGGCCCGGAGGCTGGCCACGGAGAAGAGCGTGTGCGTGGTTCCTGGGGGCCTCTGCTTCAGCGAGGATGGTGGTGGCGACTTCAGGGGCTATCTGCGGTTCAGGCTGGGCGATCCTGAGGTCTTGGAAGACGGGCTGCGAGCTCTGGGGGAGCTGCTGTGAAGTGTGGTTGTGCATCATGGACACACACACACACGCATATACATATATACACATATATGGATCAGGTATCATACTACAATCCATCAAACCACAATTCGTTGGCACCATGGGCGGTGTAGCTAACTACGTGCATGTCAACAATTCCGGTGTGATACAAATTGTCCAAGTCGCACAACGTCAGGGTCTGGTGACCATGCACTTACACTACCTATTGCAAGAGACTAGTGAACACACTTCGGATCTGGTAGATCAATGGTGAGGTCTCACGCAGCTTACACTGTAGCTCCAACATTGTCCAACATTTTGGGCCGACAGCCGGGAGTCACCACCGTTATCGATCAGCCCATGCAAGCCTGCCAAGGCCCGTGGAGCTACCTTGGTATAGTGTCGCGGGTACATATCTCTGGGCCAATGCCGTCTCCTCGTCTTACGATAAGCCGTACCACCGGCACCCAGTGGCGCCGATAGGCATTGTGGACGGGATGTTTGAAATACTTTGTCCCTTCCTCCTCCGTCTGCATTGTGACGGTAACTTTTGCTGGACGGGCGTTTCGAGGGACGCCTGCTTCACTCTCCACGACTCAGACGAGACAGAACGATGGCGCTCCCCAAGGTCCGACTTCCTCGGCTGCAAAAGCCTCGACTTCACGTCGAGCAGCCCAAATCATCTTTTGCAGAAGGTAACGCAAGGTGGTCAGTAAATGGAAACTCCTATTTCTCGTCGTCAGGCCGACTGGTACGGAGACTGACGTGTGAATAGGACAAACAAGGACCTCGACCCCGTGCCCCCACACGAAAGGAAATGGGGCGTGACGAGCTTCATCGCGTACTGGATATCAGATGCATTCAACGCGGCAACCTGGCAATTCGGAGCCAGCGTCATTGCGGTCGGGTTGACATGGCGCGAGAGTGTCGCTGTTGTGGCATTGAGCTTCTTCATCATCTCTATTGTTGTAAGTCAGCCCAGTGCTTCACTTCACTTCGCATTACCCGGCAGTAGACTTACATATCGCGCCTCAGATCGCATTCAACGGAGCCACGGGCGTTATCCACCACACCCCGTTCCCTGTCATCGCACGTGCAGCATGGGGTTTCTGGGGATCCTACGTCGCTATTGTCTCGCGGGCTATATTGGCAACCTTTTGGTTTGCGATTCAGACGATGAACGGAGCATTCACCGTCCGCTGCATGATCGGAGCGATTTGGCCCTCCTTCCTGACGCTCCCGTCGAACATACCACCGTGGCAAGGCATTGACGACGCCACGCTGGGTTGTTTTGTGATCTTCTGGTTCGCCCAGATTCCCTTCCTGCTCATGCACCCGAACCAGCTCCGGTGGCTCTTTATGGCCAAATCGATCATCGTTCCCGTGGCCTGGATCGCAATCCTCATCTGGGCCCTCGTCAGCACCCGCGGGTCCGACATTTTCGACCAGAAATCCACCGTGTCCGGGTCGAGCTACAGCTGGGCCTTCCTGGCATCGATGAACTCCGTCATCGGGAACTACGCGACCTTGTCGGTCAACCAGGCCGACTTCTCGAGGTACAGCCGCGTCTCCGTGCGGTGGCAGTGCATGTACGTCCCTCTGCTGCCGGCCTTCTTCACATTCATCGCCTTTGTCGGCATCGCCTCGGCCTCTGCTGGCGGCGTGCACTACGGCGTGATAGAGTGGGACCCCATCGCGCTCATCTCGCACTGGAGCAACCGGCCCGCCAGGTTCTTCGCCGCGGCCTCGTTTTCCCTCGCGGCGCTCGGCGTCAACATCTCCGCCAACTCCCTCTCGGCCGCCAACGACTTCATGGCGCTGTTCCCGCGCTTTGTGAACCTGCGCCGCGGGCAGCTCCTCTGCGCGGTGCTCTGCTGGGCCCTGGTGCCGTGGAAGATCCTCGCGTCGGCGGGGTCGTTCCTCAACTTTATGTCCGCGTATGCCATCTTCCTCGGTCCAATCGCAGCAATCATGCTCTTCGACTTCTGGGTCGTGCATAAGCGGAGGTACGACACTCTGGCCTTGTATGACCCGCACAGCATATACCGGTATAAGGGCGGAGTGAACTGGAGGGCCATAGTGGCCTTCCTCGTCGGTGTCGCACCCAGTCTGCCTGGATTCATCAACGGCATCAACCCTAACATTAATGTGGGTTTGGGAGTCCACCCTTACCAGATCGGCTGGATGATCGGCTTCGTCGGGACTGCGGTTGTCTACACTGGTCTGTCACTGCTACTGCCTGCGAGGGAGACCTTTATAGACCGGGCTGTGAGGCCGGACGAGATATACGCGACTCAAGCAGACTACATCAACGCACAAAGTCCCAAGCCCGGCGATGGGAGTGGAAGCGGCGAGCTGGAAGCCGGTGTCCCTGAGAAGGCTGGTCTACGAAGTAGACTGGAGAAGTTGCTATAGTCTTGAGTCTTTACTGTTCACTCTGTCGAGACTGAGTCTCCGTCCGTCCGTACAGACGCCAGTAACAAAGGCTGTCTTCTCTCACAGTATACGACTCAAGATGCAAAAGAAGCACGTGAAAACCCCAGCTGCCGTAGCCTAATAGGGGGATTCGTACCGAGAAAGAACATGCAGATCTTGGAACAGGACATGTACCAGAGAACCACGAGTGCCATGCCGTGACCGCATCCCACACCAGATATAGAACAAATCTTACGGATGACGCGACGTGGCTGCTTTTGTTTGCCAAATGCGGAAAGGGACGCAGCAGCCCTTGTGTAAGCCACCAGCCGGCACATTTGCTCCGGACTGGATTCCCTCGATTGGTGCTGAGGACCTGCATTTAGACAGCTTGAGACTGGTTTGCTGTGGCATGATAGCACGAGCGTGAAGAAAGGGGGAGATATGTCTTGTTCAAATACCCCGTGGCAAAGGGATCCTGGCTGTATCATGTTGCTTCTTCACACCAATGCTGCGAAGCAATTGAAAAGGGACTTCAGGACAGTGGCTATTCTCACAATCCGAGAGAACGCCATTTGTTGGGAACATTGAGTTGTACAAGCTTGAGCGCAGCCAATCAAAATCTCACAATGCCTCAAAACATTTCAAATTACTCTCGTGAGTGAAGATGGTCTCAATTTGTTGTGGACACTACCTCCAATCTGCTCCGAGATACAGGCTTCATCGTAAATTCAAAGGATCGGCGCCGTCCAGAGATACGCTTTTCCGCCATGATCTACTCCACAGGCCGCTCCGGGTCCAAAAGCCACGCCAATTCCAGAAACAACCGATAAAGATACAGCCCCTGGTGCACCGGCGTGAGCGCGCGGTGGTACCACTTCCTGCCCTCCTCGGCGATGCGGAAGGCGACCTCCTGGCCCTCCTCGGTGGTGGCGAGGAAGCGCATCAGCTCGGGCAGCTCGTCCATGCTCTGGCTGACGGGGACGTAGTGCAGCCAGGGGATGAGGCGCTCGTCGTGCCACTCGCGGAAGATGCTCATCTTGAGCGGCGTCGTGTGGCCGGCCAGGGCCTTGTGGAAGCGCCCGCTGTAGCTGTTGCCGTCGATGTCGAACGCGAACCGGTACCGGTACGGCTGCGTCGGCGGCTGGTCGCTGTGCTCGTCGATGTGGAAGAAGCGCGCCTGCTGCTCGCACTCGTCATCGTCGCACTGCAGTGCCGCGGAGATGTGTACGTTGTACAGCTTGCGGTCGAGGTGGGGCGTCGTATACGTGTGCCAGGGGTCGCTGGCCCGCCCAGTGTCGTTGGCTGGCTGCAGGTATGTGTAGTTCTGGCCCTTTGCGTGCATGTTGGCCAAGATCGCGAGCCGTTGGCGGTGGCCGTGCCGCCATGAAGTGTCCTTGTGCCAATGACCACCGGTCGTGGAGCCATGCCAGAACACGGCATTTTTCTTTTTGTGCCATGGCGTGTCGAGTATCCTATTGTAAAGGTTGTGGGGGAAGGCGTAGTGGGGCGATGGCATGAGGATATCGGAGAAGGGATATGGGGCCGCCCTTGACAGCAGAGGCACGGCGGTGCCGAGCTGTCTGAAACTGGTCGGGGAGTTCAGGAAGCCGTGGTAGTCCTTGTACTCCGGATGGAGACACAGATCCTTCTCTTCCTCGACGCTCTGCACGAAAGGCAGCCCAAATGTCTCGACTTTGTTTGTCAGGAGCCTGTCCACCGTGGTTTGCCCCCGGACCATGCATGCCTCGGCCACTTTCTCCACGATGTTCTGGCGAGCCAGGTTGGGCCACTCGGAGGCCATGTCATCGTTTGCATCGTTCATCAGCAGCACCGAGGGCTCGTCGAGAGTGTTGACCGGGACTTTTATATCTGGAAGGCGCTTCTTCGCGTCTCCAAATATCCATTCCATGACGTCGGCAAAGTAGGCGCAGTCCTGAAACCCATCAGCCTTGGTGTATGAGCATAGCGTTGCAGCCGCGTTGTCGCCCGCGGTTGCCTTCTCCATCAGGTTCTTCAACCTCTCTGGAGAGTACTGGTGAAAGGGCTCCACATTCTCGAAGACGGTATCGAAGTCATCGATTATCGGTGAGTGCTGTCGCAAGGCGTACTTGACCCATTCCTTGAAGCCTGGCGGCGGCGGCTTGCCGTACCGCTCTTGATACTCGGCGGCTGCCTCATCCGGACTCTGTGACTGCTGAGATAGGAGTTCTTGGAAGTCGCGAATGGCCTGTTGGTGTAGCAACTGTACTGGATGGGGCGGCCCATTCTCCGATGCCTTCGTGGGCAATCGGGGGAAGGCTCGTTGCCTTGGGAGGAGGAGCAAGATGACCAAGGCGCAAACAATCCCTAGAAGCACAGCTTCCTTGTGGAATCTGGCCTTCCTGGCCATGTACGTGGGGTGCAACATGAAGAAACAGGCATCTGTAGAAACGAAGGCTTACGCATTTCCAGAAGTTTGATGTTCCAAGGGCTCCCCGGGGGTGCTGAGGGCATTTTGAGCATGGCGTGGCCCTGCTCTCCTCCCTTGGGACGGCAGATCCCTTCCCTCCCTTCAAATCGACGAAACGCACCGACCAAATACTATCATCTCTAAGTCAGAGGTACCTTTCTACTTGCTTCAGTATCCGACCAAATTTTGGACCCCTTTAGTTCCAATAGCAAGTGTGTAAAGAACTCGAGGTCCTCACCGCTGCGGAACTAAGCCTTAGGTACCCCAGTTGGCGGGGCCAGCCATTCGTTGAACGATTCCATCGCTTGATGGTAGGCGACACCCCCAGATCAAGGACGGCTGGAATGGCTCGAAGAAATGAAACTGAGTGCTTCCGCACTTGGTGGTGGAAGGCCAGCTCCTGCGACGCTTGTCAGGGCCCTGCCACACCGGGGATGAACGTGTTGCGTCTGGCCCACTCGCAATAGTGAGGTATCCAGGACTCTGATCCCATGTCTCAGAGGAAGGCCAAGGCGCGTCGCGTCGCGTCATGCAAATGGGAATGGGAATGGGAAGGGTGCGTCCCGTGACCAAATATGAGTGGTGGCGCTCTCCCACACGGAATTAGGAAGATTGGACTCATGCAGTCTCCCATCTCATGCCATGAGTGCCCCAAGATGCCAACCTGAGCCCAGTGATGCTGTTCGTTGTCGGTCCCAGCTATGCTCTGTCGTGCTCGCCTTTTCGCTCTGCCTGAGAGCGCTCACGACCTTCGTGGGCAATGTGGTTCCTGAAGGTCGTCCTGTGTTCAATGACTCTATCCTCAAGACATCGCGTAATAACACACACATGTCCGAGTCACTGGCGAATGGTCGATGATGCTGTTGCTAAAGTGAACGTCGAGAATAGAGCCGCAATGGACCCTCACCAGAACCCTTGCGGCCACCGCACCGTAACTGGGCCCTGGATGTGCTTAAATGCCAAGGTGGTGGGGCCGAAGCGGACTCCGGTCGGCGCCGCATTGGCGGCATTGCGGCATCGGCTTTGTAGCTGTCGCAAGTCTGGGAACGGCATTTCTCTTTTGTTTGTTCGCCCGCCGCCGACTCTTGCTAGCCCCTGACACATCTTCCCCTGACAATGTTGCCCAACGCATAACCACACCGTCACAGATTCGACCCGGGCATGGCAGCGGCCCCTTTCTACTACCGCGCCTTTCTGCGCCGGCAGGTTCAGTCTCTCAGGTCCAGCAGCCGGCCGCGACACCAGCAGCGGCGATGGAGGCACAGCAAGCCCGAAACCGATGCATCGGAAAAGGAGATCCCCATCCCCAACACGGTGCCTACTGCTGACATTCCATTTTGGATGCGCCTTGGGCCCTTGACCCGTACGGTGCAGGCATATGGTCGAGCGCAGAGGAAGAGGCCCTGGATTACTCAAATCTGCACATCCTTGACCATATACTTGTTCGCCGACCTCTCGGCGCAGCGCATCAACGGGAAGGAATATGATGTCGAGAGGACCGGGCGGTCGCTGATCATCGGAAGCATCTCTTCTATCCCTAGTTATGAATGGTGCGTTTTCCTGCCTCTCTGCCTCCAGATTATGAAATGCGACAACATACAGCAAGCTGACCGTCTGCGTGTGGTCCAGGTTTATGTGGTTGTCGCGCAACTTCAACTACTCGTCGCGAGCCCTCTCCATAGCTACCAAGATCGTTGTCAACCAGTCGATATTCACGCCCCTGTTCAACACCTACTTCTTCGGCATGCAGGCATTCCTGGCAGGCGACAACTTTGTTGAGATCTGGGCGCGTGTAAAAAGAACCGTTCCTGTCAGCCTGATGAATTCTGTGAAGCTGTGGCCCATCGTCACAGCCATCAACTTCCACTACGTCCCTCTGGAATACCGCAGTGTCTTCGCAGGCGTCATCGCCGTTGGGTGGCAGACATATCTGACGTGGTTGAACCGGCGCGCCGAAGAGGAAGAGGCCATTTCCAGGCCAGGTGGGAGGATACCGCCGTCCGGCATCAAGATGGTGACCTCTTAGACCATACAGACTGTGCGTAGATGGGCGCAGATACGACACCGTATCCATACATGGTATATATAGGGAAAGGGGCATGCATAGACAAACAGGCATTAGACGGCGTTCAGGTTTTGCGCAGATAGACAATAGAGAGAATAGAATCAGACCGGGAATAAATATCCAGAACCCCCTGGGGCAAGCAGGGGACTCGGCAGTTTGCACTGTGCATTGACTCGTGATCGCGCCATATCGTACGGTGCTCCAGTGCAGATCGCACGGTAAGCAAACCACATGTCAGGAGAGGCTCGTGCTGCTTCTTCAAATTCCCGACTGCGGCAGCTTTCTTCCCAGCACCAACGTCATTTGTATTTCAACCCACGTTCTCTCAACACCAGCGAGCCATTGAGCCCTGGCGCCGCCCAGTGCCTCTCCTTGACCATGGCTCGACTGACGCCCCGCGGTCTGCGCACCCCTCTGACGGCCCTGCGCCTCTCCAGGCCAGCTCCCCGACCTCAATTCTCGTCATACCAGGCCGCGCTCCGTTCTGCGTCCTCGTCCCCGACGAGTCAAGAAACCACGACCTCCTCCTCCAGCTCTGAACAGCAGAATAAAGAGGAGCAAGATCACAAACAGCCTCCCAAACGATCCGCCATCGGTCTTGGCACGGTCGCCCTGTCCACCTCCCTCCTAGCCTCCGCCTATCTTCTCTATCTCTACGCGACCGACACGCGCGCATCATACCAACAATGGCTCGTCCCACCTCTCCTGCGACTCGTCTACTCCGACGCTGAAGAAGCCCACCACGTCGGCACCAAGGCCCTGAAGTTCCTCTATGAGCTGGGCTTACACCCGCGCGAGCGACCCTCACGGGCGCCCGGTATCGTCCCCGAGCCCAGCGACCTCGCCACCCAGGTGTTCGACGTCAATCTTGCGAGCCCAATCGGCATATCGGCGGGCTTGGACAAGGACGCCGACATCACCGATGTGCTGTTTGAGCTCGGGGCGGGTGTCGTCGAGGTTGGCGGCTGCACCCCTAAGCCGCAGGGGAAACCCCAAGCCCCGTGTCTGGAGGGTGCCGACCGTGGAGGGCATGGTCAACCGGTATGGCCTGAACAGCCGAGGCGCGGATGCTATGGCCGCGAGGTTGCGAGAGCGCGTCCGGAAGTACGCCAGGTCCCTAGGCTTTGACCGAGCGGGAGGTCCTCAACGGGGAGGGCGTGGATGTCCCCCCAGGCAGTCTACTTCCCGGCAGGCTACTTTGCGTGCAGGTCGCGAAGCAGAAGGAGACGGACGAGCGGGATGTTGACGCCGTGGCGAGGGACTACGTGTACTGCGTGAACCGGGTGGCTCCCTACGCCGACGTGTTGGTCGTGAACGTATCCAGCCCCAACACGCCCGGGCTGCGAGACCTGCAGGCTGCGGAGCCTCTGGGAAGGATATTGAGCGCCGTTGTTCAGGAGGCGAGGAAGACGAACCGCAAGACCAAGCCCAAGGTCATGGTCAAGGTCTCACCCGACGAGGACGAAAGCGCGCAAATGGCTGGCATTGTGCAGGCCGTGTACATGAGTGACGTGGACGGAGTGATCGTGGGAAACACGACCAAGCGGAGGGCGGGTCTTGTGCCACAGGGTGTCAGGCTCAACTCCAGGGAGCAACAGGCGCTGACGGAGACGGGCGGGTTCTCTGGTCCGTCCATGTTCGACCGCACGCTGGACTTGGTCGGGAGGTATCGCAAAATGCTGGATGCACAGTCACTGCAAGGTGGTGAGGGACAGGAGGATCATGCCGTCGTCCCGGCTCTGGAGGGCATTGTGTCTAGCAAGGCGCAAGACTCGAAACAGCCCCCGCGGAAGGTCATCTTCGCCACGGGCGGCATCAAGAACGGCGAGCAGGCACTCAAGGTCTTGAACGCTGGCGCCAGCGTGGCGATGATCTACACAAGCATGGTCTACGGCGGAGCTGGTACAGTGACACGGATCAAGGGTGAGATGAGGTCGGCATTGACTGATGTTGAAGCGTGATCTTAAGCCTGCATTTTTTTAGGAGACAGTGAATAGACAAAACGATGTTCCCGAAAGCATGAATATATGGAGCCGAAGTTCGAGATCCGAGTTTGACCTGCCATAATTCAAGAATCCACGTACAACAACTCCTGATTAGCCATGCAGCCGCTTCTAGGAACGTTGTTCGCTAACCGCTGGAAAAAAGAGTATAACATGTCGCCTTGTGGTTGGTGCCTCCGAGAGCGTGAGGTGAGAGACGAAGTCATCAGAGCTGATTTATCCATTGCGCTGGACAGAACGGTCGATGCTGATAGATACAAGTCAGCTCTTGCAGGATGAAGTGAGCGTGCGGTCCAGAGTGGCGATGAGCAGCTGTTCGAATCTTAGGTCCGCTTTATCTGCTGGTTGCGACTTGTCCCAGCTACTTCTCAAAGTTCAAAGGCTGAACCCCGATTCGCCAACTTTGACTAATTGGGAGAGGATCGCTCCAACCTTCTCATGTCATGGTTATGTACTGCTAGCCTTGACCATGCGAATGGCATGCTATGTGCTTGCTTTGCTCATCAGGCATCGAAGTAGCCTCTCTTGAGAGCTGATAACCAAGACAGCCTGTTGCTGCTACACTCCGGAAGCTTGGGATGTGCACTCGATATTTGAAACTGCCATGGCTTGTTCTCCACATCTAGGACAATCCGGGTTGTCTTACTTCCCGCCGTGTACTTGCGTTGCTCTGTGCATGTTGAGAGTGTTAACAATGAACAGAACATACGCCTCCTCTCGTCTCAACCTCTTTCTCAACACTAAATGAGCACTGAGTTAAGAGAGAATCAGGGATAAAGAATGATATAGAGAGACACCAGAATTGGTGGAAAATAGATGAGGACCTTGGTCCTCCAGGTTACTCCCTCCCCCCCGTAACCTTATCGAGAGAGAATGGTCTCTTCCCCTCCAGCACAGCATCGAGCTCGAAATCAAAATGTCCATGGTCATGCCACGCCTCCTTCCGATGCACCGGCTTCCAGCCCAGCTTTTTCTCACCAACCGTCCCGATCGTGTTCCAATGCCCTGCCCATCCGACCGACGCGATGTGCCTCCCGAAGTCCCCACCACCAAAGTAAGGCGCAGCAGTGTCCAGGTCCACCTCCTTGACCTCCTTGGTCTGGATGATCCCCTTCCGCGCCACGGCCTCGACGCAGTCCCGCGCAATATCCACCAGCGTCACCATCCCAACGCAAGGGAACACGATCCCCTCCTTGCCGCTCGGCACCGCCCTCCCACCACCCTCGACGACCTCCTCCGCCACGCGGACGTATAGCTCCGCCAGGTCGTCCACGTGCACGAACCCCATCTGGGCCGTCCCGTCTCCCAGCCTGGCCCCGTACCCGTTATCCAGCACGAACCGTATCATGGTCGGCACCATCGCCTCGGCCGTGCTGAACAGGCCCCTCCCGGGCCCGAAGATGGCGGGGCTCTGCAGCGCCGTGGTGCCGACGCCGAGCCTGGAGCCCGCCTCGAGCACGGCCAGCTCCGCGGCGCGCTGGGGGTACGGCTCCCGCGCCTCCTTGTCCCGCTCGAGCTCGTAGATGCGCAACGGGTCGCTGTCGTCGAGCCAGAAATCCTCGGGGTAGCGATCGCCCGCCAGCGGGTTGTCCGACATGTTGGAGTTGCCGCTCGTGTGGATGAGCCACGGCGGCACGGTGGTGCCCTCGTCGCCGTTGTTGCCCGTGGTGGCAGCCTTGCGCTTGGCTAGCCCGTGGACCAGGGCCTCCGCGCTTGGGGGGTGGTACCCCGTACCCGCGTTGATGACGATGTCATGCTCGCTGGCGAGCCTGGTTATGAGATCCAAGTCGTCCAGGGTTGTCAGGGGAACGGTGGAGATCTGGTCCCCGTAGACGGACTTTAACTTGTCGGCGCGGTCGGCACCGCGGATAAGAACGCTAATGGGTAGGCATCTAGCGAGGGCAGGGGATCGGGTGAGGTAATAGAGAACAGTGCCACCTATGTAGCCTGTTGCACCAAGGAGGAGTATCTTTGGTGAGGACGGAGATGCCATTGTGAGACCTAAGATAGCTCTGGGAGTGGGTCTTGGTGGGCGCACTGTGAATTGCAGCTTGTATGGGTATGATGGTTAAGTTTGAGCCTTTGCTTTTATACCACCCTCTTTATGTTCCAGGCTTCTTTGCTGGTGACTTTCGTTCTCCATGGAACCGGCGAATGAGTACAATTATTCAGCATCTGCGAAGGTGTGTTGCTACTGCGCAGGTCTAAGGGCCCTATTGGGTGCTTGCCCGTATCTGCCAAGCTTCCAATGCACCTGGGACGGTGTAAGCCGGTTGGAATGTGACTCTGCACTCCAAGTCGTCGCAATGACCACCTGTAACTGGGCACCCCCAGCCTGCCGCCGGTTTTAAGAGGAGCACAACACGATCATGACGTTGCAATCAGCAGTCTATTACCCGAAAGGGCTGTTAGCGTCGCCTTCGTCTGCAGGTAGCATGCAGACTAGAGTTGCGACATCAAACAAAAGACACACGTTACCAACAGAGACGGGGTATCTGTCACTTGAGACTGGGTGGGAATGCTTGGTAATAGAAAACAATTCGAGTCTAAAATATGACAAGTTTGTGAGAATATTAAGGTGCTATTTTTAATCCACTGGAATAGCGGTTCCGCATTTGTATCACGAGTTCGGCGTGATGTCCCGGCTCCATGAACTCAGTCGATGAGGGAGAAGCAGGTGCTCAGACTCGAATTGTATACTATAGTGCAGTTTATCCCACGGTAGGTTATCCCACGGTAGGTTTCCGCGGTAGGTTATCCCATGTAGAGACCTGACCGGTTGACAATTCTACTCCTCTTGATGCACATCGATGCATTCTCGGTTCTCACCCTGAAGGAAACGTAGCAACTTATGGAATTAGAATCACTCCTTGGTGACGCAGTTACAAGAAAGAGCAAGACGGCGTAAGGAGCAATACATAATCAATTGTCCCATGATTGATAGAGGTCATAACGAGACCACGTCGAACCACCTTAATCAGGCATCAAAGCATATTACGGCAGGCAAGTTTGATTGACACACAATGCAGGGTTTCTGACATGGTGTGGTGCCTCAAGCCACCTGTAAGGATCTTTATTTCCGTGGCCAAACGAGGCTCTGAAGTAGGTTACACACCCGTAACCGGCGTGTGTAGGGAACTGCTTACAAGCCATTCAATGTGTGCAATGTGATTCTCAACCTGTCACAGGACAGCAGCCGCAGACCATTCATACGAGTTCCAACATTGTGTGCAACAACTTCCTCAATGACATGTCCGATACCTTACCCTGAATCGCACTAGTCTGACCTCGGCGAAGACATCTTTTCGGATGGAGAAGAAGGTCACGAGGGCGATATGGAGGGGAAACGCAATTGAGTTGACCTGACTTTGGGAGTTAAACCTGGCTCTCATTTCCGTGTTGGTTTAAGAAGCTTCACGGTCCTAGCTACCTGTTAGCATCGAGAAGGCAAGTATTTAGTATTTTTCAGCAGCACTTCTGCCCCCTTCCACAAGATTGTCGCGTGCGCATGCTTTATAAGCAGTAGTATTCCCAGGGCTGCTGCTTTGAAATCAACCTCACCGGCAGTAAAACAACTTGGAGGGTTCGGGCTCTTTTAGGGCAAAAGGCCCAATTTTCGGCTGTCATTGTTGTCATTTTGGAGGCGAGCTTTAACTTGGTATCGATGACTGTGGTTCCAGCAACCCACTTCGATCACGGATTGTGGATCGCTAGACTTATCCCAGTGACCTCGGGAGTCAGAATTGATCCTATACTGACTGGGATCTTAATATCGAAGGTTCCATGCATGGAGTGGTTCATTCACGACCTTGAGAGGGAGCTTCTCCGTTGTCGATCTGGAATGGAGGAATACAGGAGAGCTTGCTGTGAACAACTCTGAATCTACTTGTTACGATTTTGGAGTTTGGATTGAAAATGTTGCACATCTAAACACAGCGCTGGTAACCTTAAGAAATGAGGATCCGCTTGCTCAGGTGCCACTTGACCCAAGCAAATCGCGACCGTCACGTTCCCACACACTAGAGATTGGAAGGTCCCCGCTGCGTGACTATGGGTACCAGGTTTCTGTCCCTCGGAGACATCCATATTCGATGCTCATCCCAACGAGGTCGGGAAGTTTTGTAAGAAGGGCCAGCAAGCATAGATAACCTGACCCGGCCATTCCAAGGCTGCTGCTACTACTCAGTGTGACCAAGCTCGCGAGGAGAAATACCCTCGGAAAAGTTACCGGAAGATGGTGCAATTTTGTGAATGAGCCAAAGATGGCTAAATCGTGATGCGATCGATGCTTATAATCTGGAAACATGTTGCAGATGCCAGCATGTGATGACCTTGATTGACAAGAGAAGCCAGACCACGACACAGAATCTGTCTCACCTAGGCAAATACTTCGAATCGATACCATGATGCTCTAGACAAAATCTGAAATAAAAGAAAATGCGGTCAAGATCTACGTATGTACAAAGAAGTGACATAGATGTTGCGCGTCGGAGGCACAATATAGAAATTACCAATCATGTGTGCAATGATCAAGGCTACTTAGTAAGAGCTAGGCATGGGCGGTGTCGAAATACACCATTGTAAGGAAGAAAGCCTCCTAAATCGTATGAGGAAGCTTAGATTTATTGAGCGATATACGACATCTGACGGGATGTGGACAATGTAGGGAGGGAGCGATGAGTTTGGATCTGACCTTGCTTCGGAAGTTTTGCTGCCAACGGCTTCGAAAGTGTATGCAGCTTGGACTTGACAATCGTTTTGCACGCCTCAGTAGCTACCCAGGCATGAGAATTGTCTAGATGGAGCGAATAAGACTGCAGTTTCTGCCAAGGCTTCTAGGACATCTGTGATCGACGTGAGCGCTTAGGCGCATAACAACGCGGCGCGAGAGGTGCTGGGACACGCGCGTGTCGCGCACGCGAGCGTGACCAGTACCTGCATGTGCCAGCCACGCATTAGGGCCTTGCAAGCCTGGGATCCAGGCGCTATACAGTGGGATCGTTTCACTGAGCGCATTTGGTGGACAGACTGGCCTAGCTGGAGGGTCTGCTGGGAATGCACAGGCTGAAGTGCCGACAAGGCCGGCCCGGATTATGGGGAACCAGCTTTTCTGCCACCCAACCATTCACCAAGGAATGCAAGCAATAATCTCGACCGGCGCCTATGAATTCAGCCTGCGCTGCGCGCTGTGACTCGATTGGGCGGGTGGTTTGCATCTACAAGGCGCGTGCACCTTGAGATCGCAGATGGTGGCGTCTCGATCATCGCTGTAGTCCTCAGCCAACACATCTCCGCCGGTTCCAGATCCGAAGGGAGGATTCAGGGCGGACTATGACGCCGTTGCGCCTCGAAAGGGGGGAGAAGCGAATAGCAAAAGCAGAAGCCCGTCCCGGAGGTCGCCGGCGGCCAAAAGAAGGGACTGGATGCAGGGTGCCGAAGACTAAGCGGTGGAATGTCGGGAGCGGTTCCTCCTACTGATCCCTGCATTGCCGAAGGTGTCTGTCGTGTTGCCCACTGCCCATGGGGGCAGTCTGATTCCGCGCTGGGTGTCGGTTGGCCATTTTCCGGGAGCGAACGACTTGAGATTCTGCATTTGTGTAACCATCCGTGCGCGCGTGCTAGCTTCGTCCATTGTTCGTTCGTTCCATGATCAAGGGGGCGGGGGACACTTGGTTTCCCCCGAGGTCATCCGAGTGCTCGAATGAAATGGTGGACTGGGCGAGCCGGAGCCTTCCCCGGGATCATCAGACCTTGGCGACTGGGAGTCAGCTTGATCGAGCGGTGTCGGGTTAGCGCGGCTTCGGGTGCTCTGGGCCCATGTAATGAGGGCGTCGAAATCGCGATGCTGCCTTGCTCAGCTGTCGGCGCCGCGCTCAGGGTCCGACGAAAGGCCTCGTCGTGTATGAGTGGGGAGACTACAACTTGCTATTTGTATACAGATAACAGTTTGTGTACATAGCCTAGCATTCAGCTTTCAAATTTAGAAGCCGGAGAGTGGATGTTGCAGGATAGGATTCGACGGCAGATCAGCAGCCCCTTAGCACTGTCTCGTGTGTCGGAGCACGAGAAGCCCAGCTCCGGGAGACTCGGCGCGGCCTGCGCATCGGCATGTGCCGTCGCATTGCATTTGCGCCCCCCAAAGTTCACGACTGTGGGATCTCACCGGAGGCATCACTACTACCCCAGCGAGTCATTGAGCACTGGAGCTTGCCATGACCATCATCAAGAGGTTCTGTCGTAAACGGAGTCACCAAGGTCGACCCGCTGGAGACCAGCTCCAAGCCGGCTCGGTCGGCGACCAGCCGGAAGGGAAGGAAAGGAGGCGGTCGCAAAAAGTGGGCGCGGCGGCGCATGCGCATGAACAGGTTGATCAGGGAGGGAGCGAGTCGCGCGTCGACTGCACTCTCATTCGGCGGCTCCACTAGCTTCCGAGGGGGCGCCGCTGCAGTCTACAGTGCGGTGCCAGTGCGGTGACGTCTCATCGTCTGTGTGTTGGGCCGGTGGGCGAACAAATCGGAGCAACTGGGGGTATGTGAGACACTGGCAGAAACGGATCTGTGGCCGGTGTGAAATTTGGAGCGGCACCACTGCTCCGGCGGCAACAAGCTTGGTACTGTAATAAGATCCTGTGCATGTAACGTGGTTTATTAGCACAGGCGTGGTGTGGGTGTGGCTGCGAGTATGAGTGAGGCCCATGTGCGGGAGACGGAACACAGGACACGGGTGATGAAGCCCTGCCAGGCTGGATGTCCGCCCGCCCGTCCGTCAGTCTGGCTGGCTGGCTGGCTGTTGGTCGCTCACGCGACGTGTAGTCTTTGTACCGTAGGCTCCGTCTTGGCAAGCCTCGACACGATCCGACTCGACTGGGGGCAGCACGCCACACGGCATTGGTACGAAAACGAAGACCTCAGTTTGAACCTGGAATTCGGCTTACTGGGCCCGTAGTTCTGCAAAGTCCACCACGATTGAATTGGCAGCAGAACCGATGGGGGCTGTCAATGTCGCGTGGCATGGTGGTGATGGGCGGGGGGGAGCCAGTGGACGGGGCACAGGGACGGGGAACAGGGACGGGGAGCACCAGACAAGAGCAAAGCTTGAAACCCGAGCAATGGCACCGACTGGGCCGACCCGACTCGCCAGCGATCATCATGTCGCGTACACAGTAGGGGCTAGCCATCGCCCCGTGCCCTCGTATATGCTCACACTTTTTGGGAGTCTGTCCAAGTTCATATACCTGATGGCTCAAGACACAATAAATGTGTGACGGCATGTAATGTATAGACTTGCAGCACCGGTCGACAGGGCAAGATACGTACCTTGGGAGGTACCTGGTAGTATGCAGGATGATGTCGAGATGGGTGGGAGGCAAGAAGGAAACCCCGGGGCTGGCCTACCCACACCGCGCTGTGCTGCGCTGCGGTCCGAGGCTGTTCTCGTCTGCAGCTGCCAGGACTTGACCCGACCTGACCTGAGACCCGGCACTGCCTCCTGCCACTGACGAGCAGCGAGCCAGCGAGCCCAGCACCAGGACGGCCTGGGCAGGGAGGGGAAGAGAAAGAGCACTCGGGCTGCCGGGGTCTAAAAAAAGAGCAGCAGCAGCAAGCAGCAGCATGGCCGCATACAGAAGGGACGGAAGGGACTGGACGGCAGTGGCTGTTTCTGTCAGCTCCGTCGTCATGCTCACCAGAAGAAGACGGACGGCTTGCCTATCATTACTGGGCACTACCTAGGTACACAGTTGCTGTGTGATGTGCACGTACCGGCCTAGGTGTCTATCAAGTACCTCGGTAGATTGCCTACTACGTGCGTAGTGTGTAGACCACATCAACAACGGTGCACAGGAAGAGCAGGTCGACCGACTGACTGATGACTGACTAGACGGCAGCGACGTGGACGTGGACGGAGACGGACTGGAATGGCGGGTGGCCCCACAGAAAAAGGAGCAAAAAGCAGTCGCAGTCGCAGTCGCAGTCGCAGTCACAGCCCAGCCCAGCCCAGCCCAGGCTGCCAGGTTCCTGCCCCGATCTCCCGGTCCTGTCCCTTCCCAGCCGGTTGCCGTGCCTGCTGTCCTCGATCTGGAGGCAGCCATCGCACTTGCCGTCCCCCCTTTGCAGCGACAGAAAGGCTTGGAATTGAGACCCAAACCAAAAGAGCCGGTGCACGAAGTCGGGCGGGGAGCAGGAAGCCTTTATTCGACCCTCTTTGACGGAGGTTTGGCCCGCTGTGAGACCAAGGCAACCAGACCATCCGCCCCCTCCCCCTTCGTAACCAGGTGGGAGGCCCAGCGGTCGGTGCTCCGGCCGGGAAATGAGCGCACCCCGACCTTGTGCCCCAGCGCCTGCCACCACAGACTGGCACCCACCAGGAAGCTGCTCTCGGGACCACGGACACCGTAGCGCGCTCTGGGCTCCCTGCCACGCCCCCCCTCGACCCAGTCAGCCCATCCATGAGATGCCATGAATCTCGGATGCCTGTGGAGCGCCACGACCACCGACCAGCTCCCACCCTCCCCCGAGAAGCTGCCGCCTCTTTTTTTGTGTCGGCCACCACCACCCTACATCCCTCTCTCCCTCCCAGGCTCTCAGCCCACCTGCAACTCACCCTCGCATTCCCCAGTCCCGTCCAGTCCAGCCCAGCCCTGCCCTGCTGCCCTGCCCTGCCCCTGCCCTTCCGTCCTCCCTCCCCTCCCCCATTGACCGACCGCCCCGAAAAAAGCCACCATCTTGTCTCGCCGTTCCGTGCGAGCAAAAATCCTGCCCATTGTCATCCATCCATCCTGTTCGGCTGCCGTCCCTTCTCCCCTTCTCTTTTCTCCCGGACTACTCTGCTCGCGTCTTCTCCCTCCTCCCTTCCCTCCTGTTTGTTTCTGGTCGGCCCACTCCTCCATCTGCGGGCGTCAGAAACCTCCAGTCGCATCCCATCCCGTCGGGCTCAAACACCCGGACTCTGGCGCCTCTTGTTCCCCGGATCTCCGAACCAACCCTCTGTCGGCAGCGACACACATCACCACAACAACACCACAGCAGCAACTAACGAGCAGCTGGCTCCTCGGTCCAGCCTGCAAACCACCAGCAAACACATCGTCAACCTCCAGCGAGGGCGTCGCGTCGCATCACCTCGCCCAGACCGGCCCCCAAAGACAGCATGTCGGCTGTCCGCGCGACGGCCCTCAGAGCCGGCGGCGCCTGTGTGCGCTGTCGCAAGGGCAAGACCAAATGCGTCTACGAAAACGGGCGCGCCCCCTGCAAGAACTGCTCAAAGGGCATGCACGAGTGCTACCTGCCGTCCGAGTCCATGAGCCACGGTGGACATGGCGTCTCTCCCGCGCGCGCTGCTCGCGCACGCGAGACTCTGCCCAGCGAGCGAGCATCCGGAGCTGCCACCGGCGACCGCCACGGCTCTGCCCACCCGACCACAGTCGCCTCGCGTAACTCGGCGCCTGCAACCGAAAAGTACGTCTGCCTTTCCGCTCTGTTTGCTTGTGCTTTTGTTTGGTCACTTTCGCATCCATCTGTCCTGTCATCCACGGCGTGTGGTTGTGTGTGTCATGTCTACGCTCCCGGCTCGCATCCCTTGCGACGCATCCGCCGTCGACGCCGGCTCTGCCAGGACTGCTTGCGCAAGCTCTGGGGTCTACCTCAGTTCCGCTCAGCTCGGCTCCTCTCCGTCGCGCTGGCCCTTCTCGAGAGCCACATCACACACACAAAGACACACAAATCATGTTCACATATTTTGCATTCTTATACACCACCCTCCGCAATATTCACAACATCTGCCGTGGTCCAAGGGATCCGAGATGATGCATCGTATCGAGGTGGACTCGTGCACCCGTGTCTTCTCTGGCTGGCCCCGACCTCAATCTCATTTCCCTACTTCCCCGGCTGCCACTGTGCCAGGCGAGCTGCCGCCAGTTCCGGCACGCAGCATCCCATACTCGAACCCACCCCATCCTTGGAGGTCATAGCTCCGACACTTGATGCTCCGGGGCAGCCTGCCACAAGACCACCCTCCCTGGCGCGGGAGTAGCCAGCTTGTGTGCACGGCCCATCTCCACTTTTTCCGCACCTTCCCCCTGCCGGACAAGGCCCGGTGGCCATCGGCCGCGGCTAAGAGCTGGAAGTATCCACGGTCCATCTGCCTCGCCTCAATCGCCAGGATACGACCACATCGTGCTTGATCTCCACTATGCCCGCACACTCAATGAGCCAACGCGAGATTGTGTGGCCGACAGTCGGACAACTCCATCTTCAGAGGCCAATTAGCGTCTGCCGTTCTTACTTGGCCGCTCTCATGATGCTGGCACTCGTGATCACTAACGCCAAATTCAAACAGGCTCGGCCCGGACATGCTCGAGCAGTGTGAGAGGGTCATCAACAAGGTCCTGCCGGCATGTGTCGCCTTCCACAGGCCATCATTCATCCAGTCCCTCAGGAACAATGGTGTTGACAGCGTCATGGTCAATGCGCTCCTGTGCACTGCTGCTCGGTACGGACTTACCCTGCCCGACCGGGACCCACTCCGTTTCGCTGACATCCGCCCCCTCTGACAGACACTCGCCAACCCTTATTCAGCGCTTCGGTAGGGGCCAGGGCTCCTCGCAGGCAGCTGAGCACTTTGGCCTCAAGGCCAGCAATTTCATCTGGCTTTCGCTCGACCATCCCACGCTTGCAGATATCCAGGCCCTCTGCCTGATGGTCATCCATGAATGGGGCTCCAGGAGCGCTGTGCGCGCGTACATTTACCTCGGCCAAGCTGCTCGCATGGCCCAGATGTACCGTGTTGTCCATTCCAACGGCCATTCGACCGATCCAGACCGGTTCCTCCAGGAAGAGTCTTTCCGTCGGACGCTGTGGCTCATCTATATCCTTGACTGCTTTTTGACAAGCAGCCCTGGGCGCTTTCCCGCACTTTCCGCACTCGACGTCAAGGATGTGGCACTTCCGTGTGAAGATATGAACTTTAACTTCGGAAACCCGGTTTACGTGCGAACCCTGGACGGGAGTGCGCCTCCCGCCGCCCCTAATTCCGCCATTATGGCCCCCGTCGGCGAATTTGGGCACATCGTCCTAGCCACCGAGGCGTGGCGCATGGTCGTGGAGATGATGACCACCACCACCCTCGAGACTTTCAGCGAGGAGCAGTGTCAGATGCTCGAGGTCAAGGTCGCCCAGGTTCGGGCTAACCTACCTCATCCCTTTGCCGACAGGCCAGGTCAGATGGAATTGCATATCACCATGGGTAGTGGCGTGACTTATGCCATGATACATCTCCTCTTACACTGCGCCGCCATCTTCATCAACCGGCGTCGCATACTTCAGATCGTCAGTTCAGAGAACTTCAGCATGGAAGGGTGGCGCATGTCTAGCCAGAGCCAGATGCAATATGTTGAGCGCATTCTGGAATCTTCCCACAGTATCATTTCCATGCTTACGGCTCTCGAGAGGGCCACTGAGCCTACGGCAGTATGCTGCCTGCCGATATTCATGCTGTTCTCTGGTTTTACGGCCGGATCAACCGTGGCATACCTGGCCCTCAAAGGGCTGTCTCCACCTCACACACACGACTCTATTCACCTTATGGTGGACAAGTGCCTCCATCTCATGAAGGACGGTGCAGAGTCTTGGAACCTGGTCCTGCCATGGCACCGTCACTTGAGCGTCATGAGTAGAGTCCTGAACGATATCAACATTGGAGATGAGCAGGAGAGGGTGAGCGAGGACAGCCGCATGCAAATTCAGCGATCACCATCGGTTAAGGACGAGAGGGTGAGCCGTGCTGATGCGCACCATGAACCAATGGACTACGAACAGGCGCCAGCGTCAGGCGCATCCCAGTCCGCACCACAGGGTAGCGCTCCACGTGCCTCTTCCCCGGATCCCCCTCAGGCCGCGCCTCCTGCGCCCATGGACAGCCGCGACAGCGAGCCTCCGAGACCTCGGCCATCCGGAGTCACCACTATCAATGGAGGCTCTGCTGGGGGCTCCACTCCCGCGGCTCTAGGATCCCCCCCAGCAGCTCCCCAGGACGTCAAGCCGGAATACAAGCCTGACTCCCCAGTTCCCGCTTCCAACGGTTCGAACGCTGGCGGTTCGGGATCGGCCCCTCCCCCTGCCAAGGAAAGCAGCGGTTCTGGAGTCGATATGACACCGGTAGAACTCTGTGCGGCTTTCGAGCGACAACTCCTCGAGCTGGACGATCTTGCCGCGTTTATGGGAGGCGGAGTGTGAGTTCGTCCCTCACCTTTCGATTGCGGCCTTGATGACCAGAATCTTAATTTTCTGACGGTCGTAGGGCTCCTGCCCCCAAATAAGCGATTCTCTTGATTTTGGCGTTTTCTTCACGCAAAAATATATCTAGGGGCCTCGTTCGGAAGAGACCAAAGGGTGTTTTGCTTTCATTGTTTGGCTGGCGTACCCACTCTGGCGTTGTCGGGGGACCTTTCGAATTGGTAAAGGGACTTATTTAGCCACGGATACACGGTGGGTTGGAAGGAGACACGGCCGTTGTACTCAATATTGGGTGTGTTGGAGTCCTTCCTCTGTTGTGCTTGTTGTCTACCCCGCGATACGATGGTGCAGCGGGGCATTCTCTCTCAGTCCTCGGGCCTTGCACCGGGGAACGCGATGGGCACGAGCAAGCGGGTGCCCTCTTAGTTCGGGCTGGGCTGCGTCATCGGCCATGGTCGACGGAGAGAATCGATTGGGAAGTTTGACTGTCTATACAGTCAAGGCGTCGGTCTACTTGGTTTTGGGTTGTTATCTGGACTTTCGCATCTCCAACATCTATGACTGCCTCCCACAACAGGCTCGCTTGGAGGCAGGAGTATTGTACGAGTATGCTCTGTGGGCAAGGAGGCCAAGAGCAGGCATGATGGTGGGGTCGTGGTGGATGGTAACCGTACGGTGACGGACCGATAGCTGAGCTTCACTGGTCCGGCGAACAGCTATGTTGGCTTGTTTGCAAGGTTGTAATCTGAATGATCACTTGGCTCATTGGCAGCCTTCTTGCTTGTATTCATGTCTCCTGGCACCTAACAGCGTGAAGATCTCCGTGATTCTTGGGGTCAGCGTTGGATATCACAATGGCAGTGACAAATAACTTCTTAGTTGTTCACAAATTTGCTGGGTTGGACCCAGCATGGGTAAATGTGTGCCCATGTCAGATCAAGGTCCTGCACTGACGAGTATGATGGTAAACTGAAAATAAGATGCGAGAGCATTCACTGGCACCGGGAGATCAGGATCGAGAATGAGCAAGGAAGGTGGAAAACAGGGAGATAATTTGACATTGGTGTATTTCTGTCAGCTATATTCCTGTCTGAGGCTCAATGCTCATGACGGTGAGGGTATTCCAGGTGCAATACTGGAACTACCAAGGGGTGGGGACCCCATAGCTTGTAACGAGGGTCAAGCAACAAGGCTGATGCATGTGTGTTGCCCCTCGCCTCCCCTTCATAGATGTCCACCACGGACATCACCAATGACGCCTGTTATGTTCCAATGCAGGATTTCATCGAAGCGTCCACTCAGGACAGAGACCCAATTCCATTTGCATTCTCATTCCGACAAGACAAACATCCCCCCGAGCTCAGGCCCGTCGGGGAGGGGTCCAGCCGACCATGCCGCCGGCGCGGTCGATGCCGCGCCTGATGCGGCTGTCGACGCCCCGGGCGACAGGGCCGAGGGGCAGGCGGTTGTCGATGCGCTTGACGGTGCGCTCGACGGGGACAGCGATGCGCTGGGTGGTGCGCTCGACGGGGGCGGCGAAGTAGCCGATGTTGCGCTCCCAGCGGGGCGCCCAGCGGGCCGTCTGGGTGGCCATGCGCTCCGTGGCGCCCGGCATGAGCATGTACAGCGGGGTCAGGACGAAGGCGCCCGCGCCGGCGAAGGTGAGGAGCTCTGTTGAGCGGGCTGCGGGGATACGGACGGGCATGTTGGGCGGTGTTTGTTTGTGGTGTGTAGTGTCTTGTTGGTTTGCTGGTGGGAACGCCAGCAATAATTGGATTTGGAGAGGGCAGTTGATAGCACTGTTTCTAAGTGTTAGAAGGGGTCGGACTGAGTGTTTTGAATTGTATTCGGAGGTATTTGAAAGACGTATCGGTGATTTATGGAGGAGTGTCTGATGGAGGGAATCCCAGCCGGGTCACTTGTCTGAGGGAACTCAATTGATGATTCTCGATGACCTCGCTCCGACGAGCTGGTAGCAGGGAGGAGCTCGAGCGAACATGAGGGGAAAGAGCTAGAAAAGGGGAACGGATGGTTTGGAACGTGAGCTGAACAACGAAGGAGGGGCTGACTTGCCTTGGGGTTCAGTAATAGCTGTCTCTACTTCTCATCTATACTCTAACTTCTATGTTGATGACGGACGAATTGAGTAATTCCAAGATGAACGGTTTGATTCTTGTGTGACAGGAGGAAAAGACGACGATGAAGCAAGAATGCAGGATAACGGTCCTCTTATTGCGTTCTATCCCCCCTGGCAGCTTGGGTGGTCAGCTGGACACGTCCCAGGCAAGCATCGTTTCTCCAACAACAACACCCATTGCTGGTGCTCATCCCGTCACGTCTCTGCTCTCTCTCTCTCTCTCCAAATTCACACACAGCCCCCGGATGCTGGGATGCTAGGCTGCTGGGAGGTGTGTGCCCAGCCAGCCAGTCAGCCCTTCTTCCCCAGACCAGTCGCCCAAGCAAGCGGGGTCGTGTCGCAGCAACATGCCTGCTTGGTGGCCAGGTCTGCCCAATCATGACCAGGCAGGCGACGTCAGGGCCGTGTCGATGCATAGGGGCATCATGCCATCCTGCACCATCCGCTGCAACACCGCGCCCGTGGCGCCAGAAGGGCCCTGACATGGCCTGACTGCTTCTGTAGCCTACCGCTGGAGGGGCTGTCTCATCACTGAACAACACTGATGGTTTAGAGAACAGCTCTCTGAGAATTATTTCCAGGACATCTTCAGCAGGGCGAATTGACCTCGGAGCCATGCTGACGCCTTCCCCTGTAACAAGCAGCAAGACCCCTTACCCTTCTGGACTTACAGGCGGATTGGGTGGGTCGATTAGCGTTTCTGCTTTCCCCGCTTCCCCAGACGGGAGGCACACGCCATGGGATCCACAGTGACCCACTCTCGCCGCCCAAGAGATAGGGCCCCTGCCTCGTGCCCGCCCCTCCGAGCCTTTTGGGCCACTCAGCTCCCCTCTGCTTACCAGCGCACCCACTTCGCTCCTCTGCTCGACTCTTGTCACGATCCAGAACACGAAAGAGGCCACGCAGTATCCACAACCTAAGATCCTCATCTGTGTGCAGTGCCGGCGGGAATAAATATTAGGCGCAAGGCGGCAATCAACTCGTCGTATTTCCCGCCCTGCATCGGAGATTACGCGGACGAGAGAGCGCATCGAGTCAGATCAGGAAGTCTGTGTTGTGGCGCCACGCTCCACAGCCCGGCCAGATCCGTCCACCGTGGACGAGAGCACCAAGTCGATGGCCTGGCATATCGGCTAGCCATCCGGTTCTAGACCTGTGCCTGGGAATTCCTCATGCGAGGCTCGACTGCTGCCAGATAAGGCAACAGGTAGTTGCTTCCACGCCAGTGAGCAGGGTGCCGGATCGCGCCCTTGGGCTCTCCGTCCAGAAACGGCTGCTCTTTCAACGTCAATTGCTCGGCACATGGTGTCTTCCAAGCGGAAAGACTGCGCTATGTTGCAGAAGGCTAGTTGAGGGAGGCATTCGTTTGCACAGGGAAGTGGCCGGTCCACATCCCAGCGGGAAAGAGTGGGCTCGACGATCAAAGGAGAAATCCTCATCAAGCCAGCCCCAGACTCATCTCAGTGGGCTCAGACGGGAGAAGATGCAGCTCAGAGAACCGGCCCCGAAGATGATGAAAATCCAGAGCTGCAACCAGCACGTGTCCCGTGTCGATGCTTCAAAGAAGGGGCAAACAATGTGCCGCTCCCAGCCTGCGCTACTTCAGTCACATCGTATTTCACCGCCTGTCCGCGAGCATCTCGCAATGCGCCGACATTGCGACGGACATGGATGTTCAGAGGGTCTGCCGGATCGCCAGTGTCACTGAACCTGGCTGAAGATCCCACCGATTATGACCTACTACAGCTCAACGCTCTCCTGTCGACCTTCATCAGGCTCATGGCTCACTGACGGCAGCAGGGCCTGATTTTGGAGACTGAAGATGGACAGGACACTGTGAATCAACCAGGAGAAGTGACATCACCAGCTACTGATCGAACACCGCAGACCGACCGAAGACGGGCAGTCCGACTTTGTGCACCTGCCGTCCAGCCGCACCGGCCCGTGCCAGCTGAAACCAGTTTCCTTGATGTCATGCCTCTTTGCGTATGGGCATATGGATGCCCACGCGGTACTGGCAGCTATATGTTGTTTGTCGCTGGGCGACTGTACGGCCCGGCCTGCGTGAAACCGGACACTAAAATCGGGACTCTCGTTCCCCATCTTCAGGTTCTAGGTCGACCCGCACGAATAATCATGGTAGTTGTTCAACCCTATAGCAGGATGAGAGGGACACAATGGGTAGGCATTGCTGTTTATCCACCTTTGTGCTACTGGAGCGTTTTTCTCCGAGGGAATTACTCCAGCAACGATTGTCTCACAACAGTGGGCCTTGTAGATTCGAGGGCTCGAGATGAGACGACGATTGTGATAGAGTAGACAACTACGAGTATTCATCACGCAATGATACCTCTCTAACAGTGGCTGTCCTTCATTCATCAGTTACATCACCTTCTCTCTCCGACCCTCGCTCCAGGCGAGGGCGACGCTAGAGTGTGGATTGTCAGGGGTTCAGCGCTGTGTTGGACCTGCAGATCGACGGGAGAGGCAGTCCCGTTGCACGTAACCAGACAATACAAAATAAACAGACCGTCTGCAACATGTCGAGCTGGCATTTTTCCAACAGGCCCAACAACCCCTCTCATCCTGTATCTCTAAAAGTGTCTTACACCTCGAAACAAGGCTGGACATCTACGACTTGAAAGTGCAATGGTTTGGTGTTGATGGGTCGAGTGCAAACGACGTCATGGTCCCTAACACCGCCTCCTTTCCCGGGCTCCACCAGGCCGTATCGGAGTGTCTCGGACTTCACTGTCAGGAAACTGGTCTGCGCAACGTACATTCTGATTGTGGTCATCACCATTTGCATTTTCAATCCAGATTGCCTCATACCCGACATGGACAAGTTCGCCCAGAAGATTGCCGGAAAGCTTGGCGTAGGTGACCTGCTCCACCAGGGAGGTCAGCACGGCCAGGGCCAAGCCCAACAACAACAACTCCCAAGCCAGCCAGGCGTCATGTTCGACCACGCCGGGCACGGGCGCGTCCTCGACAGGGAACACATGCTCCACGCCGACGGCGGCACATACCCACGCATGTGCCGCCTCTCGGACGGCTCCATCCTGCTGGGCTTCACGCGCTTCGAGCCCAACCCGGCCAACCCCAAGGTGCAGCTGCGGGTGCTGGCGGTGCACCGCAGCACGGACAACGGCGCGACCTTCCAGCCGCACGGCGTCGTCGACCGCTGCCCCCGGGACTGCGACAACATGTTCCTGCTCGAGGTGCCCACCACGGACGGCATCGGGCGGCCCAAGATCCTGGCCGCGTTCCGGAACCACGACTTCGCCCCGGGCGGCGGCCACAGCTGGTACCGCATCACCGTGTGCCAGTCCTTCAACGGCGGCAAGGACTGGACCTACCTCTCGCAGGCGGCCGAGAAGCCCACCGCGCCGAACGGCCTGTGGGAGCCCTTCATGCGAATCGGCCGGAGGGGCGAGATCCAGATGACCTTCTCCCAGGAGCTGTCTCATATCGACCAGGACACCATGTTTCTTACTTCCGACGATCAGGGAAAGACGTGGTCTCAGCCCAGGCCGGTGACGGGCGTTGGCGAGCAGCTGAGGGATGGCAGTAAGTGGCTCCGGCAGAGGCGTTCCGTTCCTGTGGCGTCGAGGGTGTATTTCCGTCTCTTCATGCTTTCTAGAATCTCGCTTGCTGACCCGGAAATTCCCAGTGACCGGTATAGTGCGCACAATGGACCAAGGGCGCGAGGTAAGCGTGATGGTGTTCGAGACGACAAGGCACAACCGCTGCTTCTCGATCGAGTGCGTGCTGTCGTACGACGACGGGTACACCTGGGGCTGGAGGCAAGTCGTGTACGAGCCCTCGCCACGCGGACGCCACGCAGGCAGCCCCCAGATCGAGGCCTTTGGCGACGGTTCCATCGCCGTGGTCTTCATGACCGACGAGGACACACCGGAACGCCAGCGCGCGTGGCCCAGCAGCGCCAAGATCAAGGCCGTTTTCGCTGGCCCGCCGGTGAATGGGAGGATCCAGTTCCACCAGCCTGCAGAGACGGTACAGCCCCCGAATTCGTTCTGGCCGGGCATCTTCAAGGTCGACGACAACACCCTCATGGGCATCTTCCAGCATGGCAGGTCGCTCAGGGGACGGCATCTCGTGTGGCAGACGCCACACTAAGGCGAGGTTGCTGGGGCCCGATGGAGAAGGGGCTGTTTCCACCTGGCTCGGTATGGTCCTCGTGTGTCACTGCATCACACTTGGGCGTGGCCCCTCACGGACGAGGCGGGTAAATCTAAAGGGGCGGCGGCAACGGTTTGATTACATCGCAACGGCCGCGTGTACAGCAGAAGGCCTACCGCGCAGAGGCCGCGGAAGGTACTCTTGGTAGAGACGTAATTCGAAATCTTGAGCGGAAAACATCGAGATGTGCTGGAAGTGCGATTCACAGACAGCCTTCGGGTGATGCTGTGGGGCAACACGTGAACGAAGCGGTATCGCAAACACGGAGACCAAGCCATGAGCAGGCAGCTTTTTCCAAAGAATGTTACAAATGAGAACGGATATTCGCACCTGCAAAAACAGATAGTACACCCAGTAATCAGAGCACATCACCCCCAGGCCTATTTGCATACCCACACACCCAACACCCACTCCCAAAACACCCACTCCCAAAACACCCATATACCTAATATCCACACACCTAAAACCCACATATCGGAGGCCAGCCCCGTTTTCCTCGCGCAGTCTTGCGGGCTAGTGCCTTGCCCGTGGTGTATTCTGCAGGGGCGACAATCCTGCAGCTTGGCGAGTCTTTGAGGGCTCTTGGTTTTATTACCCTTGACATGTGCTGACCGAAATTTGCAGTCCTGGTACCATCTTGGACAATGAGGACCACGGACATTCGGGTTTCAAGGATCACGGCATCCGATGCCGCATCTCTTCACATGCGGACGGTGCATGAGCCAAAATACGCATATTTCGCGTGGTACAATGTGGCAGAACCACGAGGCATTTCTTGCATCTACACGTGTCCGGCACACCAAAGGTCAAGCCTCTCCGGCCGTGACTCCGGCGCCCATACCAAATAACCCCAGCATATCTAGCCTGATCCAGCTGCGACCTCTCCCTTGTCTGATCACACAGATCCACAGATCGACAAGGCCCTTCGAAATCTTTCGATATCCCCGGACTCAGATAGCAATGCTCGGCCCGAAGCGCCATGTTTGGAATTAGTCGCCATCTAAGAAGACATCAACAAGAGCTCGCCTTGGCCGACATGGCCAGGTGCACATGGGGTTCCTGCGACTGCCTGCAGTGCAACGGCGGTTGCTCCTAGACCATGCTTGCCAGATGGCGAGGGATGCACAAAGAGTTTCAGGTCCAACGTTGTACCAACGCTCAACGTCCTGCGATCATTTCAAATCACATGTAGGCTAAACCTCTCGGCCCCGAGACTTGCATCGAGGAGGCCGAGTCGAGGGAGGCCCGGAAGCACTCCACCTGTCCCAAAATCTTACCCCATATCCATGTTGCAGCAACGCTACTCACCCTCTGCGGGCGATGGAAGATGGACTGGAGGCAGAGACGAATGGCTGCTTCCTTCAACAGCTTATAGTCGTACCAGACATGATAAGCTGCGAATCCCCGCTCAATGCCCTCCCTCGAGCACGCCCACCAGGTCGGCAGTTCCCAGACTCACCCTCCGCAGATTTTCTATACTCCCCTACCCACCATCAAGATGTCTGCACCAAGCACACGTGATCAAGAATTCCAAGGGGATGCTCCATCATCCGCATCAGAAAAGGAGAGCTCCATGCACAATGTCGCTGCCAGTCACAACACAGCCTTGAGCGAAGTCGGCGAAGAGCCCAAACCTCACCTCCACGCGAAGACGTTCCTGGCCGTCTTTGCTGTGTTTGGCATATATTTCGCCCAAGTATATTGCCTAGTCGGGGCTGGGGCCGTAAGTGTCACCGTCGCTTTCCCACCCTAGGGCCGCCCACTCCTGACTGGCCACACAGCAAGGCGCGTCGATCGCAGCCCAGTTCAATGCCGCGACCCAGTCGTCATGGCTCTCCGGGGCCATGGCCATCTTCACCGTCGTGCTCGGGCCCATAGTCAGCCAGGCGGCCGACTACTGGGGCCGGAAGTGGTTCCTCGTCGGGCTCAGCTTCTCGGGCGCCCTCGGGGCGCTGGTCACCGCCCTCGCCACCAGCATGAACATGCTCATCGCCGGCTGCTGCCTCATCGGGACCGCCTTCGGCATGCAGCCCCTCCTCCACGCGGTCGTGTCCGAGGTCCTGCCCCGGGCCTGGAGGGGCTGGGCCCAGTCCATCGTCATGATGTCCAACGCCCTGGGGCTCTTCGGCGGCCTCGTCATCGGCGGTGGGCTGAACCGGGGCGGCGACCCGGACGGCTTCCGCTACTTCTTCTACATCGGCATGGCCTTCTTCCTCGCCACCGGCATCATCTGCATCTTCGCGTACCGCCCGCCCCAGAGGGAGCTGCAGAAGCTGCCGTTCGGCGACAAGGTCGCGAAGCTGGACTTTGTCGGCTATGGGCTCCTCGGGTCCGGCCTCGTCCTGTTCTGTCTTGGGCTTTCGTACTCGCAGAACCCATACGCATGGTCTGACCCTCACGTCTCGGCACCGTTCGCCATTGGGCTGGCCCTTGCGATTGCGTTGTGCGTGTATGAGTATAAGTTCAAGACGGACGGTATGTTCCACCACGGACTCTTCAAGAGAAACCGCAATTTTGCAATCAGCCTTCTCTGTATATTCTGCGAGGGGATCGGTTTCTTCGCCGCGAATCAGTACTTCGCCTATCAAGTAAGATCATTTTCCGCCCCCATTCCAGACAGTAGCAACCACAGTAGTCATACTAAATATGGTCAGGTAAATGTCTTGTACTCAACGGACACACTAATCGTGGGACTCAACTTTGGGATTGTGTTCCTTACGTATATCCCCGCCAGCATGGCAGTTGGGCTTTACTGCACCAAGACGAAAAGAGTGCGCTGGATCACAGTCTGCGCCTTTCTCATCTTCATCATCTTCTTCGCCTGCATGAGCACAACAAACGCTCACACGAGGAACGAGGTCTGGGGCTTCCCCGTTCTTATGGGCGCCGGGCTGAGCATGACGTTGATCGCTCTGGTTGCGGCTGGACAGCTCTCCGTGCCCCCTGAGCTCATCGCAGTAGCAAGCGGTATTATGATCTCCATGCGATCCCTTGGCGGGACAATCGGTATCGCTATCTGTAAGAACGAGCACACATATATTTTCACGTCCATGGAAGGCGTAAGCGTCACGTGGCTAACCGTGGTGTGCTTCACCCGCAGACAACGCCGTCTTCATCTCCGAGACCAATCACATCCCCAGCAACGTGGCGTCCGCCGCGCTCGAGGCTGGCCTGCCGTCGGGCTCGGTCGACGAGTTTGTCGGTTACATTGTCGCGCACAACGAGACTGGCCTCGCGACTATCGCTGGCGCCACGCCCGAGATCATCTCTGCTGGTGCCGACGCCGCTCTGGACACCTACGCCGCGGCATTCCGCCTCGTCTGGCTCACCGCGATTCCCTTTCTGGGTATCGCTGCTATCTGTACGACCCCCATCGCCAGAAGTACCTCGCGTGACACGGTTGCTGACATCACATGCGTAGCCGCTGTGTTCTTGTTTGACCCGACTGCAGACTTCAACAACCACATTGATGCTCCGGTGGAGGACCGGAAAGAACTCTATTCAAAGTGAAGATAGTTGCGCTGTTGTCCATACAAGTCATGAAGATAGAGCTCATGTTTTCTCATCGTTAAAATAGCTTCAAAACTTGGATGGTTCTCGAAACTCCGAGTCTATCAGCCGCTCAAGTGCTAGGCGTCTTGTCTCGAAGGCGAAAACCCCCGGTGTGAGCTCTCACACGTCATGCACGCCAGTGAGAGCAATCACAGTGGCTGCATTATACCACCAAGCGAGCGGGCATCACACTAAACTGCTTCCAAATCAAAAGTCGACTTGTCGTATCCACAGCTTCTCATGCAGGCCGTGCAGCAATGGGAGTGTAGTACAAATGGTCAGCCCCTGTGTTGTGCCATGTGAAATACCCCCCCCCCCCCCCCGAGACCAGCACTTGAGGCCCGGGTGAGTTTCACAGCCTGCAAATGACAACCGGTCGGGTTGAGGGGCAGTGGCCAAACGAAGGATCCAAGCTAAGCTTTTCCTTGGGTCAATCGCCATTTCTAGAAGGTCGCTGCCGGGAGGCCATTCTGATACGAGAGACAAAATCCGCCGGGGCTGCATCGGCCTGCCCGCACGCACCGTTGGGAATCGGATCATCCCTCGCCGTTTCGTCGGGCCAAGGAAGAGGGAGTTCCAAAATTTGTTGACGCTACCACCAAGCTGTCTCGAGTGACACGTACCTCTCTGGGAGGCTGGAAGGGCGCCGGATTTCCGGGGTCTTGCTCACCGGCCGCTTTAGTCCCGACGCTCTACTGGTGCTGCTGCATACGATGGGTTGTTGGGCCCACTGCGGTGTATCCAATGCCTGCAGGGGCCTTGAAAGTTGGAAAGTGTCTGTCGACGGACAAGTGCTTCAACAGACATCGCAGAGGGGAACGTTTGCAGCCACTGCTGATTTCATCTGGTGGCCTGTGAATAGGATGAAGAACGAATCCTAAGAAAAATCCCAAGCCGCACTTGGTGTGTCTTCTGTATTGAATATCGAAAGGCTTGTCACGGAGATTGCTGGCCCAGACCTGAACGACTATCGAAAATACTGCCAACATCATTGGCACCGGCAGTAATCGCCACACAACATTCCATTGGTCATCGAAATCGAGAAAACCTCCCTCGGTCAGCATGAAGTGCATCATTAGCAGTACCATTTCATGCGCAGCTAGCATGCTGGCAGGCAGTCAGATTTCCCGATGCACACTCGCTGGACTTGACGCAGCTATGATCGTTGATTACCCGGGATCTGATTCAAGTGCTAGAGTATAACGTGTCATATCGTGAACTGAAGGTTGTTTTATTTGTAACTTAATTTGCCCGCCTGTCAATTTCAGGCCATACTTTTGTTTCAGCCAACCTGTCAAAGCAAGCAACCCGCTCAACGTCTTTTTCGGACAGGCGTCTGACAGATACAATTCGCCTTGACGGCGTCCCCTCAATGTAGATCCATGCATTGAAAAGCCTGGGGGAGGGGGGAAGGAAACTACTGCACGGTGACAGGACAACCTACCGGCGTTCCGGGGGGTGGCCAAGAGCCGGGTGTTCGTCCAGAAGCACCACGGAATGGCCATCCAAGGTTCTGACCACCTCTGCTGAGTGAGAGGCGAGGCGGGACGGCCCTTCTGTCTAATAGTCGTCCACAGCCCGCCCCCTCCCGGCCCCCCCTCTGCCCCCCCTGTAGGAACCTTCACGCAATACCACAGGGCAACACGCGGACCTGCAAGTCGTGGCGAGACTTTCACGGGCAGGCCTGTCTGCGTTGCTGCCCCTGACTGCCTGTCAAGGATCGAGCCGAGATCAACCACAGCCAACGGGCTTTGCACCCCGGAGTCCTTGTGGCATACATACATCAGTGTGGAGAGCCGGACTTCCCTTTCTATCAAGTCTGACTGTCGTCGATGATGTTCAGCGTGCTTTGGTTCTCAGCTCGAGGCCGTACTAATTATTGTATTCCCATAACTTTTTTCTCTTTTTGCTACACAGAGGTTCATAATCCAGTCCTCGGCCCGAGGAACTGCTCATAAGATGTGGCACATTGGAACCATGCAGGTCGTGGACGAGTGCCACGACCTGGTTGTCAACGCAATATTGTGGACGGCTTTGGCTTTCGTCGCGGTTGGGCTCCGGCTGTTCACAAGAGGATTTATCGTGAAGAGGATGGGATGGGATGATTATTTAATGGCGTCTGCAATGGTGAGTACTTTCTCAATTTTTTTTCACCACCCTTCCAGTCGGCTTTTCGCTATGCCGTCGAGGGTTTCTGACCCATGAGCTCTCAAAATATGACTTGAATCCCCATCTCATACATGGCTCATATCACAATGGCTACCACAACACATCATTGCGCAGCCTTCTTTTGACTCACTTCCAGAACTGGAAACTCACCATGTGACCAGGTTTGCTCAATAGGCTTTCTCGTGGCTGCCATGTACCGTATGTCAAATAGCCTCGACCAGACTCTCAAACCCAGTCGAGTCTCACGACATTCGTTGCTGACAGAACAACGCTTGATAAAGAAATCAGATGGGGACTTGGTCAGGCTGTGGATCCTGCCAACCTTGCTAGCTTCCTGACAGTGAGTGGTTACTCGCGCCTGATGCGATGTGTCCCGTGAATACTGATTCCCAGTATCAGGCACTCTTTGTCACTGTGCCATTCTACAACCTTACCCAGACATTCTACAAGCTCTCTCTCACGACGCAAGCCGCACGGCTCTTCACGACGACTACTGCGGCAAGGATCATGAAAGCAGCCATCGTTTGGGTCTGTGCCTGTGGCATCATGTCCTTCTGTGCTGCCCTCTTCTTTTGCTTTCCGGTATCGAAGGCGTGGGACGACTCGGTGCCAGGCTGGTGCGTGAACAGACCCGCACTGAACTACTCAGTTGCGGGCTTTAATATCGTAAACGATATAATGTTGCTCATCATCCCGCTGCCGTTCCTTACAAAACTGCAACTACCTCGGAAGCAGCGTATCATCCTTATCTCGGTCTTTGCTTGTGGTCTATTGTAAGTCTCTCCAAGCTTATTTCCTTTTCTTTTTCCATCTGTGACATATGAGTAGCTGAATTCGTGGCAGCACGACCATTGTGTCCATCATCAGACTTCGAGCGCTATACCAGAATCTGAATGGACCGTATGAGGAACAATCAGGTACGCTCAGCGAGATTCTTAACGTGAATCGAGACGAATCAGTCTGCTGATCACAAGTATAGTGACCAGCGTTCCTATCGCCCTGTGGTCCGTGGTGGAAATCAACGTGGCCATCATCTGCGGCTCGGTGCCGTCCCTGAAAGCCTTCGTCTCACGGGTCGTCTTCGGAAACAAGCCCGGCTCGACGCCGTCGCACGGCGTATACGGCTTGTCTGCATCTCGCAAGCAGAGCCATGTGCTGAGGAGCCAGGTCGACGACGACGAGCGGCGTGGGACGAGATTGGAGATCCAGGTCGAGCAGTCTATCGAGATGAAGGCGTATCACATCGACGAGACGGGGTCTGAGAAACACCTCATACAAGCCGCCGGTGCGCAGGGTTACCGAAACGACTCGCGGAATAAGACTGAGACCAAGATCAACGCGACTGGGAACACAGTGATGGTGTCCGGTAGTTCGTCGCCGGTATGACTGGAGGTGATTTGGGTGGTGGAAGTGGGTCTAATGTCATGTTTGCATTTAACATACTCAGCGGGGTGGCATCAGTCCTGGCATGTATTGATTCCCGCCTGGCCATTAGCTTTTTTACCACGGGAACCCATGCCATATTGGGCAGACATAAATGTAGGAGCTAGAGTCTTGCTACTCAGTTTGGGGCTTGCTCAGATTTCCCTGGTGAAAGTCATTGTCAGTCATTATTGCTGTGTGTCAGGCTTGCTTTGTACACTCTGCACAAAGGAAGACCGTAGATACCACCTTGCCTAGTCTACTGATGTCAAAATACATATTGAATAATTAGTCGCTTCAGTACCTCAAGTTCATGAATTCCCTGCTGATTGGCATATAGGTGAATTTGCAACCCTATATCGGGGTCTTACTTTCCTCTCTTGCCATTTATGGCAAGGGCTTGTTCAGTCGACTGGGCTGGCATTATCATGATGCAAAGTCTCAGGTATAAATGTCTAGTTGCTGTTCTGGGGAAATCAGGAAAGGCAATTCTAACATTTTCAAAGCTGTGAATGCCTTGTAGAGCTGAATTCAACTTATTATCATTAAAGATTGAACTATATTCAATTTGGCCTCTGGATGAAACTGATTTCTATACAACATACCGAGATACCCACAAGTTAATACTCAGGTCTCAATGGTTTCAGCCTGCTTAAAAGGGGACTTCAAATTGCATAATTAGCCCATAGTGTGAAAGGCTACAAGTATCGTAAGGGGTTTAAAAGCATAATTATAAAAGCATTTATCTCTTAAGAATAGTTTAAAAGGAGAAAATAAAAGAAATCTAACTATTTAAGCATTCCAAAAAGTAATTGCAAACCAAAGTTAGGGATATATGTGTAATACACCCCCCAGTTAAAAGGCAGTTCCTGCCTTATTAACTGCCCTACTTTTTTAAGCGGCTAATCTATACTTAAAAATATTAACTGCAGCCCGCTAAGCAGTTAACCATTTAACCTTTTTTATAATATATATACTTTATTACTTAAACTTTAGTTACTTATAGCCCTATAACGCAGCCTATAATTAATAATTAAAGCTCTTTTTTAAACTTTTTAATTAAATCTATATTTAAAAATACTTACTTTTATTAATTTTAAGCATTTTTTTAATTGCATTAAAAATAGCTAAAAGCAATGGAAAATAAGCTTTTAAGCTATAAGCTATTCCGCTTCCTTCCACCCCTAAGGTTTAAAAGAAGAAACATAAACGCGGCTAAATTAATAAAAAGCTTATTAATAAGGATAGCAAAAGCTTTAATACTTTTATTAAGATATTGTTAAATAATATGCTTAAAAGTAAGTTTTTTAATTAATTTAAAAACTAATTTTAAAGCATATATTAATTCTTAATGTAACTTTAAAAATTTTTTAAGCATACTTAAATAACTTAAAGCTTAAGGTAAAACGCCTTTTTAAGGAAAAGGTTAAAATAAAGCATAAGGAGAAAAAAAAATATAAAAAAGCTTAAAAAGATTAGTAAGCATTATATTCCTTATCTCCCCTATATTAAAAGCCTTGTATATAGCCATAATAATAATTCCTATATAAACTATAATAATAAAGGTAATTATTACTATCATTATACTTAAGGTAATTCTTGCAAGCTGCTTTTAATATCTTTTTTATTATTTACGCTTTATTTTTATTATGCTTAATTTAGCAATTCCTTAGCATTTAAGAAATCTTAATATACTTAAAAGGAAGCTTTAAATATGCATAAGCGCAGAAAGTTTAATTTAGCTTATGCTAATTATATTCCTATAATTCCTTTTAATACTTAAAAAATCTTTACCTTATAATAATAGCTTTTAAAAGCTAAAAAGAATAGGCATAAGGATATAATAAAGCATCTTAAAGCTTAAATTATAATTGCTTTAAAGTAATATAATAAGGCTAATATAAAGGCTTAAGAGCTTTAAAACTAGGTTATTAATAACTTAAAAATTATAAAAAAATATAAGGATTGCATTATTATTATAATTAAGCCTTTTAATTTTAAGGATAACGTTAAGGAATAAATATTATTAAATCTTAGTTTAAAACCGTAATTAAGAATTTAATTAAAGGTTAAGAAAGTTTTTTAAAAAAGTTAAAAGGTTATTATAATAATTAAAAGAAGGTTTTAAATTAATTAGCATATTATTGCAAAGATTAAAAAGTAATTTTTAATTATAAAATAATTTTTATGCAAGGATTGCATTATGGTTTTTAAAAAGTATAATTTTTAAAATTTTTAATAAAAACTTAATAATAAAAATAATTAATAAATAAATTAATTCCCTTTTATTATTTCTCTTATATTTTAAAAATTTAAGAAAACTTTAAAATATTTAAACTAAGCATATAATAAAACTTTAATAAGTTTATTTATTAATATCTTCTTAATTTTTAAGTATATAATATTAAAGGTACCCCTTTTAAATTCCTATTTTAATTATATTTATTAAATATTTATATGCTTAAGCCTTATTTTCAGCTATTTATATTTATTAATAATTAAGTATATAATTATTTAATTATTATAATAAATAATTTAAAGCTTGCTTAAATTTAAGGTTATATCTTTAAATAAGCGTTTTAAAGTTATTATTTCTTTAGCTATAAGCTTTAAAGCTAATAATTTAGCCTTAATAATTAAAGTAAAAATAATTGCTTATTTATATGCTTTTTAATATATGGAGCCTTTAAAAAGAGTTATTATATACCCTTAAGAAAATCTTTAGTTTTCCTTATTATTAATAAATAAAGCGTTTTTAATTATTAAGAGCGCTTAGGCTTTTTAATTCCCTTTAAATTATAATTTAAGGAATTAAGTAATATATAAATATTAAATCGCGTAATTTACCGCCTTAAGGTAATTTAAACTTAAGTTTATAAGGAATTTTAATAATATAAAGTAAAGGAATGCTATATTTAAGCATATTATAATTATTATATAAAAGATAAAATTAACTTTTTCCTAAAACTCTTAAATTTCCTATTTTAAGGCTTATTTAAAAAAAGGCTTAAGCTTTTCTTTAAGCATTAAGGTAAATAATAAAAAGTTTTTACTTCTTAATAAGTTATATTTATTTACTATTTTTTTAATATATAAGTTATAAAGGAATGTTATAATGCGCTTTTCCTAATTTTTAAGAATTTATATGCTTAAAAATTATTAAGCCTTTCCTTAATCCTTTATTTTATATATAAACTAAATCCCGTTTTTAATTCTTATAAAGAATTTATATTTATTTTTAAAATATATAATTAAAATATTGTTTATATAAAAGAGAATTGCTACCTTATAAGCCGGGTTAATAAAAAGGCATAGCTTTTTTAAAAAGGGTTTTAAGCTTAAATTTTATAATATATAGCTAAAATCTTTATATTAAAAAGATAAGGAGTTTCTTAATTTATAAAGTACCCTTAAAAGTATTTTATATTTCCTTAAGTTCTTAAATTTATTAAGCAATTCGCAATAAATTTAATTTAACCTTTTTTAGCTAATATTTAAGAATGTAATTATAATATTAAATTATTAAATCTTTAAATTAAAGTGTGCAGTAATTACCATTATTATATAAAATGATTTTATAGCTAGGGTTGCGGCATATATACTTTTTATAATAAAATAAAATTATAAATCTCCTTAAATGCAAATTTACGCCTTAAAAGATTTAATTATTCCATCCTTATTAAGCTTATATTTATATACTTATTTTAAGAATAGTAATGTTAATTCTACTTTTTAGCGCTTAATGATCCTTTAAATATTAAGCTTAATAAGGCTTTGCATTTCTTAATGCATTACCTTAAGTTATTTATTTTAAAAAGGGCTTTTTTAAGCCTTTTTTTATATAATTAGTTTTAAAGGGAGATTTTTATAATATCGCTATATTAAGTAAGGCTTAAACTTAATCTTAAGGGCTTAAATAATAGCTGCTATTATATTATTTAAGGTTAAAAAATATAAGTCCTTAAATATCCTTTATTTTTATCTTTTAAGCTAATTAAGCAAAAAAGTAATTATAAAGTTACTTTAAAAGGTTATATTAAGGTAAAATATAATTATGTTTATTAAATATAATAATTAATTAAAGGATTTTTAAGGGCGTTTATCTTAATTATATACTTAAAAAGATCTTCTTATAAGTTTAAACCCTTAAATTTATTTTTATATCTTCCTTATTTATATTAATTAAAAGGATTTTTAATTTCTTATAGCTTTAAGCATATGCAATTCTTAAAAGAAAGGTTTAAATCCATTAACCCTTACTTTATTAATAAAAATATATTTCTATTTATAAAAGCCTTATTTTAATATATTTAAGGTTTTCTTAAGGGTTGGAAGTTTTTATTTTTAATTTCCTAAGCTCTTTAAGAAAGTAATATATAGCGGACTTTACCTTTTAAATTTAAGAGTCCTTACCCTTAAGTTTTAATTAAAAATATTAATTTTATCCTTTTTTAATATAAAATAAGTATTAAATTCATTATTTAAATTAATTAAGTTATTTTTTATATAAAGTATTAAGGGTATAATATAAATATAATCTTAAATCTCCTTAATATTAGCAATCTTAATATTTAGCAATTTTACTTTAAAAATTAAAAGCTTATTTTTTACTTTATTTATTATTAATTTATAAAACATATTCTTATTAAACTATATATTTCTTATAAAGATTATTTACTTAAGTAAAGAAATTTAGATTTAAAAAACATTAAACGCTATATAATTAACTAAATACTTAATATAAGCCCTTAATTCCCCTTTTATAAGGCATTTCTTTATATTATTTTTACATTCCTTTTTAAGCATATATGCTCTGCACTTATAAGCATAAATACTACCTTAATAGGGCAATAAATAAGCTATAAAATGGTAAATTTAAGCTAGTTTAAACTATTAAAAATAATAGGAAAACCATGCATATAAAAGAGTATTTAAGGCGCGCCCCTTTTTTCTTAAAGCAAGCAATATATTATGCAATTAAGCTGCAACCTGCATTGCTTCCAACCAAAGGTTAAAAGGCAAATTAGCCCCTAATAACATAGCTAAGGCATATTTAATTATTACTTTACCAGCTCTTTCCATAGCACCGTTTACTTTTAAAATTTAAAGGGGAGCAAATTTTAAATTAATACCCTTTCGTTTTACCTATTTAATATATTTAATATTTATAAATTAGCTAATTACTGCAGCCTTAGCATCCTATTTAATTTTATAAATATTTAAACCATATTACCATTTTACCCAGCTCTTATAAATATAAAGAATACTAAATACTTATTCTTAAGTTTTTAATATAAGGGGAAAGATATAAATAAATCCTAAGAACTTATTTATTATTATAAGCTTATAATTTAACTTATTTAATGCTTATAAATAATAAAATAAGTCCCATAAGATTTAAAAAAAGAGTTTTAAATTCTTGCCTTTTAATGGCCTATATTAAATTACTTTTTTAGCAAAGGCTTTAAAGTAATTCTTATAATTAATTTATTTAATTCCCTTAAATTTTATGCCTTAAGCATATTAAATTAGCAATTTAAAAGCATTAGCCCTTAAGTATTTAAATTAAAGATGTTAAAGGGTTATTAAGTCTTCTTAATTCTTATTTAAGTATTAAAAGGGCTTAAAAGGTTTTATTAAGTTTATTAAAAAAATTGCAAGCCTATATATATTCATAATACTTATAAGTATTTATAATAAAAGGTAAAAATAAAGGAAATGCAATAATATATATTTAAAAAAAACTAAATTATATTATTAAACAAATTTAAGAAAAATAATACTTTATTTAAGTAATTTAAAGCATAGCATTAAATTAATTCCATAATATTAAACGCCCAATTTCTATAAAAGCGCTTTTAATACTATATTAATATAAAATTTATTTATAATTACCATGTTTTCCAGAATTAAATCCTTAATCCTTTTTCTATTTATTCTATATAATATATTTTTAAAACGCCTTATCCTATAGCTTAAGACCTTTAAGGATAAGGTTCTTGCTTTAATAATATCTATCTTAATAGCTTTTTTAAAAGTGCTTAAAACTAAATAATTAACTAAGTTAATAAGATAAATAACGCCATAATTATTTAAGATTATACTTAAAAATAAAGAATATAGCGTAAAATCCAGGGTTATATATATTTTTAAGAAATTAATTATAATTAGCAATTATAATAAATTAATTAAAGCATAAATAAATTAATAAAAAGTTAATAAAAATATAATAAAGATATTATTAATTAATTAGTTTTTTAAAATTAAGGTTTAAGAAAATATAAGTTTACTTTATAAAAAAAAATAAAATTAAAAAAGGAAATTAAGATTTTATCCCTTAATAGCTTTTAAAAACACGCTTAAGGGGGTTTTTAATGTTTTTAATAAGCTTTGCATTTAATCTTTAAGCAAGAGGTTCTTTTAAATAAGCTTTTAAATTAAGTTTTTATAGTAATTTTTTTATAATTATATTTTAATTTTATTATATTTAAGTTTCCTTAAAGGTATTTTTAACTTTAAGATTTATTTCCTTAAAAGTATAAAATAAAGACGGCGGTAATTAATAAAAGGTTAAGTATATTCCTTTTATTAATTAGTTTTTTAGTAAGGGCACTTATATATTTTATTTCATTAACGTAATTAAGATAATACATTCTTATTCCTTAATTATTTCCTTAATTAATTACTCCCCATTTTAAAAGATATTTTTAATCTTAATATAATAAATATTGCAATATTCCTAAAGGCTAATACAAGCTTATTATAATATAAGAGTGCCGTTAATCCTTTAAATAGGGTTTTTAAGAGATAAATTAAATTTCTTAATGCATTTTATTTAATAAGTTCTTAGCGCTTAAAAATTACTTAATTAAGAATAATATATATTGCAATTATTTGCAAAAAGTTATTTAAACTAGTAAATCCCTTAATCTTAAGTAACTTATAAATGCAAGCTTATAAATATAAATTCATAAAATCCTAATATTATTATTATAGTTTAATATTTAATTTCTTTACTTTTTTTAAGTATTGCTAATATTAGGTTTAAAGAATATTTATTATACTTAACTTAAAAAGTAAAAGATTATTCTTAATATTTTAAACTACTTATTAAATAAAAAACTATTCCGTATTTATTATTTTAATTAAATATAAAGAAAGAATTAAGCTAAATATTATTTTTTATATTTATTTTTAAATTTTTTATTTTTTATTAAATTTAATTGCCTTATTAAGAGCTAAGGCAACTTATTATTAAAAATACTAATTATATCCCTTTTTTAATTTGTTAAAGGATAAGGAAGAAAATAAAGTAGGTGCTATTTTATCTTTTAAAAGCTTATTATTACTTAAACGCTCTTAATACTTATTATATAAAGCTTTCCAAATATTTCTTCTCTTTTTCTTATGCTATATAAACTAAAAATTTAGTTTTAAGATTATATTTAATTGCTTAAAAAGGGCTATATTTAATGTATTAAGGTTTATAAATTCCTAATACCCCTTAATTTAGCAATGAAATTATAATATAGCGAATTAAATAAAAAAAGAATAAATATTTAAATAAATTACTTAATTAATAAAGTTTAAAGAAGCGTTTATAGCTATTATATAAATATATGCTTAAAAATAAAAGAAAATAAATAATATAAAATAAATATAATTAAGATGCGCTTTATATAACTTATTTATAGCTTATAAAAAGGAAAAATTATTTTATGTAAACTAAGCTTATAATTATAAAAGGCTATAAGTATTATAAGGGGTTTAAAAGCATAATTATAAAAGCATTTATTTCCTAAGAGTAATTTAAAAGGAGGAAATAAAAGAAATCTAACTATTTAAGCATTCCAGAAAGTGGTTGCAAACCAGGGTTAGGGATGTGCGTGCAACACATAGAATATCAACTCCAAAGTACACGCCCAGCTTCTGGACATTGGGAGAGTACAAAGCATATGGCTTTGGGCATGAATGGATTATGGAAAAGTCCCCCAGGACACAGGATATCATGCCACATGAGATGAGGTTATCCCACAGGAGGTTATACCACAGAAGTTTATCCCATAGGAGGGTATCCGGTAGGAGGGTATCCCGTAAAGGGCTTGTTTTCTGATGTGGAAATTTGTCTGGGTGGATTTTGTTCTTCTGCAAGTAAAGTTGACTCAAAGCTATCTGAGTTGAAATCAGAATACATACACTAATTAGTTGTAGTCATCCAGATTGGCCTCAGCACAGGAAATGCGCGTTACGAAGTCCTGGCACAACAACAAGCCCACCTCCGTTTCAGCAGAGCACACTGGGAGAAACGTTTGCTCCAAACCTTCAAATTAACGCAAAAGCGTGTGCGGACCGCAAACCCGCCAGAAGACCTGGCTGAGACATTTCTAGTGAATTTTAGGCCACAAGCATGAAGCACTAAAGGGACTTAGGTCATAGCGGCGACAAAAGGAAGCTCTACGACTACAAATCACACGGCCGTGGCTTACGGTGATGGAAAAAACTAGGTACTCATTGGACAGCTCAATAATGACCTATTAGGGGATGATGATGTCGTTACTCAGGAAACTTCCTTCTGGGCACACTCCCCCCCACCCCCAACGGCTCCCCATGGGCTACTTGCCACCGCTCCATAAATTGGCACCGGCACTCAAGAACAGGGTGCAGAGGTTGTAGTGGGAATGCGCCGACGGGTGCCACATCTGGACCTAGTCGCCCACAAAATTCTGTATCGGTTGTCCAGGTATTGGCCAAGTGTGTCTGAAAAGGGGCTGTGAGGGCGGGTGGAATGGCTAGCTGCGACGTGGGGGTGATTTTTAGGTGAAAGAACGCTTTTCCCAGTCATGGAGACCTAGTCGCAATTAAACAATATGAACGTCCTGTCATGCGTCGTTCATCACAATCCAAAGATGAGATCGAGACATGCGCAGACAACAGCATGACTTTCGGAGCTCCCCCAGGTCTGACACGAGGAACACTTCAGGGCGGGCATACTCGAGTTAACTCATCACCTCAGTCATACAAGTTCCTCACCTGCGATCTGGTGGATGCCGAATATATGGTTCACAAGGCTCGGACCTCCGACTACAAGAGGGGCAAGAGTGTGGCGCCAGACTACGACCCTAAGATGGAAGTGTTGCCGTTAGCGGGCATCTATAACGAAGAGGAGGCAGGCTATGGAAGCGCTGGATATGATGTTGATCAACAATCAAGCGAAAGTAGTAGAAAGCCAGCTTTCAGGGCCAGAACACAACTTGGCGGCAATGAGGGTGTCAGCAAGGTTGAGGCATCTCCGCATGTATGATTATTTACGGGAAACGTTGAGAGGCTGTTAACTTGCGGCGACTCGAATAATGCTGCACCAAACGATTTCTTTCGCGTCTGCGCCTTGCCCAAGAATGTATGTATTCTAGTCGTTGTGTAATTTTTTGAGCACAAAATTACCCGAGGAGTTGTTGCCGTATGCAGAGGCCATTGCCACACTGATGGTGGGAAATGAGCTCCCGAGCAGGCAGCTGGGCATTCACGGCTCAAGCCACTTGTTGAGCTTATCGGAAACGAGGAAGCTCACCGAGAGGACTTGACAAATGCCGACGTCTTCGTTCCCGCCGGAAATATTTGACAGACAGGCCGCGATAAGAAAAGGGGAAATATCACCGGAAGATAATAGCCGTTGCAAAATCAGTCCCCACCCTCGTGCACCAAGCTAGGCCCGGAGAATTACTGTAATCTGCATGATTAGGCCCGGACACTGAGGCCCAGGCGGTAATGACGTCCCAACTCGGGGGCTGGCTATCCAGCCTGCAGTGGTATGATTTTACCTTTGGGCGACCGGTTCGTCTGTGTCGCTGGAGCGGGCAGACCTTGGCCACGAGTGGAAACGAAGTCGCGGGAGATCTGCCGGCCATCGTGTGCGGAAATGTGGACTATTGCCATCACACCGAGCTACAGTAGCGGCCGCACCCGCAGCTCGTCAAGTCAAAATCAGTCTGGCTCGTCTGTTTCGCGTGCGCGCCTGTGGGAGTCGGGGACGGAGGCGAAGAGCGTTGCCTCGCTTGAGTTGGCCCAAGTCCTCTTGCGGAAAAGATGTCCGAGACGTGATGGGGGCCTGCTGCAAGGGCCCGTTGTGGGAGGGAGGGTCCTCCTCGACGATGGCCTGTTGGTTGAAATTTGGGCAAATGTGACCAGTGAAAGCCCTACCGCCCCCAGCCCTCTACCGAGGCCAAGAGATTTGCCTTGAATAGCTCGTCAGCGAGGCGTTTGATTCCCCTGCTTGAATTTGCTTCATTTGCTGGACCCCCGTGTTCGGTAGTACTGTCAGCCTGTCTCGCGTGCAGTGTCGATCCTCCCGAACGGCCAGGGTGGGCCAGATGCAAACCCCGGAATGGATGCCCCATAGCGTTGCGGCGTGCAGACAAAAGAAGCAAAAGAGGTCCGCTCTCCGCGTGGCTTTTCCGGCTTTTCCCTCCTCTCTCCTGTCCAATTGCTCTCCGGCGGTTTGACGTCTCTGTCGCTTGTTTCCCTCGTTTCTGAGGAGCCGGGCTCGCTGACAGCGGAGGCCCACCCAAAGCAACGGGACGAGCATGACACAGCTGCCTTCCGGGTCCGAGGGGTGCGCCTATGGGGTCCTGGCGTGGGCGTTTATTTGTTTGTTCTGCAATTTGTTGATAATATGGCTGCTTGTGCAGAGCAAGGAGAAGGGAAGCTGCAAGTACTCCCCGTCTTTGGCAGCGGCCCGGATGTGGCTGCGCTGACTCAACCTGATACTGTGAATATTTGCTGAACAAATTCCAGATCTCTTCTTCATAAGCTCCGCGGCACTCATCGCGAATAGCACGAGTATTGCACAGATAATCATGCTCATAATGTCAGCAAGCCATTGTCTCGTCCCGTTCGCTTCTTCCGCCCAAACGATGCTCACCCCACAACGGAGAAAGACGCCACATGACTGAGCGAGATGGCTGACTCAGGCTTCTGCATGGTAGAAATTATCAGGACATAATGTGGGATAGGCTTCGATACCTGAAGTACTTGGCCAAGGCGGGTATTCCTGCAATGGTGGCGTTGAATTCCTATGATACTGGCGCGGATAGGATTCTGTCGTCGATGAGTGCGTTCCCGATATGTGCATCTTGTGCAACCTTTGTGCTAACTTAGCCCGCAGGATGGGCTTGCTTCACCATGGAGGCAGGCCTCGCATTTTGCTGGAGTTTTCACCTGATGCAATCCGTCTACGGGCTGGCGGAATCGCCCTCAATGCGCCGTCCACTCAGCTTGATCAATCGCACTGGAAAGCCGGTGGCCATTATTCTACCCATGATCCAGGCGGGTCTTCTTCAATTGACTCCTTTGAAGAAGTCTGCGTTTTGGTATTTCTTCACGGCAGACGTCCTATGTAGGTTTTCGCGCATTGCTCCACTCGCCACGCTGTTACTGACTTGGTCCTCACAGATGTTATTTCATGTCTTGGGGGCCTTTTCATGCTTGGGCTCATTTTCCTGGAGTATATCCAGACACGGTTGCTCCTCCGGAAGATCGAAACCTCAGGCGCGAAGTTTGGGACTCTTCAGCAAAGACCAAGCTCGATACATGACAGATGGCTGGTGGTGAGGGTGACGATACCTATGGTCTTCATCAGGTAAGCCCGTACCAGGTCTTAGTTGCAAAATGAATGCTGACTAAAGGGTCACCCTCGAATGACAGCGCTTTTGAGGGTTACAATATCGTTGTTCAGGTGACATATAATCATATGGATATTTCTGACTCTCTCACTGCGGAGCCAGACTTGACTGCCAGCAAGGCACAGTCAACCATGGCGGCATTTATTCCAGGATGTGTGGCAGGCTTGTTCCTCCTTTTATGCTTCGGCACAACGCGACAGTTCCGGAGGAGGCTATACAAGACACTTGTGCCGGTGAAGTTCCAGCGGGCCAGCTCGGGGCAGTCCATGACCTCCTCGAGGGCCTCCTATGCAGCAATGGATGACGACCCTGGAGTGCTGTCCCGTCAAAGGAGATTGTCGATGGAGAGGAAGATGCAGATCCAGGTAACCACCGAGTTGGAGATCAAGATGGAAGTGCTTGATAAGCCAGCGCCGATGGAATACTCCGTGGATCAGCACCATTGGGACGATATTTCACCGATACTACCTGGTCGTACTCGAGGTCACGGAGGTGGCATGCTTCATTAACAAACACGGCAACGATACCGTAATACGAGTAACGAATAACCAATCCAGTTCAGTCTGTGTTTTGTGCTCTTGGACCATCCGCACGTGTGCAAGGCATTGAGCCCGTCCGCGCTTGAGATTTTACTAACTTGGAGTCTATACACTAGTAATAATGACTTTTGTGGTTTGAGTGCATTCGAGGAGAAACTGGGAAAGGGAAGGGGTCGAGGAGGACACAATTGAAGCTGGTAATGTCACCCTAGGATTGTCGGGCAAACGAAAGGAGATTGCGACTGTAAGTCTGAACAGAACGGATGTTCGCACAAAAGAAAACGGATGGTACATAGATACCTCTTGGCTAATATTCCCATAGCTAGAGCGCAACACCCACACCCAATTCACATACTAACATTAATTAATTTGTATAATTGACTTATATGCTTAGTTTGCACATTATGTGAGTAGTATACAAGTGTGTGAATTAGGTATGTAAGGTGTATAAATTTGGTATGTGAATTGGGTATGGGTGCACTGGGTGTGGGCGTGTAAAATGTCTGTATACCATCCGTTTCTTTCTGTGCGAACATCCATTCTCAGTTTGAACACCAGTACCTGAAGACTTCAACGTTGGAAACGCAAAGAATGTCTCTTGTCGGATGGATGAGTAACAAGCTCGGTCCCAAAGTCACCGTGTTACAGTACTTGGGGTGTATGTCCGCAGGTTCCCAGACCTCGGCAACTTTCCCCGCAATCCAGCCAGTACACTGGGCTTCGACCACTTTGTACTTAATTCAGCCTCATGAACTCTTCGGAACTCTGCCTCTTGATTCAAAATCCAGGACCTTTTCATCACAGTAGTCACCGATTGCTCCGAAAACGCGCCAATTCAAACATGACCACGCCAGTTCCCTTCTCCGAGCCACCGTGGCTCCTCGGCCTGCCCTCACCAATCTTCAAAGAGACCCACCGCAAGTGGCAAACAGACATCAGGGCATTCATAGAGAAGAACCTGATGAAGGATGCCATGGAGTGGGAGAAGGCCGAGGCAGTCCCGGCCCACTTGTTCGACACCTTCGCGAAGGCCAACATGCTCATCCCGTGCCTTCCGGCGCCGCTGCCCGTCGCGTGGCTCAAGAGGCTGGGCATCCACGAGCTGCTGGGCGGGCTCAAGGTCGAGGACTTTGACTACCTGCACGGGCTCATCTACTCGGATGAGATGGCTAGGACTGGTGTGGTGGGGCCGGCCGCGAGCATCACGACGGGCATGTCGTTTGGCGTGCCGCCTATCCTCAAGTTCGGCGACCAGCAGCTGCAGGAGCGGTTCCTACCGCAGCTTCTCAGGGGCGAGAAGAGAAGCTGCATTGCCATCACGGAGCCGGATGCCGGGAGCGATGTCGCGGGGATCACCACCACGGCTGTCAAGAGCGCAGATGGGAAGCACTACATCGTCAACGGGACAAAGAAGTGGATTACGAATGGTATATGGACTGTGAGCGGACCTCCAAACTCATCAGAATCCGTTGCGCCCGTGAGTTTCGCATTTAACTAAATTTCGAGCCTTCAGGACTGGGCAAGTATGGCGGTGAGGACCGGCCCCGAGGGTTCAGGGGCCGCAGGACTGTCGATGCTGGTCGTGCCTCTCAAAAATCAACCTGGCGTCACAATGCGCCAACTCAAGGTGGGCGGCTCACTGACTGCGGGGACCACATACATCGAGCTCGACGATGTCAAGGTCCCAGTCGAGAACCTCCTCGGGAAAGAAGGAATGGTAGGTCCTCTAGAGAGTCCTCCTGCGTCATTGTTGGCATCGCCCCTGTGCCGAGGAACACGGTGGGCCAGAGACTAACCGAACTGTTGCAACCAGGGAATGAGATACGTCATGACCAACTTCAACCACGAGCGACTCTCGATCGCCGTCGGGGTGACCAGGCAGGCCCGGGTCGCCCTGTCCGCCGCCTTCGAGTACGTCCTCAAGCGCGAGGCGTTCGGGCGGCCGCTCATGGACCAGCCGGTCGTCAGGCACCGCCTCGCCAAGGCGGGCGCCCTGCTCGAGTCCCAGTGGGCATGGGTCGAGCAGTTCGCGTACCAGCTGACGCAGATGCCCCAGGAGGACGGCGACCGGGAGCTCGGCGGCCTGACGGGCCTGCTCAAGGCGCAGGCCGGGCTGGTGCTCAAGGAGTGTGCCGACACGGCGATGCTGCTCTTTGGGGGCAATGGGTATACGAGATCCGGCCAGGGGGAGCTGATCGAGAGTGAGTGCTGTCTTCGCGCCTCCCCTTGCGTTCGGCAACCGATAATTGGATTTGGAGCTCTGACTGACGTGCGATGCCTGCAGTGATATGGCGAGATGTGCCCGGTGCGAGGATTCCGGGCGGTTCGGAGGACGTTCTGTTGGATCTTTCTGTTCGCCAGCTGGTCAAACTGTACAAGGCCAAGACGAAGGCTTTAGGAAATAGCAAGATCTAAGCGTCATAAAGGTCATACTTGGACGCGCAGGCTGTGACCTGTATTGAAACCACCAGATTGGCGTGAAGATGAAGGCCTGATGCTGGCCCTGAAGATCAAGTGGATCCGGCTCCGTCCTTTTGTATACATCTACTCCTCAAAAACAGTTGGCTGACATGTCGAGCTCCCACCAGACTTCCTTTCTGCGCGTATGGCTATTGGCTCTCAGCCGAACTGGCTCGGAAAAGGCTCCCAGATACCAGTCCTGAGATCGAATGAAAGAGTAAAGCCTGGGACGACTACACGAACAATAGCATGGCTTGGTCGCTCGCAGGTGGCAAGAAAAATGGTGTGATATTAAGCTAGCCAGCAGCTGATATGATGGTATGATGTTGCTCCTACAAGTCCAGGAGGCTTCCCGTCCAAGGGTTCCCTGTCTCTTCATTGTTGAATCCGACCTGTAAGATCCACCCGCCCAAAATGTCCCAAACGCCTGCCATGCTGGGCCCAGTAGAGACCAAGAAACGCACAAAAAAGGGTGAGATGAAATGTCATGGAGATAGATGCCGCAGCAGCTTAGATCCAGACCTCGTTGTCAGCTCGGTTCTCCTCCAGGTGCCTGTAGATTGCGTCGTAGTCCTTGCATACGTGCTTGGCATCCCAGCCGTCGCTGCCGATAAAACCCTCGGGGAAGGTAGTCTGCTGGCCTTCGAGGGCCGTGTCGCCGCAGCACATAATGGTCTGCCGCAAGTACTCGAAGCAGTGAGGTAGATGTCCTTGCATTTGCTCGGGTATCAGGCTGGGATCCGAGTTGAGGCCCGAGTAGACCTGGGCGATGTTGTAGAGGCAATGGAGCTGATGTGTGACGCTGGTAGTGTAGACCGTGTTCTTGATGTTCGGGCCCTCGAGCGGGCGTGGCGGCAGGTTGTCGTACTTGGAAGGGTCATGAACTTCGACGTAACCTAGACCTTTCGGTACGATGCCGAGCCACTTCTGCCTCACCTCTTCCGTGAAGAACTCTGTTCCGTTCTCCGGGACGAATCCAAGGTCAGGCACGAAGGTCTTTATTTGCTGGGAGACTTTTCACCCTGTCAATAAAGGCAGATTTGATGCGCCAGGAAGGAGCACCGCATCCGGGCGAAGTCGCTTACCTTGAGGCGCAAATCCAGAGATATCGCCACTGCCCTCGAAATGACCATACTTCTCCTGGTGGTAACGCCGGTCGACGAGCAGGCCAAGGATCACAAACAAGAGGAGGGTGTTGAGCAGACCCTGGCATGAGAAAACAGCGGCGCGGCTTCGTTGCCACCTGCTCTGCCTCAGGCGGCCAGCCTCACGCAGCTCGTCCCAGCTCTTCTCCCCGTGGCCCATCAGTGACTCGCTCGCATCAGTGCTTGCATCGTCTCGCACGTTTTCCTGATGAGGACTCCCAATGTTGGAGTACTCCGGTTGCCTCGTAGCCATCGTCGTCCGGCGGCCGGCAGCTGTGCCTTGGCTAAGTGGTGGGAGTGGGAGAAAGAATGCTAATCAAGGTTATGAGAGTGCTTGGGGCAAGCAGAGCTTGTTGTAGTCTATATAGGGCGAGAACGGATGATTCGTCTGAACGAAGAAAAGTTCTTGGTTCGCGGTTCGCGCACTGAATGTCGGCCCCAGCACCACGCGTAGCGTGAATTAGTTTCAAGTCAAGGGCAAAGTAGCTCACTAGGGCCAGGCAGGAGATGAACAAGAACTCAAAGGTTCAGATTAAATTCGAGGAATGTTTTCCATGAAGTCGGGGTACTGCCAACTGAGCAGCTGGGCTCTGCTCTGGTATGGGGTGAGCGCCATGGGGCTGAAACGCAGAGCGTTTTGTTCGTCACTGGCCCCGACCCGGACCCGAAACAGTCGACTGACTCCCACAAGATAACTGATTGCAGGTACGCAGCAGACTCGTCATGCTTGCCAGAAGCTGTCTGTTTGCTGTGCGCTCCATAATTCGACCATGTAGTCTGACAGGGCAAGCAAGCACGCCAAGATGGGCAGCCGCGGAGCATGTCACAGCAAGGGGGTTTCTGTGTCACGCTCGACGGCTGACAACTGCAATGTGGAGGAGGCAGTGTGGCTTGTAGGGCATAGGAGATAAACAAGACGAGAAGGAAAAAGGCATCTGGCTACCACCTGGTCTGTAACAACCGGACAGCTTGACAGAGTGTACACCCGTACTTTGGATTGAGGAATTGTCCGAAGCTTTGAAATGGCGAGGCTTCCTCGCGGTGTGTCTCCTCGGTAACGCGACAAAGGAGCTTTCTCTCCGAATCGAGGCAGCGCGGAAGTCCGTTGTGGTGGTTTGTGGATCCGCAATGTCGTCCGTCTGCCCGGTGGACAGCTGACGGTGAGTTGACCCGAGGAGAGCCGGCGTTGGGTGACCCAGAGCGGCGGGATCGGAAGCGAGGCGGGGTGAACCAACAGGCTGGGTAACCGACCCTCCTGGACCAGATGGAAGAGGCACGCGGAATGCCGGAATCAGGCCATGGTCGCACGCAGATGGCGCGACTAACAATCTGGCTGGCGATGGCTGCCGTGATGTGTGGTGTGCGTGCGTGCTGCCCAGGCCTGCTCCATCTTTGCGGGGTGAGACATGGAGGCCCCAGCATTCCTCAGTCTCTGCGTGTGCCTCGCGTGCGGATGTCCTTCGATTGCCTTCAGCAGTCTCGATTCAGCCTCACCCGGAGTGGTCGACGATGTCGGTTGGTGGGGGGGTCAATGGTGGATGTGCTTGAAGTAGAAGCATTCGCGCCGTCTCCTCGTTCGCTGCAACCACACTAGATTGATGATGTATCTATACTACTACTGTAAAATGCATAGTTGATCTTGAGTTGCATCACATCACGGCACCAAGATTTGGTCTCAGCCAGCAAATTGCAGCGGGGACAGGGCTAGGGTTCGGTCCCAAGGTTGAGGGCGGTTGGCGATCGAGCTGCAGACAAGAGTTTCTGCTGCAGCAGCAGTCCTGCAGGCTGCTTGGCCCTCGCCTTCCCCGCGAACGAGGCGGTCCCGCCACGAGGAAGGGCAGTGGCCCCACCATTGACCGAGCCTGCCATCCTGCCATCCAACCAGAAAGGTGCTGTCATCGCGTGTCCCGAGATTGGCCGACGGGCAACGGCCAAGAGTCCCAGAGGGCCCACTCCCACTCCCCGATCCCCCCAGTGCCCCAGTGGTGCCCCAGACTATTGCTAAGACGCCGACGGCACCCAGATAGCCGTTTACTGCTACTATCTACTTACGTCAACATGCGCTCTTTGCTCTACCCGCTGCTCAAAGACTCATCCTGCCCGCGCTGCTTCGTCTCTCTGCGAACGGATCGGAGATCAAAGTAACCTCAGCCATACTCCCCTCCTTGGCCCGACCATTTGTGCCTCCCCGGACGGCCACTCTGAACGACATATCTACTGCAGCCTGCCTGCCGATGATTGCTTTGTGCTCTCCTGTCTCAGGGGAAAACACCACCCGCATCGCAGTCACAAGCCAGACGAGACACCCGTCATAGTCCCGCACGAGGCCTCAGCGACGCCTGCAGCCCACCAGTCCTCCCATATCGGACGGCCTGGACCATAGCAAGGCGTCTGCTCCTCCTTTATAACCACAACCGCCACTCACGACAAGTCCCTGTCTTGCGACACTGCGGCTACTCGCCCCGCGCGTCCGGACATCTACCATCGAGGCGAAACATCACCCAAATCCCGCACCACCAACCCATCGCCATGTCCCCCCAGCGACCCTTCCTCTCCAGCTTCTTCGCCGCCTTCCGCCAACAGCCTCCATCCTCGATGCCACAATCCTCAGCGCAGGCGTCGTCAGCAAATAAGCAGCCAACCTCATCCACGACGACAACATCCTACTCCGTCTCGACGGCTGCACCCTCCACATCACGCGGCATAGCAGCGCAGGCGGCGGCGGCCGCCCAGTCACAGTCCGCCGCCGCCGCCGCCCGGGGGGTCACGTCGCCGCGCGGCATCCCCATCCCCCAGCAGCCGCGGCGGCGCGGGAGCGACAGCTCCACCGAGGGGTTCCGCGAGGTGCTCGGCGCCGACAAGATGTACATCGGCGGGAAGACGGCCGCCGGCGAGGAGAAGTACTTCAAGCTGGGCATGGTGAGGAGGGTGCGGAGCGGCGACAGGCTCAGCATCGACCGGTTGAGCTTATGAGTGATGGTCGAGGACTTACGACATACAAACAAAAAAGCGCAGGACTAAACCAAGATCCTTGGATGCAATTACTTCCGTGGGTATGAAACTGGTGTGACCAAGGATGCGAGACAGGGGGCCAGAAAAAGAGAAAGCTCCGTAACAAGGGCGGTCGACTGCTGTTGCACGGGCGAAAACGTTGCATAACATCGCGGCATTCTGATTCATGAGTACTGGGCGTTAAGGAACTGGATGGGATGGGACTCAAAGGGATTAAACATGGGTTGGAGCATAGCTCATCGTGAGGCAAACAATCAGTGAACCGCGGTTGCGGCTCCAGGGACGGATCTACAGGACATCTCCCCGTGTCCCTCAAATAGGTCTCACAGACCACACACCTCTGCTATGATAGGATAGAGTGATGGGCGGAGACACATCGTCGATTCCACAAAAGCATACTTGGGTTTCTCATGACATTTCCTACCTCCGCCGCTTGAAGGTCATGTGATGGTGACAGGCACAAGGGGCAGTGGCCGTAGTGAGCACTGCTGCTCGGCGAGCACTCGCCTGCCCATCATCCTGGGAACGGTCCGGCAGACACAAAGATGTGCTTTGTTGAATGCTGTGTAGAGTAAGAGTGTGAAGTCTGAGGAGATCCTCCCGGACCACCCTGCAAGTGAGAAGACTTGTATTTGCTGCTTTTCCCATACCGCATCCCACCGTGAGTGATATGTGTTGTTCGATAGTCATTTATTGTTACCTAAAAGCTGCGCGATATAACTGGCTAGTCCACGTTCTAGGTGTAGTGTTCGTCTTTATCGAAACGGAAAATAGCCGGATTTATCTGCTACTGGCCCTGAAGACTCCTTGATATAGTCACTGGCCTGGTATCATCCACCAATTTGAATGCACCGTGCTAGTCAGAGTATCACTGTGATTTGAATTCTGAAAGCGAATCTGGGATACTACTAGCTTTGAAGACAACAATCTCAGCTCCTTCTCCGCGTTACTGAGTTCCCGAGATTGCTGTCAGCCCAACGGTGTGAGGTAAAGACAGATGTGCATAAGACAACTGGCACATTAGGAGATAAAGCAACGTCGAAAACGAAGTGATAAGGATGAGCTTGTGTGTCACGGCTGGGATGACAGCGTCGACTAGAATCACGGAGGAGAGCCACGGCTCCAAGCAGGGCCATGACCTTGCTATAAATACCTAGGCCATCTCATAGCCGCCCAAAGCTCCTGAGACTGCTGTATCGATCTAATCAGAAAGAAAACGTGCTTCCCGTAACTATCATCCAATACCGAACAACTACCAAGCCAGGAGCTCGACAACACAAGCTCAACATGAAGCTAACAAGCGCACTTCTCACTTCTCTAACCATTGCCCTGGGGGTCTCGGCCCAGGGCAATTCCACAACGCCAGAAAATCAGACCATAGACGCGCTGAATCTCACAGAATCCGAGGCACTCGCCAGGTCCCTGACCTGGTATCATTTAGATGAAGATGACGAGCAGGAACTGTGCGGAAACACGGACGCCCAACCGGACGGGAGGGAGGACATTCTGAAAGAGGACTGCCAGGAACTCATCGACTTTATGAAGACCAGGCCCGGATACTGGAAGGTCAACGGCTACAATTATGACTTCGGGGTGGCCGATCTTGTCACCCGTGGCACGTGTGAATTCACCGTCACTCGTGAGGACGCGCTGAATACGCACTTTGAGTAAGTTCCGCGCTATTTGATCACCACCCCCCAGCCCTCTCCAAGGCTTTCAGCGGATAGCCATAAGCGCATAAGCTAACTGGATATGCTCTTAGGATCGGCAACATGGACGTGATCAGTATGGTGGAGGCGGCCATGCGGACGACCAGAGACCCTACCCGAATGGCAACAGTTTCCGGGTCCGTCACTTGTGCTGGCGATTTCACGCCTCTTATAGAGTGGAAGGTAGATTATCCACTGTCTGGTGCTTTTCCTTCCGTGCGTATGAGCGCCATGGGGTGGGTTGTGGTGGGCTTGTCGATGTTTGCCTTCACGCTCGTGTAAGGGGGGAAGGAGGTAGGGTAGCCCAAAACGTATTTCGAAGAGCACTTCCATACCATACGTAGAATAGATAGCAACCTACAATGATAGGGACAAAATACTCCATGGAATCTCAGTGTGCTCTAGGTCAAAACGCTGTAGTGTTCCTTGTAATGTGAAGTTGACTACTACCAGTGAAACTGTCCGCTCCCTAGCTGGGTTCTCTCTTGGGTTGCTTCCGACCAAGAAAGGCTATTGGAGGTGACATCATTCAAATGATTGGATCAATTCTTTAAACCTCTACTGCCATACGATGAGGAAAGAGTGCTTTGGAGCTGATGAGTCCGACTGCGTTATACCCAGCCGAACCCACCGGCGGATACGTGTAGCCAACAGCCTCCTGCTCAAAAGTGCCGGGGACCTACATAGCCCTAGCTCGCCCGTATTTGCTGAAGACCGAATACTCAGGATAGTGCGCGCGGGACGTTGGGTCAGGATCCAATGACCCAATGCTTGATGCCTTACGTCAAGTCATAAACATGCAGAATTAGCGAATGTGATTGGAGGGCTTTCCAATTTACATGACCAGCTGGCGGAGTAACAAGAGGACAGCACGCCCCCACAATGCATGAAATAGATATGTTCATAGTGGTATGTACAAGATGGCAGGGATATATACCTGGTAATGAGCTGGCCAGACTCCCTTCTTAGGCCCCCCTCTACCACATGAACCTCTGAACGCGGCCCCCATCGAGGAATGAGCCATCCTCAGCCCTCCAGTAGAACGGCCTGGCGATGAACATATACGCCGTGGCCAAATGTACCACCAGAAACCAAGCCGTTTCCACGAACAGGCGCAGATCGAACTTCTGGCCAATCGATAGCAGTAAGTCCACCAGGTGGCCCGGACCGCCCTCACTTCTCCTCGATGACACCAAGGGTATGTAAGCGGGCCATGCGGGGGCGAGGAGCCGCCAGAATACCCATGGCATGATGAAGTACCTTGGTTCCACGAGCGGCGCGGTGATGAGGGAAAGCGCGGTGGCGAGGAGCCAGAGGAGGGATGTCGAGAGCGTTGGGGGGTCGACAGAGAGAACGGCATCCGTGTGCGAGTCTTTGATCTTGACATTTTTCGTGCGGGACTTCTTACTCTCACTCTCCTGCTTGTGTGCATCCTCCCTGGCGGAATCCACGGCTTCGTGTGTGGGATGATACCCTCCGAGCGCTTTCCAACAGATGCTCCAACATAGGACGTAAGCCGGGACGAGGGCATAGCGCACCCACGGCCCACGGAGTATGGTGTACCGGAACACGTAAAACATGTAGTGCCTGTTGTCCGCCAGCGTGAAAGGGTGGATGATAGTGTTGAAGTGCACGATGACCAGGGCCGCCAAGGTCAAGGAGGAGTAGCCTGCAATGCTCAAGTATGTGGCATACCACTTCTGCGGTGTCTGTGTCTCAGATCGCTTTTGAGGGCTTCCTGAGGCGCTGGGTCCGGGCTTGAAAGAGAATGGCCAGGGCAAGAAAGGTAGGAGAAGAGGTGCGGAGAAGAAAGCGAACAGTGGCCAGATGTAAAGCATCTGAGGAAAGTGGACTGTCGCGACATGGTTCGTCTTGTCTCCTGTCCAGCTATTAGACGAATCCAAGGAGCCGAGCAGATCATAAGGGACATACCTAGGACAACACTGCCGTTCCAGATGACAAATGCCACGAAGAGACCCATGACAGTAACATGGGCCCAAATCTGCTTGGCGACCCGGAGCGGATTACAGACGACTGCAATGGCGATGCTCACAACGCAGTAGAACGCATCTACACAAAGAAAGTGTTAGGGCTGAAATCCTGAGCAAGCATTGCCTCGTTGAAGATATCCAGACAGGCACGACCACGGAAGAAAGAGAGGGCGAAACGCTTTGCGACAGTAACTCACCGTCCAAAGAAGCCTGGTCCAACGCGGGATCATGGATATCTCCCAGTGAGGACCTCCAAGCGAAGTATTTAATGTGTGCCATCAGATCTCCCTGGCCCGGAGGCTGAGGCCTAGCAGCGGGCACAGCTTTGGCAGCCTCGACAGCTTCCAGACCACCCAGAAAAACGACGACCCAGAACACATTGGTCTGCCTCATGAAGAGAGAAGCAACGCCGAGGAACACCACGAAGAAGTCGTTCCGCCACGGCGTTCCTTTCGGGCTCACTCGCTCCAAGTGATTTTGGAAGGCGAAAAGTACCATGAGCGTGGAGAAGACGTCGGTGTAGTACAGTGCGGAGAAGAAGAACAAGAGCGGGAATAGGCCAGTGTTCATGCCGGTATGGATCGCATGGAAGCTGAGGGACGACGGCCGGGGGCGGCGCTCGCCCCGTTCGGCAACTCTCGTCTCGATCAGCCGTCGACAATCGGCCGCGGTGAAGATGAGGACGATTATGGCCACCCAGTTCGTCATCCGAAGGCTAGTCCCGGAGCAATTCCCATTCATGAACCACAAGGTTCTGTGAATCAGCAAACTAACGGCATATCTAGAAAGGTGTTAACAAGGCCGATGCCGTCAACGACCGGGTGGTAATGGGACAGAAGGGGGGAGAGGGCAGGCTGGGAAGCACATACAGCCCAGGGGGCGTTGTGATCTTGTCGTCCCACTCGAGCCATCTTGACTCGCAGTACTTCTGCGCCTGAGGAATATGGAAGACTTCGTCCTGATGAATATCAGTGATGAGATCCAAAAGAACCTGACTTGGGGCCCGTACTTACTAGATAGGGCTCTGGAACGCTTATGGCTACGGCTGCTTGCCACGCAAGGCCGGTGAGAGATGGTGCGGCAAGCAGGGCGACTTTGACGGCCGGTCGATCCCACCCGTACCTTGAGAGGTGGTGCACGAGGAAGAGGTAGACACATATGAGGCTGTAAGCGGCGGGACGAATCGCAAGAATGACAAATTTCCGGAATGCTACCAGGGGTTCCATCTTGCATGGAGCCCGGTAAGGAGTGACAATAGTTGGAAACAACTTCAACAATGATGTTGTGGAATTGTCGACGCGTGGCTCAGTTGAGAGTCAGCGTACTCTGTAAGGACAGCATCAAGGTGGGCCGTGCATTGACCCGAGCTTTAGCCGCTACAGTACAATGGCCCCCTGAACCGCGACGGAAAACACGACAGCGACGAACAAAAGCGTACTATTAGTTGAGGCCAATTTTCCATATATTGTGGTCAGATTGGGCCATGGGAAATGGCTCCAGCCTTGACGAGGCCGGCGTCGTCACAAGCTGTCTAAGGCTCAAAAAAAGCTCGGCGACCGTGGCCGTGGAAAGATCATGAGCTCTCAGGATTGTTTCTCATCACCATAATCGGTGCCATCACGGGACTGACAGACTGATAAGGAATGTCTCAAAGGGCTCGTCTGTGTCTTGATTCTATTGCATATGCTCTTTTTTACACCAGGCCTGCAAGGCCATTTTCTATGACTGCTCCTCTGATATCTCCCACAGCTCCTCTCAGCTTCAGATTAGAAGGGCTGTCTACTGTTAGTAACTGATACAGAAACTCTATGTGCCAGATTTCGGGGCCACTTACGTTGTCCTCTGGGGGAATCTCGTTGATGAAGTAGCTGCCGAGGAAAGGCACTCTCTATGGGCTTGTTAGCAGAGAAAACCGGGAGATGTTCGGAGGCTTTTCATACCTGGAGGATATCACGCTGTACCCTGGGGATTCCAGAAGCGTAGAAGATGACTGCGAACAGAGCAACACCGCCGAGTCCTGCAGCCTTGGTGCCACTGTTCATGTCGTGTTAGCCCCAACTGACTTGGCCAATGCGAATGCCCTCATAGGGCCAAAGCCCCAGCTTGGAAAGTTAAAGAGTTTCATTGGATGCCAGCTTCCCGCTCTTGACGGGTCTGGCCTCACCCAGCAGGCCACTTCCCAGATCTCGGCATCCTCAAAGCAGACCAGCTGCACTCTCTCCGGTTTGGGCTCGGACAAGGCAAACAAGGGCAGCATCTGCTTACAGTGAGATGGCCTGCTTGCCAGTCACACCAGCGACGTGGGGCTGGAAGCCGTATCTAATTGCCACCATTCATTAGCCACCAATTCTCCCTCCAGATGTCGGAACGCATCAACGGCGTCGGCGGCAGTTCGTAGACAGAGGTGATGCTGTATTCTGCTGCGAAAGCATCGTCGTCTCGGGCGAGGGCGTCTTACTTGGGGCCATAGGGGCTCCGGTACTGAGGGTAGGGGTCTGCCCGGCGGATCTGAGTCTGCATCATCGTGGGATCGTCAGTAGGAGTCGTGCGACACGGACTGCGGGCTGGACCGCTTCAATGGAGCGGTTGAGAGTGGCTTGATGGCGTGGGACATACAGGGAACATTTTGGGTGTGTGTGTGTCACGGCGTGTAGAGTGTGTCTGCTCTGCCGGTGAAGTGTCGTCGACGAGGTTGGAAATGTCGCGACGACTACTGGATGCCAGTGGATGCGCGCGAGCCTCCAAACCGGGTCGAGCCGGGAATTGGGTTTTTCGTGCCTGAGGCGCCAATTCCGAGCCGGCCACTCTAGCGCCATCCCGGTCTCTGGGCCTAAGCTGCCCTGCAGCAGCCCGTGCTTGCAGGGTGTGGGGCCCGGGCGGCAGCTTGCTCGCAGGAAGCTTCGACCGCGACTCAATGGCAGCTCCAGCTCCAACTCAACCTCTTCGCTCCACGAGAGGCTGCAATCTAAACTGACGAGCCGCCTCGAGGCAGTCGCATGAACACCGTGTGGGGCACTCAAGGCGCACTTATAACAATGGACAAAATCGTCGATGTTCGCTTCGAACGGGTCGAGAAAGCTCTAGCGACGCTGGTCGAGTCGATCACAAAATACAATCCCCAGGCATCACAGGCTGTCGAACTTGCAAATGCCGACAATGAGTTGGGCCACGGGCTGAAACAACGTATGCCTCCGCCTCTGCCTACCGTCCTCGCGCTCGATCCTCCCCATAGCTAACAGATCCGCCCTCCTCGCAGTGGAAACCCACCAAAATAACTACCGCCGCCTAGAATCCCTCAAAGCATCCTCCTCAGCCCTCGACGCCCAGATCCGCGACACGATACGTACCCTGTGGAACACTCGCAAGGACATCACCAGCACGAGCACGACCGCCGCGCCAGACGGGCCGCAGTACGATGTCAACTACGAGGAGCTGCTCAGCTACGCGCGCAGGATCAGCAAGATGACGCTGCCCCCAGCGAGCGTACTCTCCCGCCTCGAAGCAGCCAACGCCGACAGCGGGGCGTCGACCGGTGAGGCGGTTAACACCCCGAACACCACGGCAGCCCCGACGCCCGTGCCAGGCGGCTCGACCCCGAACCCCAACGCCGCGTCCAACGGCGCCCCGACGCCCGCCGCCCAGTCGCAGTCCCAGGGCCAGCAGGGCACCCAGACGACGGCCAACTCGGGCGCGACGGCGCTGCCCGAGGAGTGGACGCAGTTCCTCGACCCGCTCACGGGGCACGTCTTCCTCCCGTGGGCGACAGAAGACAAGATCCGCGTCGGCGCGCTCGCGTCGATCCAGAACCTCGTCGAGGAGGGCATTGACCCCCGCGGCTACGACCCCCGCGGAGGAAGAGGCCCGGAGGCAGAGGGAGGAGCAGGAGCGGAGGGAGCAGGAAGAGAGGGAAGCGCTAGAGCGGGAGGAGAACCTGAAGAAGATGAGGGAAGAGCAGGCGCGCATCGCGCGAGAGAGGCAGCGGGAAAGGGAGCGCCAGCAGCAGGAGGAGGCGCTGCGGAGGGGGAGCACGGGTGGTGGTGGACCGTCGCCCGGCGGCGCGGGTGCTTCGACCGAGCCCCAGAAGAAGCAGTTCCAGTTCATGGGTGGTGATCTGGATGACGATGACGACGACTGAGTACTCGGATCTTTAAACTGGGCAGTGTGGCCCTGCGGCTAACAATCTATTCAAAATCCAACTTTACGAAAGATTTCAATCAGCGCAGTAATTGCAGGTGAGGAAGCTAATAGCATCATCGCGATCGCAAAAGTATTGGGCCACTTCATATCTTGCTATCATGGCCAATGTCATGTCTACCACGCCTGAATTGCTTTGAATAACCATATACGACCTTGACGCCAAGCTATTCTTGTCGTGACTGCACCCTCGTGCCATTCGTTTGAGCCCGAAGCGTCCATGTGCCCGTGGGCAGGCACATGAGCTGCACTCCCTCGTATTGTTGGTACAGTCTACAAATACTATACAAATGATACCTATTTCCTGGTCGACTAAGCGTTGACGACTCAGGCAAACCTCTGAAATGCTTAGTCGATCTTGATAGAAGAGTAGATCTTCCGCGTGAACCACCAACTAGAGAAGAATCCAATGGTACCTGCAGGCTGTCAGCAACTTGAAATGAACCAAGCGTAGCACATGTGAACTCACCAGTCAGGATGAAGAATAAGAACGAGATCAGCCCGCTGTACCCAATGTACAACATGCTGCCCACGAAACCACCCAGGCTGAGCTTGGTGATCCAGTATATCATCGCGTTCAGGAAGATGTAGCCTGCGCTAGTGCCCGCCGCCAGGAAGGACCTCCACTGCCAGTTGTAGTTCTCCGCACACAGCAGGAAGTATACCATCAAAACGGTGACTGCGGCGCAAGTGATTATCATCAGGCCGTAGCACAGGAAGAGGAAACCAAACATGTAGTAGATCTTGCTGAACCAGATACTACTCATGATGAAGTACAGCTCGACGAAGATGGCACCGAATGGCAGGATACCGACGAGGAGCATGCTGGGGATTGGCTTGAGGTAGGTAGTGGCCGGGGGGATCTGTCGAGGGATCTGGTTCGTGCGGACCGGGGACTCGATCGGGGCGGATTTGAAGCCCAACCAGGAACCTGTGCAGGAGAGTGGGACTGAAATGATGAACCAAATCAGAACGAGGACAAGCATCGTCGTGAATGGCACGGCACCGGATTGCTTCGCCCAAAGGAGGAGGTTGAGGACGAAGAAAATAGAGAACACTATTCCGGGGACGAGGAGTGGTGTGAGGGCGATGTTGAGCTTCCATTTCTCGCCGTCAAGGGACTTGTACACCCGCGCGGATACATAGCCTCCAACAAAGCCCAGGATGGTGTAGAGTAGGACCAGAATGGTGCCAAGCGAGCCGCGGTTCGACGGGGACAGGAATCCGAGCAGCGCAAAGCAAATGGTGAAGCCAGTCATGACAAAAAGTTGCGCGCCATTTCCGAGGAAAATTGAGAGCAGAAGAGGGTGGGATGGTGTGCGGAAGACGTCGCCATGGACCAGTTTCCAGCCTGAGTCCTCCTGCACCCCATCCTCGACCACGGATGTCCCGTTCAGATCGTCCAAGTTGATTGAGTCAAGGCGGTTATATCTCGCGATATCCTTGCGCAGGGTGCGGACGAGTACGGACATGACGGTCATGACCAGGAACACCACAATGATTGCCGAGTTAATGAGCGAGAACCAGTGGATCTTGGGGTCGAAGACGTGCAGATACTTGTCCCACCGAGTGGCCCAAGCGGTGCCGGACTTGATCCAGAAGACGCCGTAGGAGAACTTGACGTTGGTCTGCCCGTCAGCAGACAGCACAACTGGTTCGTATTTTTCCGTGGCGCAGTCGGGCTCCTTGTCGCCGTACTCGAGAGAACGAGGCTGAACGATAACTCCCACCACGCGCAGCTGGTTTGGGTTTCCGCCCACTTCGTGATACTCGACGATGATGTCGTAGTGGTTGTTGAAAGTAGGCTTGTTATTAGACACCTCGCCCATCAGAAACCCAGGGCTGTAGAAATCCGTGTGGGTGAGCTCGTCGGTAATGTCCTGGCCGGCCGGGAGTCCGTCCACCAGCCAATTCAAACTGTAGCCCAACTCGATCTTCTCGTTGACGAATTTCGCTGCAGCTTGGGTATATTTGACGTCGCAAAGGGCCTTGCAGGACTCGTTGGTTGCCATCTTGAGCTCGAAAGGCGACGTCATGATTCTGTCGCCGAACAATATGCTGCCCAAACTCTCGCCTACAGATTGCGGTCCCCCATCTGGTTGGCAGAACTTGAATATGGGAAGATAGTAGTCGTACGCTACCACCGAGTGCAGCATTGTGTCTCCCGGAGGAGCGATCGGCTTTATTGTGTTGACATATAGAGGCACGACATCGCCCTTTTTGTATGAGGTTGGGGCCACGCCGGGCAGATAGAAGGCAGACGCGATTTGTGGCAGGGCGACAAGGGAGAGCAGCGCCGCCGCCGAGGACGACGCGAGGTTTGGTATTTGCATCTTGGGCGTTCGGTGTCCTTGATGATAATGTAGGTCAGCCTTCTGTGCTCGTTGAGAGATACAAAGCAGGCAATGCGCCAAGGCGTAGAGAGCTATGGCTGGATGTGGAACGTGCCTCTTCGAGTGGTGGATCTCTTTCAGATAGCTCGAGGGAAGGGGGAGGGAGGGGCGCAATGCTCAGAGCCGTGTGTCGCCGAGCATGCCAGCGTATTCAATGCTGAAGAGATCTGATGCTTTCAATGGCTTTCAATGGCTGCGGCAGACACATATGTGAGCTGCGGTCGAAAATGCAGTGAATCAGTCAGCGCAGCGTTGATGACGGTTTGTTGAATCTTCTCGTTCAGCCAGTTGTCAACTTCTCACCAAACTACTGACTGCGCGGCGCTGCATAGCGTTTCGATCGATGGCAGCTCTAGCGACCCGACCCCCTGTGACGCGGAGCCCGGTTCAGCCTTGGGGTGGCTTAGTCAGGGCCGGGGTAGCCTCTCACTGGCCGTACCTTGGTACGTACCTGGGCGCTATGTACTAAGGGCAGGCAAGCTACTGCTACAGAAATCTTATCGCAAAAAAAAGTTTGGAGAGTTCATGATTACTACCAAACATTTCTACACTGCAAGCATGGCGGCAGCAACAACACTGCCAGTCCTCTTGGACTCATTAACGCAATCCCTCTCCTCGGTTTTCGAAGCAACCTCCAAGATACCATCGGTTGAAGCGCCCAAGGATGGTATTTCCCTACTCGACGTCAAGAACGAGCTCCTGCTCTCGTACCTGCAGAACCTAATCTTCCTCATCCTGGTCAAGCTGCGCAAGTCAAAACAGAGCAGTCTAGAGGACGAAAACAAACAATTCGACGATGGAGAAGTTGTGAACAAACTGGTCGAGCTACGCTTATACTTGGAGAAAGGAGTCCGGCCTCTGGAGGAAAAGCTGCGTTACCAGATCGAAAAAGTTCTGCGCGCTGCCGACGATGCAGAGCGCAACGAGAAGGCCGCGCAAGCAGCCGCAGCGTCTGGATCTGAGTCTGGGTCTAGCGAGGAGGATTCTGACGAGGAGGATCAGAGCGGAGAAGACTCGGTACCCGCACCAAACTTCGCGCTGCATGCCCTTCCCAATTTCGGCGCCATGGCCCGGCGTCCTGCCGCCAACGCCGCTGGAAAGCACGGCAAAGAGAGCGACGGCGTCTATCGACCACCCAAGGTCGCCCCTACAGTCATGCCCACCACTGAAAGGCGTGAGAAGAGGGAACGGGGCCCAATGAAATCTGCGACCATGGACGAGTTTGTGGCCGACGAGCTATCCGCGGCGCCTGTTGCACAGCCAAGTATCGGTACGAACATCGCCCAATTTGGCAGGAGACTCAAGACCGCGTCGGAGCGCAAGGAAGAAGATGAGCGTCGCGACTACGAAGAGCGGAACTTCACGCGATTGCCAAAGGAGAGCAAGAAGGAGCGCGCTCAGAAGGCCGCGCGTGATGGAAGCAGTGGCCGCATGGACTACGGCGGCGAAGAGTGGCGGGATCTTGGTATGGGCGTCGACCGAATCAACAAGATCACGAACAAGAAAGAAGGCGGGCGGGGCACAAAGGCTCTCTTGGAGAGGAGTCGCAAGAGAGGTCGCGATACTGTGGATGGCCCCAGAGGCAGTGGAGAGGCTCGCGAAAGTTACCAAAAGCGGCTCAAAGTCCTCGAGTCTGGTCGGCGGGACAGAGGAGGAAAGAGGAGATGAATGGAAGCAATGTCGGCTTCGCACGAGAAGACATTGCGTGGGAGACGGATGGCTGGCTACTCAGGATGCATCTGACCTCCCATGTCAAATCGGGTTGGATGGGACCCAAAGTAGGAAATTGAAAAGGCTCACGATTTCACCAACCAACGGGCAGTCTCAACCTAAAGTCCTGCATACGGACTCTCTTTTGATCTCGTCGGATTGGACTCTGAAGGACACGTCTATGCCATTGTCGCTCCATTAGCGGCGAGACAAGCTTACTAGCTCCTTGCCTTTGCCTCGGGACATTGCATCGAGCTACACTACCCATTGTGCATGTTACGCTTGGGCCTGGTCGAGTAACGCTCGGATACCGAGATTTGCCGTCTCCAAGTCTAGGCACAGAGAAAGGCGCGCTTTCAACGTGGCCCAAGGCACAACTGCAACGCAAGTGATGTCGTGGGGCCATAGACAATGCTGTCGAAAGCTTGAGTTCCCGCCTCGTGCCCGCAGGCGTGGTGGGTGGGTGGGTGGGTGTCGCAGCGTCGCAGTGTTGCAGCGACCCCCGTCGATCTCCCGGTCGGCCTGTCGGACTGTCGGACAGGTGAACGTGGATGCGGCTCTTCCTTCACATGCCAAAATTGACCTGGGGCGGTTGCATCAGACAACCATCAGGCCCCACGCCAAATGACGTCGTGCTCTTCGGATCGAAATTCCAGGCTTGGTAGCGGACCTTGTTAGTCTAGCTAGGTCGACAGCTTAGCTGCAGCTGTCGTTTTTCCAATGGTGCGACAATCACAGGCCAATGTTGACGTCCGATGCTGATCCCTAATTGATGGCATGGGCCGGGCGCACCAAAAGTGAGTCTGCGGTATAAAGCTGTCCTGGACGGTAACAATTCCTAGTCTGGTTGCTCCTTTGCCCATCTCGTCAACACTGTTGTCAACCTCAGCTTGGAAATCAAAACCCCTGAAGCACTCAACATGCCTACTGAGTCGAGGGTCGAGAACCCATTGTTCCATCCCTTCCTGTTCTGGTTCCAAATTTTCCAGTATTTCACAGACAAGATCCTCTCTCCAGCACCTCCGGACAGCAGCAAGCCCCTCCGCAGACCCAAGGTAGCCATCGTTGGAGCTGGTATCACCGGAGTGACGTCCGCAGCACACTGTGTTGGCCATGGCTTCGATGTCACGATATTTGAGGCCGGAGGGGAGGAAAACCTAGGCGGTATCTGGAGTGTGAGTGGGCCCTCCGACGCCCTGCTTGAGGTTCAATCATGACCAAAAGCTGACAGTATTCAAGAGGGTCAACAACACCTCCAGTCTCCAGATCCACTCTCTGATGTATCGATTTCACCCGTCCGTAAAATGGGAAAAAGGTTACCCGGATCGCCAGCAGATCCTGAGCCAGGTCAGGCAGTTGTGGAAGAGATATAACCTGGACGAGAAGACAGTATTCAACTTCAAGGCAAACAGAGTCTACCAAGATGAGAAAGGCCGCTGGATAATCAATGATCCCTCCAATGGGAGATTCGACGGTCTTATTGCTGCTGTCGGCACTTGTGGCGATCCCAAGCGTATGTGGACAGCCACAACTTTAAAGTGACATTCCACTAACACTGTGTTCGTAGGACCTCATATCCCAGGCATGGAGAATTACCGCGGCCCAATTTATCATTCCAGTCAATTGACTGGCAAGAGCGCCAAGGGCAAGGTCATGGTGGTCATTGGTGGTGGAGCAAGTGCAGTTGAAGCCCTGGAGTACGCAGCCGATGAAGACGCCGCCAAGGTTTTCGTCCTTGCCCGGTCCGACAAGTGGATCATCCCACGCAACCCAATCGTGAACATGCTCCTCGCCTTCAACATCTTCGGCCAAGAAACCGTGTTCTCCTGGATCCCCGAGATGTTCCTCAAGAAGCTGTTCTACCGCGACCTGCAAGACATCGCCCCTTACAACAAGGGAATTTTCATGGACACACCCATGGTAAACACGGACGTGATGGACAGGATTCGTTCCGGAAAGGCCGAATGGGTGAGGTGCGACATCGAAGGGTTCGAGGAGGACGGAGTGAAGATAAACCGTCGGGCAAAGGGCGTTCCCGCTGGCGGGCCTGGGCGCGAGGACATCATCGAAGCAGACATGATCGTCCTCGCCACTGGCTTCCAGCGCCCCTCCCTGTCGTTCCTCCCGAGGGACAGCTTCGACGAGCCTTACGGCGCGCCCAACTGGTACCTCCAGACCTTCCCACCGAACCACCCTTCCATCAGCGCCATCAACTGCACCTATTTGTCGGCGATCGGCACGGTAGGCAACTGGCACATTGGAATCTACACGCGGATCCTGCTCATGTTCCTCGTCGACCCCCTCACCCGTCCGAGTCCATTTTGGATGGAGCGGTGGATCGACATGACTAAAATACTGAAAGCCCGGAGCCCTACCGGGGCGTTTGACTTTTTCACGTACCTGGAGTTGATCTGGTGGTTCACATTCTCTGTGGCTTTCAACCCGTTCAGATGGAAGTGGGCGATCTTTGTCTTCTTCGGTATCGGCTTTGCGCTGCCGAAGAGACTGGTGCAGGTTGAAGATTCCATTAGGAACGGCCTGGGCCGACCGTCCAGTGACCAGGTGAACCGGGATCAAGGCGTGAGTATCTGATCTGACTGGGTGGGGGGGAGGTGGTATAGTATGTAGGAAGTAAATGAAAAACATGGGCAAAGACAAAATTTTGTGTGCGGACACTTCTTTTGTTTGGGGGGCGGCTTGTGGTTGATCTGAAGAGTTGGGTTGAAGCTAAAGCTGCTGGTGGCTGGGGAAAAGGCTGGTCAAGCGGTGTTCACATTTGTCTTTCACAATATATCGCGAATATCTTGAGGAATTTGCCTTCACCGCAGTCTTGTCTTCATTGGTGTATCTGCAACCTAAGCAGTCCGTTTGGTGTTTGTCGCCGGGGAGGACATGGTTCTATCGTTCGCCGAGGGTGTAGCGTGTGCGTCTCCAATGCGAGGCAGACTTCATCTTCTCTCCATCGCCCCATTTTCTTCCCTCGTGGGTCCCCCGGCTATGAGTGCTCACTCACACCGAAATGCACGGTACTCGTAATAGACAGGCAGGGGGTTCTCGTAGGTCCAGCCATCCGCGTAGTGGTCTCCTCCGTCGAACCAGAACTCATCGCTACCACCAGTAACGTCGTGGACATATATGGAGCCGGTGTGCTGTTTGCCGGAGCCATCCTTCCAGTTGATGTTGTAGAGCGAGTCAGTGAGGATTTCGTCGGTGCTGGCGTAGACGTTACCTAGAATCCGTGGGGGTTAAGATTAGACACATAATTACGAACAGGCCATAGGGGTTGGTAGTGACTCCTTACAGTCCTTGTCGAAGATGTAAGCATCGATCTCGAGAGTGTCGAAGTTGTTGTGGATGCTGTTACATGTCAATCACCTGCTACGAGTCCCCGAGTGATGCATTCTGCAGTGTTCCAAAACACGACAGACGGAGAACTGTAAAAGGAGAAGAATGATGCTTACCCTACGGTGCAAGTCTTGTCATCCTGTTTTGTGCACCAGGTGAGGCCCTCTCCCTCGGGAGGCGGAGCATCTCCACGAGCCGCAAGAGGCGAGGCCAAGGCGACCATCGCCATGTTGGCAATGATGGCCATCAAGAAGAATAAGAAGAGGTTCTGCATGATGGGAGGCTTGAGAGACATCTTTTCCGGTTCAGAAAGCACAGTTGGTGTTGGTAGTGGGATAGGTTGTGCAAAGGGTGGATAGAGGTGTTGTAGATAGAAGAATTGGCTGTGAATGGAAGAAGTGGTTGTGGATGGGAGAAAGGTAGGTTCGAGGATGAGAGAGGGCAAAGATTTGTGTTCGATAGCGATTGATTCGCTGGCAGTAAATGGTACTGGAAGTGAGTTTGAGTTGATACGGCAGGTGCACATTAACGAGGTGGCCATCAAACGTAGTTTCATGCAGGAACTTGCTTGAATATTTCACACCCTCTCAGCCAAGGCAATCCAGACTCACCTGAACCATTTGAGGCGTCACACATTCATGTCCCCATTACTGAATGCATTCAAGTTCATGGTATGGGATTCGACTTTGATCAAAATCCCTGAATATTCTCTTGGGTCGTGATCACTGGTAGTGCCTTCAGATATTCAAGGCAAGATATAGTCAACTTCGTCTTCAGGTTTGGATGAATTCACATTGCTCAAGTTACCTAGGCAGATATGTACTTCCATGAGTAGTATCAACAGCTTCGGATATCAATTCGTGGCCTAAATTTACATTCGATTGTATCAACTTTTCCTTACCCAGTATTCTAGCCAGGACTTGTTCAAACTGCTTCTAGAAGAGATGGCAAATCTATCAACGAAGTAAGGCAATATGATTGATCACGTTATCAATAGGTACTTGCTTGCTGAATGGAGACTATGCCTCTATTTCTCGGACCAGCAGTATTGAAGAATTAAAAGCATCTGGGCTGCCAGATGCAAAAGCCTTGTCTCCCTAGGTAAAATTCTAGAGATGAGAGGCACGGGTTGGGCCCAACGCGACCTGGAATCTGTATAGGAATGCTGGTTTTGCAGCGAGACGAGAGGGTTTGTATCTGACAGCATCCACGTACAAACAGGGACACCAGCTCAGACAACTTCGATGCTGCAAGGGTGCTCACCATCCGCATAAATCTGGCCAGTGGGCATTGGCGATGCAGAAAGTGTAGAACCTCGTTCTAAGGAGCTATGCGAAGTCTATGAGTCTATCGCTAAATCCAAGGTATTACACGTGCCACGTGTCGCGACGAGGCGACAGGCTACATGTGGTTCAATGTTCTCGACTTCGTCTTTCCTGATTCACCAACATCATGAAAGCTTCTTGAGCACCTGCTCCAGCCACCAAACATGTATGCGAATGTCTTCGGTCAGCTCGGGATGGAAGCTGGTGCCCATGATGTTGCCCTGTCTGACAGCAACGATGTCGTTGAGCTCGCCCCCGTGGACCTCGGTGGTGCTGTCCACCGCGCTCCCCTTGACCTTCTTCTTCCTGTCCGGCAAGACGGCCAGAATCTCGACCTCCGCCTTCTCGGGATTTCCATTACGAACGGTAGCCCCAGGCTCCACAGAATCCACAGTTGCGCCGGGTGCCAGCAGCTGCTCGACAATGGGCGCGCGGATGAAGACGCCCGGGAACGGGGCCGCGGAGTCCGAGCCCGTCAGCAGGTCCGACTGCGCCAGGAACGGCAAATGGACGTCTGCCACGAAGCTCTCGATCTGACGGCCGAAGTGGTTGCGGTGCACCTTGACGTCCAGGCCGCCTATAAGCTCCTGACCACCCTTCTTGGCGGCGTTCGCTGCCTCAGCGAGGAGGATAAGACCTGCGCAGGTGCCCCAGGTAGGTTTTTTGGCGTTTCTGTGGCGCCGTCAGCCCGGGCCGCTTTCCCAGGGTCACGCGAAAGAATGAGGGGGGGGGGGGGGGGGGGGGCAGGAGTTCGCGTGGCGTGGACGACTCACTTGACGAATTCTCGCAGTGGCTCCATGAGCCCTGACTGTGCCGCTATGAGAGCGATGGTGGTGCTCTCACCACCTGGGATTATGAGGGCATCGCAGCGTGCCAAGTCCTGAGGGTTTCTGACCTCGATGAAATCAAAGGGCCTTTTCGCCGTGTGTGAAGATGTGCTGGCGAGATGCTGTGCAGATTTGTGAAGGAGGGAGAGGTGCTCGAGGAAGCCTCCCTGGAGGGCCAGGACACCGACAGTAGCCGCCATTGTTTCGTGGAGTCGTCCGCCTGGGGCCTGGCGAGAATCAGCCTGGATGATAACCAGGACGGTCAAATTGGGTGCCCCCCAAGGAAATCCCAAGGAGGACAAGTTCTTATGAACAGGTCTGAACCTTCTGGGAAAGATTGACGGCTGACGTGTGGGTTGACTCGGCTCGGACTCCCTCCTTCGACGATGACAGCGGCAGACGAGTCGTGACGGGCGTCGATGTTGTTGTGGTTCGCCGCCAATGAGCATGGACGGTGACTTATATCCGTGGCCCGGCACGGGCTGGGGGCTAGCCAAGTGTTTCCGGGGGGGCGTTTTTGCTGTCTAGGCCGTTTGATCGGGGCCATTTGCGCCAGTGCCGAAGATCTGAACTCTATATCATGGGTAGGCACGGATCGATGGCCTTGGACGCCCTGCAGCGCCGCCCCTGTGGTCCCGACATCGGGCTGTCGTCTGGTCATTTGTCACTTGGTGTCTCTGAGTCATCAGCCGTCAAAGCAGGTCTGACTGTACCCATCAGGCTTTGGCTCTGTTGTTGGCACCGTCCGTCCAACTTGCTCAATTATATTATATCATATGCGTTTGACCGCGTGGAGGGCGTCTCGAGCGGTGTCACCCAGCTTCACCTTGCATGCCGACCGACAACTCAGTGCTCACTGCTGCAACCCTCTGAATCGTGCGGATCCTTGTGTATCCTGAGCCTCAACGTCGACTGGCCAGACACTCGTCGCCCGCGACTGCCCAACCTTCACAGACGCCATTTCCTCGCCGCATGGTGGCGAAAAAAGTCAAGGGGACTTGAACGCAAAGCGTCGCATTCTTGGCACTCGACTTCTTCCCTGTCTTTTCCTAATAACGGCAAGCCCTGCACCGAAGACTTCTAGAAAATCAGATCGCAGTCTACTAGTCATTGTCTCCACCGACACCCCCGATATATGTCAACCACTGCCATAACAAGAACTGCTCCCCTCCTTCTGTAGTCACACACTGCACACCAGAATTGGTCCCCCCCAGCCCGTGCCCCAACATCTCTCGGTGATTCAGCCCCCACTATACACCCTCCTCCTTCATCATGGCAACCTCAAACGGCACCTCCAACACCACCGTCAACCTGGCCACCCCGGCTACCAACGGCAGTGCCAATGGCGCTAGCAAAAACTCCTTCGCCGTCAAGGCCGGCCTCGCCCAGATGCTCAAGGGCGGAGTCATCATGGACGTCGTGAACGCCCAGCAGGCCCGTATTGCAGAGGAGGCCGGCGCCTGTGCCGTCATGGCCCTCGAGCGTGTGCCCGCCGACATCCGCAAGGACGGCGGCGTCGCACGCATGAGCGACCCGGCCATGATCAAGGAGATCCAGGACGCAGTCACCATCCCCGTCATGGCCAAGGCCCGCATCGGCCACTTTGTCGAGTGCCAGATCCTCGAGGCCCTCGGCGTGGACTACATTGACGAGTCCGAGGTCCTCACCCCCGCGGACGTCGCCTACCACGTTGAGAAGAACAACTTCAGCGTGCCCTTCGTGTGCGGCTGCCGGAACCTGGGGGAGGCCCTCAGGCGCATCACCGAGGGCGCGGCCATGATCCGCACCAAGGGAGAGGCCGGCACGGGAGACGTCGTCGAGGCTGTGAGGCACATGCGGCAGGTCAATGCCGACATCGCCCGGGCGCAGGCGACGTTGGCCAAGGAGGGCGAGCTCGGCATCCGGGCCCTTGCCAGGGAGCTGGGCACCGACGCCACCCTGCTGAAGCAGACTGCGGAGCTGGGGCGCCTGCCCGTCGTGAACTTCGCCGCCGGAGGAGTCGCGACGCCTGCCGATGCTGCCCTGATGATGCAGCTCGGGTGTGACGGTGTCTTTGTCGGCAGCGGTATCTTCAAGTCGGGAGACGCGGCGAAGAGGGCCAAGGCCATCGTCAAGGCCACAACACACTTCAAGGATCCCAAGGTGCTGGCTGAGTGCAGCACTGGTCTCGGTGAGGCCATGGTCGGCATCAACTGCGGCAACATGCGAGCGGAGGAGAAGCTGGCTGGCAGAGGATGGTAATGTCACCAGTTTTGGGCTCCCTTTGTTTCGGTCACACTCTGTTGTCAACAAAAGCTGCGAAGAGCAACTTGTTTCCGCGTGACATTGCATCTATCAACGGCGATTTCATGTACATGGCCCCGTGCTATTCTGCTATCCCAATTATGTACTTTGGAAGAAAGGTTCAGCCCTTACGCGACGGTCAAAGTGGCCGTTGCCTTGAAGTCCCGACTGCTAGCTCCAATATAGAGTGTATATTCACCCTTCACGACCTCCCACTCCTGTCCCGCCACGCCCCAAACGCTCAAATCCCTGCGCGGGAGGTCGAAAGTGACATCCACGCCCTCGCCAGGCTGGATCGTAGTCTTGTCAAACCCACGGAGCTGCCTAACAGGTTCACCAGCAGCAGCGGGGAAGGAGATGTACAGCTGCGCAACCTCGGCTCCTGCCACGCTGCCGGTGTTGTTGATGGACGTTTTGGCGGTGGCAACGATGTCCCATAGGTCCTCTCGTCCACCAATAGCCCTGTCCCCAGTCGCGTATCCAGACTTGAGGTTGTTAGACTCGACTGAGACGGTCTCGGAGTAGTTGCAGGTGGTGTAGCTGAGACCGTAGCCATATTCGTAGCGCGGCGTAATGTTATACTGATCAAAGTACTTATAGTCGATGAAGTTCCCGTCAGTGAAGTTCAGCTCCAACTCGCCGTCGCTGATGATCGTGTCCGGGTTGTAATCGCTCTCGTTCTTGGCTATGGTGTGCACCAGCCGCCCGGACGGGTTCACAGACCCAAAGAGCACGTCGTCGATGGCGTTCCCCGACTCCTGGCCCAGCGCGCCGGCATAGAGCACACCGGTCACGTTCTCGTTCTCGATCCAGGGCGTCCGCCAGGCGGGGGCCGACGGTGTTGATCATCACTACCGTGTTGTTGCAGTTCTCCGCCGCCGCCGTGACGAGGGTGTCCTGCTCCGTGTTGTACAGCTCCGTGCGGTCGGCGCCCTCGCCGCCCGCCATGCCGCTGCTCGTCTCTGAGACGGTGTCGTTCAGCCACCACCGCAGCATGAAGCCGTCCGCGGCCGCGCGCTGGACGAACAGCTGCACCGGCGTCGTCACGTATGCGAGTGAGCCCATCGCAGAGCCGCCAACGGTGGCCATATGTCCCTGCATCGTGGAGGGTTCGCCGTCGTACACGGAGAGGGCCGTGTTGGCGCCGACGTACCGCGGGGCGGCATGGGTGCCGAAGATGCTGATGCTGGTCTTGTCTTTAAGTGGCAGGGCATTGTTGGTGTTCTTCAGGAGGACGACTGATTCGGATGCGTACTTCCTGGCGAGGGCGCTGTGGTTCCCCCTGACGTCTCGATGTTCCGTCTTTTCCGCCAGGGTGGGATAGCCTTGGTTTTGATTAAGGTGATAATAGCCCATCAAGTTTCTGATAGCCATGTCGTCGAGCCGTTCCGACGTGAAGCTGCCGTTTGTGAGGCCGACCCCGAGCGTGCCGTTGGACCAGTGTGAGCTGGATGACAGATCCATTCCCGCGTTGGCGGCGGAGATGCCCGTCTTCTGTGCCGAGACGTCGGCGTGGACGATTCCGGGGAAGCCCAGCTCGACCTTGAGATACTTTGCCAGCAAGTCCTGGCTCTCGCAGCTGTAGGTACCGTTTACCTTGTTCATGCCGCACATCGCTCCTCCCATACCGTTCTTCACCGTGTCGTAAAAGGGCGCGAGGTAAGTTTCGTGGAATGCCTTGTCTCCGATTTGGACGCTGTAGGCACCGGATTCGTCATCGGAAGAATTGGAAGGTTGGTCTCCTGCTCGTTCAGTATGTAGTGCTTGGCTGAAGGGACAACTCCTGCGGCAGACATGCCCTTGACGACGGCGCCGGCCATAATGCCAGCATGGTAGCTGTCCAGACCGTACGACTCCCCCGTGCGGCCACACCAAGCAGACCGAACCAAGGGCTGGAGGGTCGGCCCATAGGCAAGGTGGACGCCTTTTCCTTTGAACTCGGCACCCACTCCCTTGCCCTGACCGTAAGCCGCTTCTGTGTCCCACGTCATGGCCATGGCCAACCCGGCGGGCCAGGTCGTAAGCCAGCGGGTTGGTCGCTGAATCCAACATGTTCATGGCGCTGAAGTTCCCGGCATCACCGGCCGTGATGAGGGAGATCTTCTCGGACGTAGTCAGTGTGCCAACAAAGGCGGAGGCTTTGTCGTAAGCATCCTGCCACTCGCCAAGCTTGAATAAGCGATAAACCATCGGCAAATGTTTATGAGAATGAGGGAGTGTAGTAACATACTTGTACCAGAACTCAGAAGCTGCTCAGTGTCATTGGAGGAGGCATCACCCAATGTGCCAGTAGCAAAGGATAGAATGGCCAAGAGCCAGGCTTTGGCTGATGGCTGAGGCATGTTGAATTGATGTTCTTTCAAATTCTCAGAAGTGAGCGGCACGACGATGGAAAAAAGATCAAAGACGGCCGGTGAGAGCACTTCGAATGTGTGTATATAGAGAAGCAGGAATGTGAACGAGTGTATTCGGCTATTCTGTACAGTAGAACATCAGGTAAGTCTAATAATTCCGGATCAACATGTCTTCAAGCAGTAGATGCCGAATAATTATTCGGCCCGTCCCTTAAGCTTCTGAAATTAGCGTGCATGAAACCTTCCGACCTACGGATATGAAAGAGGGAGAGAAAGAATGGAAAGGACGGACTCCGACGAACGTCTATGGAGAAACTGACGACGAAGTCTCCATTGTCCCAGGAGGAACAGGCGACAAATCTATGCCCGATGTGCCAGACAACCAGACACTCGCCGAGTAACGGATCAGGGTGGCCGCGGTGATAGGGAGCCGCAGCCCTTGTCCCCATCCCGCGCCACTGGGCCACGCGGCTCTTTCTTCCACAATTTTTGGTGTTCGTCCGATTCCACTCTCGCTAGGGGTCTGCAATGCTGCCCTGAGATCCCATTGGCAGATCATACAACCATTATGGATGCGTGAACAAAGCCCCAGCGTCTTTTAACAGCTTTGTATGCGGGTCAGGCAGGGGGTTGGGAGCAAGAAAGGTGAAACGAAACATTTCTGTCAGGGACGTCAAATCGTAAGCAGTGGGTCTCAAATGCCGTAAATCGACAAGCACAAACGCCCCGATGACTCGCTTAGGTGCATCGTCTAATATTTGACAGCTCCTTGGACCAATCAGGTCATTTCGCCCACGAGGTAAGGCTCCAGAAGCAGAAATGTACACCCCGAGCCTTGCGGAGGAGGATCTTGCTGTAGACTGTCTGTTGCGTTACCATCTAGTGAAATGGGCCTTTGCAGCAGACACGACCAAAATGCATTTAACAACCGCCTCGTGTTGAAAGCTCAGACCGGGAAACATCAGGCCAGAAAGTGTGGTCACAGGGGCCTTAATAAATGGTGACGACGTCTCTCTTATCCTCTCAATTAATAATGGGTCCGTTACAAGGGCCTGCCCCTGTACGATGGCAAAACATCGGCCAGATCCGCACTCATCATTAGTGCGGGATGCAACTTCAGAGCATGGTCACGATTGTTTCCTGAACAAGATACCACACAATATCGTGGATGATCGGGGAGCAATTATGGCCAGGAGCATCTCGGGCGTGTCAAAGTCTTGACTGCCAGATGAAGAAGGACTTATGCTAAGTAAAGACCCGGTATGCGAGTTGTAGTTGTCGGAAACTCCTCTGTGTTCTTTGTACTACAATTGCCAGAACCAAGGTCCTACTCCAAGTTTTCGTTCCTCGTTGCCCGCCTTCCATCAGCAGGTTTCATGGTTCGCCCCTCGCTGGCTCAGGAGGCATGATGTCGAAAGAGCAAGGAAGCCTCAAGCAGTTGGTTGGTAAAAGCCTTCTCCTTGCATGACTTCCCTGGTAAAGCCCTCGAGAGCTGTGAACCTGGCCGGGCCGACACCCTCAAACCTCCTCACCATCTTCCTCCTTGACATGGTCGCTGTCATCCTCGTCGGGGAAGCTGACAGCAAGCTTGCGCTTCTTCGCGGGACCCTGCCGAGCCTTGGCGTGGGGCTTGGGGGCCTTTGTGGCCTTCTTCATCTTGTCGTCCTTGCCTTCCTCAGCAGCGCTGGTGTCGTCGCTGGGACCAGCTGCACCATCTTGAGCTTTGGACTGAGAGATCATCTTGCCATCTTTGAACTTGAATCCGTACGGGTTGACGATGGAGTTGATCTTCCGGGGCCTGTATGGTGCGAGTAATGTCAGTCAGCCAAGAACAGTCGGGGCACAAGAGATGCATGCAAGGAAATTGTGGTGGGAGCGTGTGCTGATGGCATTTACTTACACATTCTTGGGCCCGGACATACCAAAAACTAACGGCTGTTAGCAAGACTCGTCCGTTTTGATGAACAACAAAGAACAAGGCAATCAAGGCGGGTGGGTACAGATGGGTTGGCGTAACACCTCAGTCTTAAGGCAAGCATATTGGATGCTGCCTAAGCGTGGAATGCCCACCTCTAAAAAGGGGGAAGGAAGGAATGGCTCATTTTGAGAGTCACTTACGTGGAGCGAGCTTGGTATTGTCGGCCTTGAATTCATCGCAGCTCATGATCATGTGGCACTGTAAAGCAACGTCAAGGTCAGGACTTGCTCATTGAACCAAGCCAGAAGTGAGGGCTCTCGAAGGCGCGCTCGACGCGCGCACTCATCTCGCTGAACTGGATGCCTTATCAAGAGTCTCCAAGAACAGGTAGATATTTGGAGGACTCACCAGGGCGGTGACGGCTCCAGCCGCGGTACCGTCGACACCATCAGCCGCAACGTTTCCAGTCTTCTTGGGAGGCATCTTGGGGTTGGAGAGTGCTAGGTTGAGGGTAGCTTGGTGTTATTGAAATGTTCCTGACAGTGGAGTACTGTTTTGCTCTGAGAATGGATGTTGGGGAGGCGCCTCAAGCTTGTGGTTGATGACGCGATTGAAAGGTCAGGATCGGAAATATGGACGAAAGGCAGAGGTGGCTTGGAGTACGTAGGTAGGCAAGTGGTTCCGATGTTGGTTGCCCAGGTACCCAAAACACGTGGGCTGTCGCAGCTCCTACAACATATGTACCTTACCAATTTCTCAGTCGAAGGTCTCTAAACTTTAACGAAATGTTTTCATTCATAGGCTCGGGGATGAGTTACCGTCCCAACCCTCTCGAACTGGCTCCTCTGTTTTCAAATCTGACCAGATACGGCTCAGATCCAGTTCAAACGTTCCCAGGCTCATTGAATTCCAAGTACCCTCTCCATCATCTGGACCACTGTGCGGTATCATTGACGCCTCCAACCCACCCGAAGCCAAACCGGGCACAATGCACCTAGACTGGTCGAAGACCATCCCTCCGACACTTCAAGCCATGATCGCTCCTGTCATAGGGAAATCTTATCTGCAAGCATGTTGTGACACAGACACGTAGCCTCACTTGAGGTTGATCGGGTTGATGTGCTTCAATCTCAAGCATTCCACAAAACACAACGGAGTATGCCCTGCTGGCAAGAGTGCCCAGAGCCCTTCAGGCAGCTTCGGGTAGGAAGGAAGGTGGAAACCCGCATCGTAGGTCCTAATACACAGGAAATTATTGCTGTCTGGATGGATACTTGTATAAATTCTGGTGCAACGTAGGTAGATCAATTGTCAACAGAGTCAAGTCGATCATGCGAAAACCGCCAAGATCCCAGACGTCGTTGAGAACGAGATGAGCCGGTAAACTTCCCTATTAAACCACGTCACAGGGGTCAGCTAAGACGACAAATGTAAGAGGCCAACCCATTCATTCTCAGACTTGTTGTCCTCGGCCAGCATATTATATGAATAAACTGCCTCCAAGTTTTTGCCTTGCACTTATAAGCACATTACTTTAAGTTTGAAAAAAGAATTTCCTTCAATTTTAAACATTGGCTTCCGCTTCTATCTTGGACTGGAAAGCAACTTAGATCGCGTGCTGGTCCTTCATCACAATACCGGCGTGGTTTTAACAGGATCCTTCGAAACTTGTGGTTCGAGTTCCTCAACCTTCATGGGTGCTGCATCTGCAGGCGGTCGAGGGTTCGCATCCATATGAGGGAGAACCGGCGAGTGAATGCTGTCATCCTGCGGAATGTGTCCGGGTGAAACTACCTCCACCGACTGCCTCCCTCCTACGCCAGTCTGATCCACTTGGGAATTCTCATCGCACGGTGTCGCAGAGCTTCCGTCAGTCTCGACCTGCCTCAGGGGCGCAGTCTGCACAGTAGTAACGGTGGTACCAGTCCGCTGCTCAACCAAATTTCCCTGCTCGACGTCGGCCCCCTCCTTCTTGTCCAAGGGGTAGCTTCGAGGCAGATCAGCCAATATATCGCCTGTTTCCGTCAGCGGAATGCGGTCGGTATAACGGGACCAGTTGCCTGATCCGACGCCCTGGTAGGCCATCCTCTGCAGTTGAAGGGTCTCGTTGGCTGTCCATTCGAGGTAGGCGTACTCGTTCACCTTCCGACGACGGTACAGCCAGGCCTGGATCTGTTCTAGGAGGTATGAGATGGCGATGATCAGAGCGCCGGTGACATAAATGAAGCATATACCGAAAACACTGAAGGAAGTGTAGTCAGTGCTGACGATTTTCTATGGGATAGGGGAAAGAAGATATGTTAGTTTTGCTTTAATTTGCGAACCCAGGACGTTGGAAAATGACAAAGATGTATGCATGGTGTTATCGACTAGAAGGTGTGGGTGACTTCGACGTATGCGCCAGCATTACTTACTTGGTTGTTGCACAACTTCTGGTAATGGGCATTGAAAGGCGGGATTTCGAACGGCTTAAGCGCCGGGTCGTGATTACCATAGGCAATAGCGACCATGCCCGCCTGCAGGGTAGCCATGTGAATAGCCCACCAGTTCTCCACGTCGAGTTGCCACTGGTTACTTGGTATGGCGCCCAGAAGGCCCGGATACCGAGACAAGCTTGATTGAGACGCCAGCGAGTTCGGCCCGAGATAGTTGACCAGGATGTCCGGCCCGTAGCCTATTGTTGCCAGGAACTCCAGGAACCAGACGTAACGCGAGCCGGATGGCGTGTCTGGGATGTCGCTGTTTGCTATCTGGTCTTCTGTCATGTTGAACAGGTGCGCCGCCTGGACCTGCGCGTCGAGAGCGCTCGCCAGCGGACCACAGCGCCTATCTTCCGGAAGAGCAGGGTTGCAGAATTGGAACTGCCGCAGGCAAGCCATGGGCGAGGCGGCTTGCTCCGTCGTGTAGCTCAATTTTGATAACTTACCGTTCGCGCCGTTCCAGGTAACGTTCTTTCCTGGCACAGTGCCACGATACCATGGGTCCTGAGCCCTTTCCATAAAATGGACTCCGTTTCCAACTAGGAACGTGAGCATCAGGTCACCGTCTGTTGGAAAGAGGCCAGGAGTAGGTGTGAAAGCGGCATTCCGAGATGTATTTCCATTGAGAGTCGGAGCCAATAAAGCACTGAGATTGAGCCGATAGAGTCAGCAGAGCATCCAAAGAAGCAGCATAGAGCCGGTACACGGGAAATGATATTTTCTTACCGTAGGATGAACTCGTTCCCATTTGTCTGGTGATACTGAGCATCCAAGGTGCTTGTCTTGTACGTATAATTGTGCCCTGACGTGTCAGGGCCGTAATAGTACGCTGTGTAGTTCTCGCCCGAAGTGCTGATGTTTTCGGTGTATCCTTCGGTCACAAGAGGAGCACATTGAAAGACGGTGCGGAAGATGATCCTCTCGTCGGTCTGAAATAATAGCGTTGGATGCTTAGTCAATTAGGCTAGCTAACGTCTATTCAACGGGAGGGAAGGCCCCTATTTATAGTTATTATCCTCCATACAGTGGCAAACGTATGGGGAAAAGGATATCCCGTATTAATAATAGCCTAGATATCTAGAATATTCTAACAGCCCCCCTTAAACTAATTTCCTTTTATTTATTTTATTTTATATATAAGGGATTTAGTTTATAAAAGAGGAATATTCAGTTATATAGTGAGAAAACCTTATAAAAAGGGAAAAACTCACTTATTAAGTGTTTATATATTTAGGCAAAAAACCCAAAAATTTGCTGTCACTTAAACTTGAACTTGTAGCCAGTAGGGTATTACATATTAGATTATGGTTTTATATGGGATTTACTAGTTATTTTATAATGGCTACGGTATATTACGGCATTTTTACATATTAAAGTCACACGTCATTTTATTTATACTATATACACTACGGAAATACGTTTTTTGTGTAGAATTAGACGTATATAAACGCAGTGTAGGTATATTTTGACTGTGTGTATATATGGTATATATGGGCCGTGTAAGTGACGCTTATTTTTCAGGAAAAACCTTTATTATTTTAGTTATTTCTTCTAGGGGAAAACCTCCAGTATTTACGGTAATATTATATGTATATATAATTGAGTCCGCTTTATTTATTTATATATTTTATAAGTGGAGGAAAAAATCTTAACCCTAGTTATTAGAGAGTAAACACCTTAATTTATTTTACGCGCATTATAATATAGGTGGAAAATCTCTCTATTCTCTGGCTTAATATTTTTATATTATTTTTCTATTAAACTACACTTTTCTTTGAACTCTCTATAGTGTAGTTTATCTATTGGTTTTGTAAGCTAGTCTGCTAAATTTTGCTTAAAATTTATATGTTTTAATATTACTTTATTATTTTTTATTGCTTTTCTTATATAATAATATGCAATATTTATATATTTAGTTCTTTTATGAAATAAGGTATTTTTAGCTAATTTCTTAGCCCTATTATTATCTATATATATAGTAGGGGGCTTGAGATTAAAGCTAATAGTTAAATTATTATTAAAATATTTAAGTAAATTATATAGATATTCAGCTTCTTTTATAGCTTCTCTTAAAGCTATATATTCTGCTTCTACAGAGGAAAGTGCTGGTGTTTTCTGTAGCTGAGAATTCCAGCTTATAGGATTTATTTTATTATTATTATTATTAATATTATGTAGGTTAAATATATAACTAAAGGTGTGCTCTTTCCAGTGGATATATCGTTACCCTAGTTTAAATTTATATAGCTTATTAATTATAAATTATTTCCAGAGTAATTATATATTTTAAATATATGTGGGAATTTATATATATATCCCTACATTTTATTTAATTCTTTTATATGCTTTGGCCCTGGGTTTGCCATATATCTAGCTAACTTATTTATAAAATAAGTTAGATTTAGCTTAGTTTTTAAGCTAGCATATAATATAAACCTTATTTATTGTTAATATAATTCTATAATATTTTTATTAAATTCATCCGTATATTTTTTTAATTTTCTATTTAGGGTATATGGAGTAAGTTAAGGAATTATTTCCTTTTTCTTAACTTTTTCTGGTATATTAAATTTATTTATTATTTTATCTATATATTGTTGGCAAGTACAAGGAAATGCAGGGAAAAATAGTATTACGTTAAATTCTAGCTGGCTATAAAAAACTAGCTCTTTCACTCTTTTAAATACTCTTTTAAAGAAATTAATTCTTTTCTTTTCTTATATATTTAATGCTTTAATTAAGCTTTTCTTATTTTTAAGAATTTTTAAAAAACTTGCCTTTTCCCTTTTCCAACTCCCTTTTATTCCTATCTTCCCTCTTTATCGCGTTAAAGCTCTTCCTTAAGTTATCCTTAAGAGGGTTTAGCAAAACCTATCCCCTATTTATTTAAGTAGCTTGTTTTCACTAATAATCTAGCCTAAGTATGATTTTAGTCTTATGCATCTTTAATTAGTGACGAAAAAAATAGGAAGTTAGTTATAAGTTAATTATCTTTTAATTTTATCTCTTTTTTCATTTTCATATTAAATATTGCTAAATTATTCTATATCTTAGCTTAGAGCTTTAATTAAAGCTTGCGTTTATCTTTAACTTATTATAAAAAAGAGTTAAATATAATTAAACTTGTAATAATATTATAAATATCTTAAGATTATTTTTTAATCTTAAGATATTTCTTATGCTTTTAATATTTAAATAAAATACCACCTTAGTCTTATATTTATACGCTATTAAGCTCTAAACTTATTCCAAGTTTCTTATTAAAAACTATGCTTAAATATGGCGATAATATAGGCATGAAACCCAAAATAATAAATTTAAACTTATAAACATTACTTAATACTAATTAAAGGTGCTTTTAAACTCTTAATTAATATCCGCTATTATTATTACAACCTTAAGTTTAAAGTAAAGGAGCTGTAATGTGGAATTAAGGCGCCTACCTTGCTTGCTTATAAGTTTAATAAGTAGCATTATACTATATATCTTATATTAATTAAATTATATAAAAGGTTTAAACTTAAAATATAACCTTGCTTAGGCTTTAATTAAGCTTAAATTTAAATTGCTAAGGGTTTAATATAATATTAATAAATAAGATATTAAATATAAATTTAAAAGGCTTCCTTTATTATAATCTTATAATACTTATCTTTTAATAAAATATCCTTTTACTAAGTTTATTTTATTTATTATACTTATTAATACCTTTATCTTTCAAGCTTTAATTTAAGTATCCTATAATAATACTAAAGATAAATTTCTTAAAAGCAGCTGCTTTAATTAAAGACACCACTGCTTTTAAGTTTTTTCATTCTGCTATTATTTTAATAAAAACTACCATAGCATATATATTGCATTTTCCAGCTTAAAGCCCTCTTAAACCTGCTCTTATTTTAAAAGTACCTTTAAACCCTAAAAACCATCCATCCTTTTCTACCTAAAGCTAAGAAAGGAATCCTAAGAAACCTATTAAGGGAAAAGAGAAACCCAATCCTACTTACTACTAGCTAAAGCACTAACCTTGCTTTAATTAAACCCTATAATTTATTATTAGCAATAAGTTAAGGACTTAAATTAATATTTTAAAAGTCTTACTTTTCGCTAATGCAATAGTTTTGCCATAAATAGCTTTATTTATAATTTATAATTTAAATATCCTAAAGTTTAATAAGATTAATATTATTAAGGTTTTAAATAGCCTTAAAATTATTGCTTATTAATTTTCCTACTTAAATAATTAAATCTTAAAATTACTTAAATAACGCTGCACTACTTTAAACCTAGCTAAAGTAATTAAAAGCATTATTACTAAATAATATATTTAAAAAAACTAAAAGAAAAAGCTTTTTGCCTTTTATAAATTAAATAATTAAATTTGCTATACAAACTTAATAGCAATTATTAAAAATATTATTTACAATAACCTTTATAACAACTTAAAAGCATAAAAAAGAAAGATTGCGGAATATAACTAAGAACTTAATAACATAAACAATATCTTTCCCCTTATAACTTAGCCCTTTTATAAGATGCTTTTATTATATTTAAAAAAGTAGCTAGCAAGGAAAGGAATTACTTATAAGTTAGCAAGGAATATTTTTTAGCTAGATTTTAAGCATACCTTGCTAAAAATTATTAATTAAAAGCTTAAGTATTTTAAGCAAGATAATTACCTATTTATACAAAATAATTTTAATTAAAATCCACTTAATATAAAAAGGCTAAATTTCCTTTAAGAAAGCTAAAATAATTTTAATTCTTTAAATTACCTTTAAAATAAAAACCTATAAGCTTAATAGCCTTTATTTAAATTTAATTATATTAATATTATTAAAAAACATAGTTAAGATTTATAAAATATAAATAAACTTATTAAAAGGTTTACAAAATTAAAGCTTAACTTAATTAAGTTTAAAGATAAATTTAAGGCATTTTAATAAGATATTAAAGCTCTTTCTTATAATAAATGGTAAAGCAATCTTAAGATAACTAAATTAAGGATTATAAATTTTATTTAATAGCCTTTAATAAGACTTAATTAAAGTAACCTTAATAATAATAAGGCATAAGCTATAGTTTTAGCGCTTTTTTTTAAAAAGGATGAGTTACTTAAAATTTGCTATAGCTATACTTCCTAAGATTATAATGCATATTAATGCAATAAGCTTAAACGGCTTTCCTTAAATAGCTTATTAATAGCTTTAAAGCTAAAGAGATTATTAATATTTCTTAGCTTACTTAAAGATGCTTAAGCTAGCCTTTTAAAGTATTTAAACCCTATTTACATCTAATTATACCGTAATTAAAATAGCTATGGTTTGGAAAAATATATTTATAGCTAGTTAAAGTTTTTATTTAAAAAGAAAAGGTTTAATTTACTTTATATAGTTAAATATTGCAAGCTTATTAAGGTAAATCCTTTATTTAAAAGAAAAGCCTTATTAAGAGCCCTAAAGGTAGTTTAAAAGCTTAATAATTAAAAGAAAGTTAGCTTAATCTTAATACCTATAAATCTTATAAATTATATAATTTATATTAAGAAAAAGCTTATAATTATAAGCAATAATAAGCTTTCCTAAATAAATATTGCTATAATTAAAAGGAAGCATATAGCTAAGGATATTAAAAATTAAAATAAAGTTATAAAAATTATAAAGGCTAATTAAGCTTAACTTAAAAACTTTAAAAAGGCGGAAGATAATTAATCTTAAATTATTAATAATAAGTTATAGCTAAAAGATAAGAAGAAAATAAGGGAAAGGAAAAACCTATTTATTAATTAAAATTAAACCCTAAAGAAAAATGCTAAGTTTCCCATAATAAGAGCAAGCTTAATAAGTATAATAAACCTAAAATTAAAGAAGTATGCTTAATAACCCCTATTATTTAAGGAAAAAGCAGCTTAAGCAATTTTAGCCATAATTATTAAAATAAGTGCTATAAACATCCTAACGCTTAGCAATACTAATTCAACCCTAATTAAGCACTTATTAGCAATATAGTTTAAGGTGCATATCTTATTAAAGGTATTTTTTAAGTTGGTATATCTTAAGGAGTACGCTAAAGACCTATTTCTTAAAGTTAACGCAATTACGCTCTTAAGAGATAATATTAAGGCTAATATTTTAATTAATTTATTGCAAATTATTTAATACTAAATTAACTTTATTGCTGTATTTATTATAGATATAGTTAATTAAGGATGTTTGGGTTTAGCCTACTTAATAGTTTGCATAAGAGCGGATAGTTACTTTCTTTAACTTACTTTTCTAAATATTAAAGCTAAGATAAATTTCTTGCCCTTATTATATTGCAAATATAACAAACTTTTATATGCTCCGCTTAATAATATAAACTTAATAATATATAATAGGGATTCTTTATTTTTAATTAAAGTTATAAAAGAGTAGGTTTGCATTAATTTAAATAAAATCAAAGCAATATTCTTTATTATTAATAATAAAGCCCTTAATACCTTATATTATATCCTTTTAGGAATGCCCTTTTTCCTAAATATAAACTTAATATTTAAATGATTTAAGGGATACCTTTATGCCCATCTTACCCTTAGCAATACTAAGGTAATATATGGTTTAAGATGAAAGAACTAAAAGCTCTTTAAAGTAGCTCTACTTAAGGGAGCTTAAGTTTCTTAAAAGTACCTATTAGCTTTTAAAAGCATTTCTTTACTTTC